AATACTTCACTAGAACTGGATGCCTCACTAGAACTGACACTACTTGATTCACCTGGAGCCACTAGCATTTCTAAACATACCTTACAAGAATCTGTACTTGTGGAACCAGCTGGGATCGGACCGTTATAATAAACGGCATTGCCTGAATATGTTAACAGAGGATTACCGAACAAATATGTGTCATACACAAAAAGACTTGAATCATAACCTGTACCAATATTGAAGTGAACATTTTTTGAGGGAATAAAGGAACCCCCATTCAATGTCAATACACCATTGGAATAAGTGTGACTGTAGATACGAGTGGTAAGACCTATATGATTTCCACCCCCAAATCCAGCAACTTTATAGGTGTGAGCAGTCGTTTGCGCAACGGCACGAAGAGAGGAATCTGAGGCACTCAAGTAAAATGTTTGATCTACGTCAACATAAGTCAGTGAGGATCCAAACAAGAAGACGGAAGAATCTTCACCAATATCAATACAACCAGAACCTTGGAGCTTCGTTGTTTGGTTATAAACTTGGTTAATCAAACAAATGGTACCGTCATTGGTGATGGTTTGAGTTCCACTCAGAGCCGACCCCAAAAGGACATTGCCTGTAGACCTAGTGGTCAACGAGAAAACCATTAAACCGTCATTCTCCCACGAAGTACTGGATACTTCCATAATTGGAACACCAATTCCATCAGCTCCGAACCACATGGTACCTGTGTTGGTATTGCTAAACGATACGGAAGCATTCACAGTAAAATTTGGAGTGGTGGCAGACTCGATGGAATTAAAAGCCCATTCTCCACTGTTTGAAAGAACAGTGACATAATCAAAGTTGCTATTCAAGGTAATCGAGTCAGTGTCAGAAGTGACGTAAAAACCACCTTCATTGGTGAATGTTCCCGAAAAATATGTCCCATCCAAGCTATAATCAATGACGGAATAGTAAACACCTCGGTAAATGTGAACGTTTTGGACATCATCCCGGAGTATTGAAGAATCTCCCCTGTCTATTGTATTGGAAGTGATATCCAAAGCATTAGCTACCAAGTACAGGTAGGCAAGGGCTAGCAATCGTTTTAAAGCTTTAGAAAACATATACAACCTCTACCCTGAAATCTGCTGGAAATTACGAAAAAAAAGGGTTATGAAACCCCTTTATAAGATTACAAAAACTGGTTGCAAACGCGAAAAAACTGTATTCCCTCCGCCCATGAAGATGGATTTCCCAATAAAAACTAAAGTGCAGTTTGAGTGTGAAAACTACATTATTTTGATAACAGTTGGCCTCTAGATACTGCATTGGCACCGGATTTGTGGTGAACGGTGTGTGAAGGAGAAAAATAATGGACCCGCAGACTTTTTTTTAAATCCGCTGCATGCATATAGATGAAAAAGCTCCTTTGTTCTGCAACAGCGAAGGCGTCCGGGCTATCTCAATTATAATAAGCGAACAATAGCTTTTTGATTATTGCTGTTCTAATGAAATCCTTAACTGTTCAATTCTGATTCCAAACGTCCATTGAATATCCTTATTTTCGGTGAAATTTGGAAAAAATTAAATAAACGTTATCTTACGAAAAAAATAAAGTTTGTATGGTTTGGTTTATACGCAGCTCCTTTTCCGGACGACGTTCAGATTGCATAATAGCACTTGTCCTGGAAACCCACCACTTACTGTTATTGTTGGAGAACCTATTGATTATTATGAATGTTGTGTTCCGTGAAGACTAGTCCCCAATGACCTACAATTTTACTTGTGCTTTTGTACTCTCTCGGTATACAAGGTTGCATATTGCATCAATTAAACTAAAACCTTTTTAAAAGTGAACTAAAAGCAAGTTTAAGTATAGTGACGTTAAATGACATACCCTTCGACACGAGGTCTTTGAAGTTCTGGTCCTGAATGAATCACAGCACACTGAACATATCGAACTCTTCCTGACCAATTTTTGTAATGGTTCTCTCGATGGGCCAGGGGGTACGGACAAGGGCACAAAGATATGTACACAATGGGCAAGAGCGCTTTGTCTCAGAAAATGCTATGCATTTAACAAACTATAATACAATACAGAATTGAAACTAGAAGCTAGGGATATTCAAATCCAACACTTCTCTTTGGTTATCAGGGATAGGATCCCCGTCCTCGAAAATGCAATTGAAGTCAATCAAGAGCAAGCTCATCACATCTAGTGAGATGTTAAGGGTGGGAACAAACACAATGCACACATTCCTCAAGTTCATCTTGTTTGAGTCTTTGTTATTGATGATCTCCTTAAGAAACTTCAACACAATGTAACTGGTGTCGTAGTACACTCGGTCGAGGTTGTTGAGATTGTTGAAGTAGTCTTTGAATTTCAACGACGTGGCAGCGGTGTTGCCGTTGTTCATCACAATGTTTCTCAAATCACTATATCCTTTGTCAGATACGATGGGTGATGGTAACTCCCGCAAGTACGTCTTCAACAATCCTGAAACCGTGTGCATGTCGGGTTTCAATTCATTTTCGAACAAGTCAAGGTCAAACTTCTTGTTGAACGCTTCTTTCAACTGTCGAATAGTTGAAGCAGATCCACTCAATCGAAAGATTCCTTCTTCGTACACGGCTCCAGTCTTCAACAAAAACTCAATACACCGGTAGATGATGCTGGGGACCTCTCTTCCAAGAAAATTGTGATGGGAAATTTCGTACGCTTGTACTAGTTCTCTGCCAAAAATCAGTTTATTCACCTGTTCATCTAGTCCCATCTTGTCAAGGTACAGTTGGATGCTAGAGTCCTCGACCACAGTGGCGGAAGTGCCGTTCTGGTGACTTGAATTGCTGGTGAACGAACTATTAGCATTGGGGGAAGACGCTATAGCATTGCTCAAGTCACTGTCAACAAGATTACTGGCATCAAACAACTGGCTCGTGCTAGAGTTTGGGTTAGAACCCTTGGTTCTGAACGGGAAAATGCTTCTCTTCTTACCCTTTTTGTCGGTGGGCTTTTCTTTTTCAAGACTGTCCATGGTTTGATACGACACGTTTGAAGGAACTGGAGATTTGGTCTTGTTCGTATAATCCGGTTCATCCTGGTAGTCAGAGCCATAGTTTCGGGGTGTTTGAAAATTTACGTTATACCCTGCAATGTCATCTTTAATGGAGTTTGCAGTCGACGTGGAGTTCGAGTCAACCACGAGACTCATGTCTATCAATGCATTGACCCACTCATCTCGCTCATAGTCATTTTCAGCACAGAAGAAATGCTTTGGAAACGAGTTCGACAATTTGGAACTCTTGTGGCTTTCCATGATTAAAAATGCATGTCTATATCCTTTGTCTTCGGCCACTGAATCGTTAGATTGTCTGCCGATTTGACAATGCTTCAAGTTGATCTGCTCCAACAAGGATCCTCCTGGTTGGTCATACAACTCCAACACAGGTCCATCGACTTGACACCATCTCACCTTCCAACTGGTGCCCAAGCCTTTGTACTTTCTGACCAAATACCCTTCCTTTCTGGAACCACTCTTGAATTCGTCCAAAGGATTCACAAAATCTAACGACAAATACTTGCAGATTCTGAAAAGAATTAAGTGGGGGATGTGGGGCATCACAAATAAGGTGTTGAAGTAATTCTGCAAACCACTGATTCTCACGTCAATCTTATTGGGAGTGGTAGAAAAGAACAACGACTTGTCGGGAAGAACAGGCAAACCAAAGTACTCGACCGTAGGTCTGATCTCGTTGTCAAAGGCTATCAACTGGTTCAACGATTTCTTGATTCTCCACATCTCTTTACCAGTACTCCTATCGTTGACAGCAATTGTGATGAAAATATCATCTAGCCTCTTCAGGGACGTCGAGGCTTGAACCTGGGTATTACCATTGCTAATGGTGCTTATGACGGTGAGAGCAATAGTTTGGAACTCTTCAGGTTTGATGAACAACGCCCCATCATCTTCATTCACCATGGTTCTGTTGACCAGATAACTGGAGTTATTCGAAATCATCACATTCAGACCTCCGTTCTTTGCTTGCAAGTTTCTATTCGAGCCTGATGCACTTCGGATATTGTAGATCGAATCATGAGACGTAAAATCAGTGGTGATGGGGGTCCGTATCGATTCGCTCTCATAGTCCAAACCACCTCTATAACTGTATCCCGTGGCAGGAGATACTTGCGAATACTGGGAATAGGGCACCACTGGGGATGACATGTTGCTGGTGGTATCTTCAGGGAGATTACCCTGGTTAAACTCTGCCTCATCCAAGGCCCTACTATTGTAGAAGGCTTCTGGAGTTCGAGGTATTTCTTTATACTCTTCACCAGCAGGTTTAGGATAATCGACCCGTGTTAAAGCATCTATGGGCTGGCCAAATTGATGAGGCCCAGGAGGAAACAGAGTATTCGTCGCATTTGTGGGTTGTTGATAGTTCAAGACCGCAGGAGACCTTAAAGCGTTTCCTTCTCGGTTTGGAGATGGCACAGTGACCTTGAGGGTTTGGATATTCAAATCCTTAAAAGTCTTGCTATGTGGCAAAGACTTTCCGGAGAGTAAGACGTTGTTTTTGGCCGCCTTACTGGGGGACTCGGGCAACGGGATTCGTGGAGGTTCAACCAGAGGGGATTGTTGGAGAGAAGGTGAGTATGTGAAAGCCTGTGACTCCGGCAGATGATGGACGTTCTGTTGCTGGGAAAGTGGTGCGAGATTGGGCGATAACTCTGTTGGAGTCAAGCTCTGGCCCGGACCTGGCTGGTGCAGAGCAGCCTTCACTTGGGCCTGTTGCTGTAATGTTGGAGGTAATTTTATCCTCGAACGATACGACTGAAAACTACTAGCACTGTGGTTCTTATGTTGGAAGATGCCACTGGTATTTGCACTGTTCTGGGGGTCACTTGACTTGGAAGGCCGCAAATGGCCAGAGGCGTCTTGTTCCTCCAAAGACCTGTGTTCGAGTTGAGCTTCACTTACTTCACTTACTTCACTTTCAAGGGCCGAGTCCTCGATGGCCGAGTTCTCCACCGGGTCATTGATGGTGCTGTCATTTGCAAATACCGGAGTCGTTTCGTCGGTGACCTCAGACACGTTCGAAATGCCTTTGGCACCTTCATCCGAGTATATGGACGACCGATTCGAGTGAATTTCTCCGTCCAACGTCCTGGCATCGCCAGACGGGTGGTCAAGCGAAGTCGACGTGGAAATGTTACCCATGGAGAGGTCACTCTGAATCGAGGTCATAGAAACGTCTTTTTGCAAATGGTTCTCCTCTGCAAGCGAATGCGATTGAGAGTTCGAAACTGGCACCACCTCCATTTGTTCAGCTGGTTCAAGCTTCTGTTCGTCGGCACTGGATTCCTTGATCTTACGTCTAGCAGATCGCTGGGGGATGTCGGACTCGGGCTTTTTGGGCTCGTCCGAAATGCTATCTCCATTGCCTTGTAAACTTTGTATGAGTTGATCCTTTCTCACTAAAGTGGACTTGAGCTCCTTAATCTCGAACAAAAGTCGCTCGATATACTCTTTGTCGGAGAGCTTGGACCTATCAAAGTTGGGGTGGGAGGGTGTTACCTCGTCCATGATGGATTATGTGGTTCGTGGGGTAGGGGGAAATAAGTCAATTGGAAAAGGAATTGGCGGATGTCAGGGGTTTTACCGAGTTCAATACACAGACAATGTACTACTCTGACTATACCTTAACGCAGACGTGAAGGATCGTGTCGTCAAAAGCTAAGGTGATGGGATTTCAACCTGATTTGTTCTAAAAGCTATCCAACACGCTTAAGCCTATCCTAGAAAAATTTTCACGCGTCCGACCTAAGATTTACAGAATGTAAGTGTTGCAAAAGGATATCTGAACCTTAATATTTGTATTTCTATTCTTTTTGCTGTGCTAATGCTAGTTTCTTGAGGTAGGACCGGGTATGCCGGGGCCCACCATCTTCATTAATCCTGGTGTCCGCATCAATAAGGTCTTTGACCATTCGGTTAGGAATGTCCCCGGCTCCTTCTTCTTTGTATTGGTAGATATAATTGTTGGGTAGAACCGCGTTTGGCATCATCGACCGGCCGAGCTTGATGGCTTCGTTGGCCCAGATGGTCACATCGGTCTTGGGCTGTTTGTATGGCATCCAATTTTTTTTGCAACCCTTGGTCAACTCCTTCATGACAAAATCTGATCCCCACGTAGAGTTCCAGAGATTGGAGTCAACCTTATCTCCTTCCATATGAGCATTGACACTGTTGGTCAAGCCTATCAAATGAGAAAAGATACCAGTGGTCAACGCCCCGTCCGAATATCCTCCTTCCAAGAAAGATATGAGCTTTGAGTTATGGATTTTGGATAATTTGACAGCATCGTTGGTGAACTTGGAGTAGAACGATGTCGGCACATTGATCCCATGGCGTTGCATCTGGGGGTTTTCATACTCAGAAGCATCGAACCCTGCCGATATGACTATCATGGGCTTGAAGGCCATAGGAGGCTTATCTTTGCTGTTGGAGTTCAAGCTACCATTCTTCTTATTTATCAAGTACTGTTGGAACTCCAATTCGTGCTGCTTCTTGGCTTGGTTCAAGAACTGGTTGACTCTGTTGAGAATCGATACGTACTTAGTCTTATAGTGCTTGTAGAATTCGTCTTCATCTTCCCATTCTTGAAGATGAACGTTCCAAATGTTCAAATCATGATCCATGATGCAGGTAGAGGCATTCTTGATGTTTTCCTTTGTGGCGTAGCCCAATTCCGTGGGGTATGACTTTACATCGTGCAAAGAAAAGTACCCGACCTTGGGGTATCGAGCAAACCGTTTTCCATATTCATCTCTGGGTTCGAATCCAAGTTCAAGATCCTCATCTTCGTCCTTTCCATAATCGCCGGTGAATCCGGCTCTTTCCCAACAAATATCCTGAGACCCGTCCCCGTGGTGCAAATCGATGTCAAGAATGGCCACATGACTAACATCGTAGTTTTCAAACGCATATTCAATACCAATCTGGACATTATTCAACAAACAGAACCCGCTTGGCAAACATGCATGGGAGTGGTGGCCAGGCGGCCTGATCACAATGAAGGACAAATTGTAGTTCTGCTTGAATAAAGAGTCGATACCCGTTTCAATGGCTCCTATAACCCCTTCAATGGCATTGATGGTTTTTGGAATCAAGTATATGTCACCGGTATTCCAATCTTCTGGAACCTCCAAGTTTCCCTCCGCGAGCTTCTCGTGGCTTTCTAGACATAGTTCGTATAGCTTTCGGGGCCAGTTTTTGCCATGAATCTTCAATACATGCGATGAAAAAATAGACCCTCTTTTGGTGGAGTTGACGATCTTGTAGAAGAACGGGTACATGGTCAATGCCGCCGCAATGCCTATGCAAGATGCTAGTAAACGTTGTGGGCGCTCGAAAATGGTGGCTAGATACGACTTGGTGACCCATTTTCTGCCAAATGCGTGTTCAGCTGAGTAGGGCGATAACACCACAAGGGTTCTGTCACTCTCCTTCCTAAACTTGGGCGAGTCACGCTCTATTTGTGGGTTGGATTTCAAGAAGTCGCTGAAGGTGTTTGTAAACTTTGACAACGATGTGTCAATTAAACTCGAAGGCTTCAAGATCTTCTCGTACTTTTGGGTCTCTTCCCATATAAGTTCTGGAATCGGTGGCGGACTGGGGCTCTTGCTGGAGCGAGAGTTTGAGCTGGACCGGGACTTGGTCGAGTTGGACCGCGACCGGGTGCCTCGATCCTTTTCCCATTCTCTGTCACGCTCGATCTTGAGGTCTATTGCTCTGGGGTCTTCATGTTTCACCTTCACAGCGCTAGTTGTTTTGAGACGGTTGGTTCGCTTACCTTTGAACTGAATGATCTCTGCTGGATGTATCACCTCGTCGTCGTCATCCTCATCCTCCTCATAGATGGGGATCGTCTGATCTCTCATATAACCGGAGTGATTGTAGAAGGTGGAGTGAGCCATGGAAACGTCATCTTCGTAGTCGTTGGCAGTGGACCTGATGGTCAAAGTAGTCTCGAACTGGGAGATAAGCGAGTCTTCACTGTCATTATCCTTGAGGTCGTCTTTCAATGACATTCCCGCTTAACTGTTCGATGCGTTGTTTGATCTATTGTTATTTTGATGATGCGTCGCGCTTTCGCAGCTTCTGAAATCGAAGAATCCAGAGTGTATATTAGGACATAAATAGGTAGGGGGCATAAAAGGTTGGAGTCAGCTCGACTGGTACATGACTAGCTCTGTACCTTGAACTCGGAGGCCTTGACCTGTGCCAATCTTGGAGTCTCACCAACGTTATGGCTTTTCTTTCGGATGATATTCTCGATGAACGCTTCCCCAGCTTTATACGATGATCTCACCAATGGGCCACTGGCAACGTATAAGAAGCCCATTTCCAAGGCCTTGTTTTTCCAGTAGTCGAACTTTTCGGGTGTGACGTATTCCACTACCTTCATGTGTCTCTTGGTGGGTCTCATATACTGACCAAAGGTCACCACATCACACTTTATGGCTCTCAAGTCCCGGAGACTCTGTAACACCTGCTCGTCAGTTTCACCGAATCCCAACATCATCGATGTCTTTGTGATCAACGTTGGCTTCACCTGTTTGGCCCTCTCCAACACTGCCAAACTCTGTCTATAAGTGGCTCTTCTATCTCTGACATGAGGAGTTAAGGCCTCCACCGTCTCCATGTTGTGGGCATACACATCCAATCCACTGGATGCCAAGATGTTCACCATGTCCAAATTTCCTCTAAAATCTCCTCCCAAGACCTCGACCAAGATCTGAGGAGCCTTTTGCTTGATCTTCATGACGGTCTCGGCCAAATGATGCGATCCTCCGTCAACCAAGTCATCTCTGTCGACGGTCGTCAACACCACGTATCCCAAGCCCCATCTACTGATGGCTTCGGCCGTATTTTCTGGTTCCATGGGATCTGGCTTGGTAGGAGCTCTATTGGTCTTCACCGAACAGAACCGACAACCTCTGGTACATGTGTCTCCCAATAACATAATGGTAGCAGTGGCCTCAGATTTCTTTCCTCCCCAGCACTCACCGATATTGGGGCACTTGGCTTCTTCACACACGGTTGCTAGCTTCAATTCCCTTACGTCTTCCTTCAATTTATTGAACGATTTTCCCTTAGGAATGGGCACCTTAAGCCACGAGGGCAACCGCTGGTCAGGGTCCTTTCTGGCCGCTTCCAATGGGTCGATCACCATTTTGGCGGCGTCTCCTGTGAGAAAATCTGCAAATGAAGGTCCCTTGTTCAACAGGTCTGAGAACATGGTTTCTCTCCGTTTTTTGGGTTTACTGGACGCGATCTTGGGTTTTGTCAAGTCCCCCGTGACCTCTGTGGCAAAGCATCGGACGGAGTGGGCGCTTTGGGTCTTTAGTCTAGTTTTTAATGCTACTCTTAACATGGTCAATTGATCGGATGGTACAGAGCCATTTTCAAAAAGTTGGTTTTCGCGAAGCCCGGGAGGAAGAGTCCCCGGTGCGACAGAGTCAAATTGCAGTCAAATTGCAGTCAAATTGCAGTCAAATTGTTTTAAAACCATTAGTAATGGGTTTAGGGGTTGGTGATTGGGGGTGGGGTTGTGGAGAAGATGGGCATCTTGAGGCCTCTTTAGAAGTTTGACGATTTTGGAGAAGGTTGAGGATTTTGACAAGTTTTGTGGGTTTAGAACTTGGTGGGATGGCTGCGAATTTGAGTCCCCCGAAGTTCTGATCCACACAGTACAATACTATTACTCTATACAACTACAGCCCTACCCCAACAAACGGTGGACCTTATCGTCTTTAAATCCGTCCAAATTGTCCAAGTTGTCCCACCACTTGAACAAAAACGTTTGGCAAATCAACTTGAACCATGGTGTAAACACCAACGTAGGGTCTTTGAACATCTCCTTCAACTGATGGTGACTCACGTACTTATAGTCCTTCACCTCATTCAAGTTGGCAGAGATGGACACATCCTTGGCCCTCAACACCAAAATATAGTCAATCTCATGCTCTCCCCACTTGGAGTCATCTCCGCCACTGGAGGACTTATAGTGGATTCTTGTCAAAAAGTTGAAGTGTTCCATAATGACTTGTTCGGGAGGAATCCCCAACTCATGCTCTAGCTTACGCTGGGCCGCCGTCTTGACCCCTTCCACCGCCGACTCCAACTGATAGATATCGGGTCCCATCTCGCTCTGTACCGCCAACGGGTGCGAGCAGCAGGTGTTGGTCCACATGGAAGGAAAGGTGATTTTCTCATCAGCTCTTTGTTGCAACAACAACTCATTTTGATCATTGAAAAGAAACACAGAAAACGCCCGGTGCAATAACCCGCCATTGATGTTGTCCATTAGGTGGCACAACTTCTTGGTGCCCGCTCCCAAGGGCCTGTCATTGTAATCCAACACAATACACAACTCATCCATCAACCGGATTTGCTCTGCGTCGTGACCTTCAAAAACCTCATCTCCCCCCGTCGGTGACGAGCTCGTGGTCGCAAGCCCCGAGATATCCCTGATTGGTACCACATCTCTCCACGTCGACAAGACCTCTTCTTCTCCGAGGCTTTTCACCAACTGTTCGTATGTAGTGGAAGGCATGCTGATTGTCTGGTTTTTTTTCCCTCCAATCTCTCGCGACTATCTTATACGACCAGCCGATCACCTTGGCCAGTAGGTGAAGACAGAAACCTACACACCAAAGTATGGATGTCTACGACTCTACTCAAGGTATACATACCTACCAGTATCTCCAACTGTAGCCGCTTCATCGTCCAACCACCATATACCTTAACACCCTCCCACTCTCTTCCGTTCTGCCAAGTTCCACGGTCGTGGCAGAAAAATTTTTACATATCGTCGAGCGTGAGATCCACACTCTGAAAATTACCAACTGGACAGGTTACCTCTAAATCCCACCACGTAACAAAATGGCCTCTTTCTCCGAAAACCCCCAAACGGCTGCCGCCGTCTCCAGACGGTTTATCAAGCGTCCCGATGACTCGGCCATGAAGTCCGAAGTCACCAAGTTGAGAAAGGAAATCGAAAAGGTTGACTTGTCCATCAATACTTTGACTTCCCAAATCGACAAGATCTCCGTTGATTCCGCCACCAACTCCAAAAGGCAGGAATTGCAGCAGCAATTGAAGGAGTTGACTGCCCAGCAGGCCTCCATCAAGGGTGAAAGACAACAATTCATGGATCAAATCAAGGCAATTGACACCCAGTTGAAGAGAAAGGTCACTGAGATTCAGCAACAGACCAGCAAAAACAGTTTCAAGAGTGTCAAGGATATCGACGCCAGAATCGCCTACTTGGACAGTTTGGTCGATGGGGGTGAATTGAAGTTGGCGGACGAGAGAAAAACCGTTAAGGAGATGTCTGCTTTGAGAAAGTTGAAAAAGGACTTTGGCTCTGTCGAAAAGCAGCAGCAGTCCATTGACGCTGACAAGTCCAAAATCGCCGACTTGAAGAAGAAGTTGAACGCCATCCAAAACAAGGAGGTGCAAGCCAAATACGAGGCAATTCAAAAGGAGTTGGACGAAATTAGATCTGCCAACAAATCCATCTACGACAAGAAGGGCGACTTGGTGTCCAAGAGGAACGCCTTGAGAAAGGAAAAGGACTCCAAGTATGATGCCATCAAGAAGTTGAGATCCGAATTTGACAACGAATTCACAAGGTTCAAGACCTTGATGACCGAGGAAAGAAAGAGAAGAGACGAAGAATACAAGTCCAGACAGCAGGAGGAAAAGAAGGCCAAGGCCAAGGAAGTGGCCGACAAGGAGTTGCTGGAAGCCTCGAAGCCCGCGTTCGAAACCGAAATCAACGCCATTCACAGCTTGTTGAAGTACTTTGATCCCGAATACGTGATTCCAAAACCAAAAACCTTTGAGGAGGAATCGTTCGTCACCAACACCAACTCAGTTAGAACCGTGGAGATGCCAAGTGATGTCACGGTGTTGAAAAAAGAAAAAGAGTCTTTCTTTGAAGGTACCAACTCCAAGAAGAACAAGAAGGGTAAGTCTTCCAAGGCAAAGGCTTTCACTGTTGCTCCAGATATCATTGTTTCTTTGGCCGACTTGTCGATTCCATTGCCAACCAAGCAAGAGAATGTTGCTGACACTGTCGCCACCTTGAAGGAAACCTTGACTGCTTTGGAAGCCAAGCAAGATGAACAGACCAAGGCCAACATTGAAAAGGCCAAGGCTAAGGTGGCCAAGCTTCAAAAAGAAGCTGAGGAAGCCGAAGCCAAGGAAGAGGACGCTGAAGAAGTGGACGCTGAAGAAGTGGATGCTGAGGAAGTGGTTGCAAAAACTGAAGCTGAAGACGAAAACTGATTTATCTTGTTCATACAATCGTTAATAAATAAAATATACTGTACGCATTTGTTCGCGAGCCCGATGAGATGTAATTTTTTTCCACTCCACAATGGCTAAAAGAAAAGCTGAAATCGTCAATAAACCGACCAAAAAACCCCACAAGTCTTCTCCCGAAGTGCAGTTCTCTATATGTTTGCCATCATCACTCATCTCGTATGCCAACGCATCAAATTTAGAGCAGATTACCAACATTGCCTATCAAGTGGCTAAAGCTGCAACTATATACAACGTACCCGAAATAATAATACTAGACGTGCCAACCATCGATGCCCAGTATGAAATCCTCGAATCAAAAGCCAACAAAGCCGTCAAAATCGATAAGAAAATCAAGTTCAACGAAATCTTGGAACCTCCAGTACAACAACAAATTGTACCTAATCAACCACAAAATGTCCAAGAAAATCACAACAACCATGAGCTCTTTGAAAGCTTGCTCCAATTCTTCATAACGCCACCGTACTTGGTGAAAGCTATGCTCAAAGACAACAAGTACACAAAGAAGTTCAAGTACGCCCAAACCCTTCCCAAGTTGTCGACTCTTCCATTTATGGGCAATAATGGCACCCACAATGACTTCAAGGAAGGGTTAAGTATACCCAAGAAATCGCCTGGGAACAAGAAACAAAGGAACAAGTTGAAAGTAACCAAATACGTCAATATTGGCCATGCCCAGCCATTTGAATTGACCCAAGAAGTCCCTGTCAATGTTAGAGTTACAGTGGATTTAAAAAACAAAACAATCGTATCTCCTTTACACGCCTACGGGGTGATTGGGTACAAATCTTCCTTTGGGTACCACACCCGAATCGCCAGGAACTTCAATGAAATCTTCACGAAAAGTGCCTTTCCCACCGGCTACACTTCATCGATATACGTCAACTGTGCAAACTACTTCTCTTCCGAACCTGCCGATACCACCAATAATATTCAGCTCAATAGCCTGGAAAATAACCGGGTCTTGTTGGTGTTTGGCAATCCGAAGGATCTTGAGTTTAGTTTCAAACAAGACAAGTCTCTCAGTGTACCGAGTTTCACAGATCTTTTCGACCAAAAACTATGCATTCCTCCAACCATCAAGGTGGAGGATGCCGTATTGATCGCATTAACAAAGTTGTACAATCTCTAAGTCCAGTGTACTGGTCAACAGTTCATAATCAATAAACACAATAGAGGTTTGCAGTCAAATCGAGCATTCCGGATCCAAATCTAGACTTTCTATATTTGGCATATTTCTAGTCGAGCATGTTTACAAAAAAAAATTTTCGAATAAAGCACACTTCACACACACATTCGTTCATCATGAAATACCAATTCTTGACTGCTTTAGCCGCCACTGTGGCCTCTGTCAATGCTATGGGTGATGTATGTTAACACTTCTGATGGTTAGATTCAACCTGGTCAAATTCCCATCACTCTAGCCCTCATATCAGGGTCTGGCCACGATTGCGTTGAATCTTGACACAAACGCACCTTCCAGTACTAACATGTTATTTTATAGCTTGCCTTCAACTTCGGTGTCCAAGACAACTCAGGAAACTGTAAGAGCTCTGAAGAATTTGCAGCTGACTTGAAGACCTTGTCTTCATACGCCAAAATCGTCAAAACTTATGCTGTTTCTGATTGTAACACTTTACAAAACTTGGGACCAGCTGCTGACGACGCCGGATTCCAAATGATTGCCGGTATCTGGCCAACCGATGATGACCACTTCAGTTCTGAAAAGACCGCTTTACAAAACTACTTGCCAAATATTTCCAAAGATACCATCAAGGTTTTCACCGTTGGTTCTGAAGCCTTATACAGAGACGACTTGTCTGCATCTGACTTGGCCGACAAAATCAATGAGATCAAGGACTTGTTGAAGGATATCAAGGACAAGAACGGAGACTCATATGGTGACGTTCCAGTCGGGTTTGTTGACTCCTGGAATGTTTTGGTCGATGGGGCCTCTCAACCAGCTATCAAGGCTGCCGACTTCACCTACGCCAACGCCTTCTCCTACTGGCAGGGACAAACCTTGAAAAACTCATCATACTCCTTCTTCGATGATATCATGCAAGCCTTACAGGTAATTCAAACCACAAAGGGAGATACTGACATTGAGTTTTTCGTTGGTGAAACCGGATGGCCAACTGAAGGTACCAACTACGAAAATGCCCAACCAGGTGTTTCTAACGCCAAGACTTACTTTCAACAATCCGTCTGTGCTCTCAGAGCTTGGGGTGTCAATGTGGGTGTTTTCGAGGCTTTTGACGAGGCTTGGAAGCCTGACACTTCTGGTACTGATGATGTTGAAAAACACTGGGGTGTTTTCGACTCTAACTCAGACTTGAAGTATTCATTAGATTGTAACTTTTAATGACATCTACCGGTGGGTGTATGGGATTTTTCATAGGTTTATAAGGTTTTTAGATACCCAAATTATTATTTCCTCGTTTGTACTTGTACTTTAATGAAGCATCACCTTGCATAAGTCTGCTATTTACGGCTTACTCTGCCAAACTTGAAATCTATCACTAGTAGTTTTTAGCTTTTGCCCCTTTAACATGTCTTCTTTATTGGTGTTTTTTGTTTTGGCAGTCAAAGTGTGCTGCATTGGCATCGACGGTACATGGATGAGCAAGTCCAAAACTGTCATTACTGGCCCTAGAATCTATGATCCTGTTGATGAGCTAATCTATGAACCAAGTCTACCAGGAGTATGCTACTCATTTGACAAAGATGGCTATTGGGAACAGGCAATCTACTCGGTCACCTCGAATCCAATTGAGCCAAAGGCTCCAACTGCAGCCATTATTTGGCAGCATGGGAAATATACCATCCACAAAGATGGCTCCATGAGTTTGAAACCTTATCCTTCGGATGGCCGTAAGTTATTTAGTGATCCTAGCAAGTCAAAAGAGTCTATATACATGAGGTATAATCAGGAAGAGAAAATTGACCATTTTGATATTGAATACGACTATTATTATGGTAAGTACAAACTCCAATTGTATTCATTTGATGGCTCCAAGAAACAACCACTATGGTTGGAGTACAATCCGCCAATGATGCTACCTACTTCTGTGCTCAACCCAACAAATGAAAAGGAGAAAAATGCTTTGGCTAATATAAACAGGAAATTGAAGAGGTCTATTGAAAATATAGGAAAGACACAATTGACCAGGGTAGATTGGATAGATATATGGATGTTTCATATTTTCTCGGTCTTGGGGTTGGCAATGGCAGTTGCTGCATTGGCTTATGTGTTAACCATGTTATCGAAAACTAGGAGAAAATATAAATTAAAGTGATGCTTGTTTTATCTGAAAGTTTTTTTATCCGAGTTGTCACCAGATTGTGAAATTTACGAAATTTGAATAAAGTAATAGTAACACGAGATGACCTTCAAAAATCATGAAAAAACCACAATTTGTCTACTAGTATATCGGACTATAGGAATAAACCAACTCTTCATGATTTTTGGGCATACCAAAAATTTAGTTATCCATGCATTTACCAGCTGAGTTCAGAAAAGATCAATGTCATATTCAACTAAATAATAATGTTCAAGACAACTCGCCGTAGATTCTTCTTAAAGTCTTGGAAACAACCCCCAAGCCATCGACCAATCTGTCAAAGTCATTATCTTCAATAGCTTCTTGCAAGGCTGGATACACTTGTCCAGCATAACCTGTGAATCTACCACTAGCATAAATAATGTGTTTGAACCATTCTCTTTGATGCAACCCCTTGTGGGTCAAGAAGTTTCTTTCAAAGTATTGCAATAACTTGTTCTGTTTGATGATTAAGAACCTTAACTTGAATCTGCTCCAGAAAGGTAAGGAGTAGCGGTCGTCAAATTGGAGTTGGAGGTCTTCAGATTTAGCATCGAAGGCTTCAGTGGTTTCCTTAACCTTTTCCAAGTCAGTGATGGTGGAATCAAGAAGATCTCCTAAGGTAACATCTTCATGGTCCTCCAAGAGGTGCATAATACTTCCTTGGTGTTTGGGACACATACCATGCTTAAGGAATTCTGGGAATGGAAGAGGTGACTTGGCTTTATAATAGCCATGGGCAGTAGATTTCATAAAACTGGTCTCATCCTCGGAATAAGTCAAGAGATTCTTCAAAGTGTCAGGGTCTTCGATTCTTTCCTTCAACCAAGTCTTTGGAATTTTTTTCTTCACCACCTCAAAGTACCCAATCAAGTAGTCAGCATAATCGGCGACTTTTAAGTTCAACACTTCTCTGTCACTCAATTCCAAAGCTACCAACCCCAAGTATTTGGCCATCAAGTTGTGATAAACGAATCCTTTGTCACCGTAAGTTTCCATCCAGTGGTAGGAATCGTAGTTGGAATGATAATGGTAAATAGCAGAACCCTTAACGGGTCCGAATCCCATGTCAACAGATGGAATACCCAAATGTTCCAAGAACACAGTGTAGTCAGAACCAGATCCCAAGACACCAATCTTGTCACCGTTATGAGAGATGTAGTGATCCAATAATGATCCAACACCTTCTTCTGGGTATGGCAAAATGCTAGCAGCCTTTTTCAACACACTGTACAATGATGGGCATCCCTGTAAGCCAAGTACAGGGCCAGACACGGAAACGTCCACATTCAAATAGGCCACAACTTTCTTGGATAATTGTTTGGCAGCATATTCACCATATTCAGTGGAGCCTAACAAGCCGTATTCTTCACCATCGAAACTCATGAGAACTATACTACGCTTGAATTTGTATCCTTGCTTTTGCAATTCTCCCAAACCTCTAGCAATTTCGAGTAAGCTGGAAGATCCAGAGTTAGGATCACCAGCACCACCTTTAATCCAGGCATCACGGTGGTTACCAATGACAATCACTTCGTCCTTGATTTCACCTTCAATCTCACCGTAGACGTTGGTCAACGTAGAAATGTTATAGAATTGATCACTGTACAAGTTTAATTCGGTCTTTTTGTTTGGACCCGTGTAGTATTCAAATCCTTCCAATTCACCCACCCAGTTTTCTTGGGTCATCTTCACCCCATGTCCGTTCAACTTCTTCAAAATGGGCTTGACTTCTCTATAACTAATGGGCAAAACTGGAATCTTCCCAATGGAATCGTGGGGATCTTGACGTTCACAGCCCGGCTTGGAAGCATAACCAGGGGTGGTTGGATCACCTGGAGCAGCACCAATACCTCCCAAGAACTGCACACTTCCTCTTTGAACCGAGCTTTCTTGTCTGGCAGGTCCTTTTGGATACTGCTTATAGCCGTTGGCCTCTGTGATTCCACCATCGTCACCGGGATCACTATAAAGCAAAACCCCGATGGCACCATTATCTTGGGCAAATTTGACCTTCAATCCTCTGAAGATCGAACCGTATCTAGCAACCACAATTTTACCAGCCACATCAACACCCAAGCCCTTTAACAATTCAAAATCATCCTTGGTTCCGTAGTTCACGTAAACGTACTCAGCGGTAACGTTCCCATTGGCAGCATATCCCAAGAAAGTTGGGATCAAGTCATCACCACCGGTGGTCTCATCATCTTCAAGAACATCTTCTTGCAATGGAGCAGTGTAAATCACATCTCCCTCTTCCAACAAGTTCAATGCGTGCTCGTTAGGGTAGCTGACCAAGATCTCGTAATCGTCCACAGAAGCCTTGAAGCCGTACTCTTCAAATTTCTCCTTAGTAAAGTTAACCAACCCATAGTTGGTACCAGCCAAGTGGGGTTCCGCAGTATAGATTTTAGACCAATTGGATGCCAAGTTGACTTCCAAGGCACTCAAGAAGGTGGATCTGAAGTCAATTTCGTCCTCAGATGCTTGAAATGCAAAGGGGTGGTACATAGATAAAGAATAGATTATATTAAGAACCATTAACAAGTTAAACAATTTCCAACCACGACTGAGAGAACGCTTGGGGCGTACATTTCCCACGTGGATAGGCAATTCCTTTTCAATAGCCATAATGAGAAAGAAAAGGAGTAGTGAGTAAAGAAAGCAATAGATATGGCTGCAGGAGATAAAAGGCGCGAGTGTGGACAGAGCCACACAGTGGCCGGCCGTTTTCTGATTGGGATATTAATGTTTTTTTGAAAATATATAAGGACTTGCAAGGATGAAAAAAAGTCCTATTGATAGGCAACTCATCTGTAGTACATATATCAACATATCTATGCTTCAATAAGGAACTTGATTGCCCAAACATCGAACTTGAAAATCCGGAACCGGTGAGAATATTTTTCTCGAAAATTGACTCCGTGGCCAAGCTGGCTAAGGCGTAAGACTGTTAATCTTGAGATCGTGAGTTCGATCCTCACCGGGGTCGCTTTCTTTTTGTTTCGTATATTTGCTATTATTGATGCCATTAGTGGAACCAGCCCCCAAGGATATTACTTCGCTTGGACTTCTTCTTCCTCAGAGGTTCCTTGACCTGCCCGTTTCCTTGGTTAGCACTCGGTTTGCTTGAAATAGGAGATGCAGCAATTGTTTCTAACGCTCCAGACTCTTTATAGAGCATTTGGGTGAGGTTCTTTGAAGTCTTGGACTTTTCAAACTGTACCGGGTCATTTGAAGTCTGGTTCATTTTAAGTATGTCATGCGTAGACTTAGTAATGTGAAGATGGTTTGATAATTGGGTAGTCGAAGGTGACTTTGTCGGAGGTGACTTCAAATACAAAGAATCCCTCCGTAGGTTTTTGAACTTATGGGATAGGCCTTCGGATCGCATCAGTAGATCATGTAATTTTTTCAAAGAGTCTGACTTTTTCATACCAATATTATTGACATAGGGAGATACGGGAGGTCCGGCGTTCAAGACATCTTTCATGCTCAAATACAGCACGTCCACCTCTGTTATATCATGATCATCGTCTTTGTTGGTGCTGGAATGCATTGTGCGGTGAGTGTTGGGGATTGTGGATAATCGCTTACTGGACGTACTTGAAGACTGTTTCTTCTCCAAAAATAGGATTTTGCCCTTCAAGTCACTGATGGTGTTTTCATAGTTTATTATATGCAAATTCTTCTCGGTGTTGATTTTTTTCTCTAGGTACAAGTCGTTTTCTAGTAATGCAATCTTCTCCAACAATTCCATGTTGAACAGGTTCAAGCTTTCTAACTTGTTACTAATGAGTCGATCTTTGGACTCCATATTATCATTTGTGATCTCCACTTCTACAAGTTGCTGCTTCATGGCCATTATTTCTGTTTCAAATGCCCTTTTCTCATCATTGTGCTTGTCATTGAGTTCATTAATTTCGGTCTTCAAAGACTTGATCTTCAAGTTCAACTCTTTGATCGTTTCAGTCTTGATGGCATCGTCCTTGGACACCCGGGCATTCTCCTCTTCTAGGTTCTGTAATTCGTCTTCCAACGCCTTTTCTAAATCTTTGCTCGAGTCTTGAAACTCCTGAAGCTCGTGTTCAAGCTCTAACACCCGATTAACGATTTCATCTTTGGACCAGTGGAATAGAGTCTGGGAATCCGGGCGGTTGGGGGTCCGTGGAGGGGCAGAGACCGTGCTGGGAATACTGGTAGGAATGCTTCTGATACTTTCTCTGCTCATGAATGGGTCAGGCAAGTGTGTTGATCAAAATGTCAATACAATAATATAGTGTGCGCGGTGCGATGTCTTCACCACACGTTAATGAGGGTGGTGAAATAGTACCTCGTGATTGGTCTGACCGCTGCATGGAGCAGGCACAATGTATACCACTAATACCAGTACATGGAGGACTTTCCTGGTCCAAATCAAATATGGTCGTGTGTACCACATATCCACCTTTGTCTTCCACGCACCCAGCCGCTTCTGCACATCAATTATTATCTTCATGACAGTGAAAACAGCAGCAGAGTGGGCCAAGGCCTTAAACATGCAAAAACACCCGGAAGGGGGGTATTATATGGAGAGTTATCGATCATCCGATATCGTCAAGTCCAACAAAGGTAATGATGTGGCTTTGTGTACCAGCATCTATTTTATCTTAGAAGACACTAATCCATCGAATTTTCACCGAATTGCATCTGATGAACTCTGGTACTTCCACGAAGGTCAGTCATTGACAATTCATTGCATTTATCCGGACGGAGAGTACAAAGCGGTGAGGTTGGGCAAAGACGTAGAGAATGGGGAAGTTCTTCAGTTTGCAGTGCCAAAGGGTGTTATCTTTGGTTCCAGCGTCGACACCGGGTTTGCGTTGGTTGGGTGTATGGTTGCCCCAGGGTTCGTGTTTGAAGAGTTTGAGTTGTTTAAGTATGACGAGTTGGTAAGCCAGTATCCCCAGCACCAAGACATTATCAGAAAGCTTACCGTCAACTAAATCCATTCATATCTATTTAACATCTATTTACAATTCTATGCCAAGTGAGCAGGTTGAGAAGACTCAGGGGTTGGACTCAAGTCATCAAACTCGATCTCTTCTTCGTCTTCGCTGAAGTTCCGTAACGACTTTTCCCTTCTCAACTGCTTATCAGCAGCCAAGGTCTGGGCAAACTTGGATCTCCGTCTAATTTCGGGACCTTTCCAGTAAAAAACATAAATGGGGATGGCCACCACTATGGCCACCAACCCTAAAAATGTACTGGCCCATTGGTATGGGTGGCTAGGACTCATTTTCTTATACATGGGTCCCGCGTACATGGCTGCAATTCCTGCCAAAAGGTCTCTTGAAAACCCGTTACCACCAGTGGCAGAGGCCGAATAGGGCCCATAGGCTGCTACCATATAGTCGATGGTGGACATGTAAATGGAGAAGTTTGCAATGGCAATTAGTGTCAAAAAAATCACGGGTGCAATCCAAGGTGAATGGCTTGGACCGAACGAAGTCCACGCAAACCCAAACAATCCAATAGGTTCCAACGGAGCCAAAAACAAAAGTAATAAAAGTCGTCTTTCCGCCAATCTGGCAGCCTCACCGTCTGTCTTCAAGATCTTCAACTGCCTGGCGATATCAGGAAGATGCAAAAAGTACGCAATGAAATATCCGATGATGATGGCACAGAAAATCAACCCTTGGGCAATGCTTGAAAATCCCCATTGGACAAACACCAAGGGCACCGATTCCATACAGATGAAGATCAAGGCATCCGAGAAACCTGACAACAATGACAAAAACAACACAATTGGTTCAGTCAAAAACATCTCAAAAGGTCTCTTCCAGATAGTGAACACTTCGTTGAACGAAAGACCCTTTCTGAAGGTTCCAGGGCCGTAGATGTTGTCATCTTCACCTTCTTTTCTTCTTCTAGCTGCTTCTTTATCTATCAAAATACTGGACCTGGTTTCGGGAACCGTCAATAAGTGAAGAACCTGAACTACCACTCCAAAGATCATCTGGATCCAGAAGTTCCACTGTAAGTCCAACTTATCGGCAATGATACCGCCAAAAATGGGCCCGAGCGAAGAACCCCCAACCGAAGATAACACCACGTATGCCACCGCAAACCCTTGGTCACTGGATTCCCACATATCAGCACACATCCCCAATGTCACAGACCCTCCGGCAGACGACAAACCACCCAAAAATCTTGCAACCAATAAACCCCCAAGATTTGGAGACAATGCTGCTGGTATCTGCCAAATGTTCACGAAAAACAACGACAATTGCATGATGGGCCATCTACCATACTCCTCGGACCAAGGAGCCCATAGCTCACACCCAAACGCATAGGACACCAAGAATATCATTTGTCCGCATCTGGCTGCGGCCTCGCTCACAGCATATTTTGCAGTAATCTGGTGGACCGAAGAACTATACACACTGGAGTTGAAGTTCATCGACAACTGCACCAAGAATACAACCGTCAAAATGTACCATTTTTTGGCCCACGGATAGCTGAAACCAAGCTTATCGTGGCATTCTTCCTCTTGTAATTCTCTTCTTCCGTCAGGCTGCACCACCCCTATTACCCGTTTGGTCTTTCTTCTGACTATATTTGGCCGGGAAATCCCAGTGCCTTGAGACTGATATTGTGGACGTGGCAGATTCCCCAGCGAGCTTTCGTTGTTGTTGAATTCGGAGTGGTCCCATGTAGCCTTATCTCTACCGGTTTCTGACGTCCCGCTCAACGTCTGGTTAGAAGACATTTTGTACTTGGTGAAAATTTATGCAAAAGCCGATGGGGGAGGCTCTGAGGCGTTTATAAATGCTCGGGGATATTCCGGGTGTAGTTTGCTGCCATATATATAAATAAAGTGTTTCAGGGTGCAAGCGTTTCACGCACAAGTATAATTGCTGTGAAAAAAAGAGTGCATAAGAACAGTAAACTTTAATGGAGGGGAGATCCCCCTATTGTGCGGTTTACTTCGGCCACTCCATACGCCATGTTGATACGAATGGCCTCACAAAAATCCTAGGGAGGTTAACAGGGCCAAAATGCTCGGTTCCCATAACTTGGCCGCACAATAGCCATCTGCATATAGTTTATCCGGCCGTCTCTGCTTGCTAACTCTAACTGGTGACTGAGGCGGAACCGTTTTCTGTGTCATTACGTAACTGCTCATACAGTACTCCAAAGCCCCGTACACCTGGTAGTGTGACAAAGATGTTGACCGTTTAGTGGTTTCAGAGGTGCATAACGATTTCGTCAGGTGGGGCAGGTTCGGAACTTTTGATTACCCCCAGCCGAATTAGGGTGCATGATCGGAGGGAACGTCTGCGGGAGAATAAGAAAGCGTTTTTTAAATACATATCACTTATGGAGTGGAAAGTCGGGAAGACCTCCATCAGCCGTATAACTATAGGCTCTCACCACCACATCGGTGGTGCAGTCACAAGAGCTGGGGTCCAACTCCTGCTTAGGCACCAACACATTCTTATTTCTTGTGGCATCCTGGCAGATGACCCAATTGTTACTGTTGTCAAACAACAAATTCCCGAAATGAATAGAAAAGTGCCCCGCTGAGTCTGACCAATTGTTGGTCACTTCAAGATGGGTCTGCACCGCCAAAAAGGCTCCAGGGTACTTGGCCACTGACAAACTTAAATCTCCGTTAATTACTCCAGTAACGTTATATTTGGTTGAGTCCACACTCAGATTAACCACTAAATCCCAATCGGAATCATACACCACGTACTGAAAGCCACTGGTTTGGACTGAGAAATCGGATGCGGCGGAGGTCGGAGCGTTGGAAGGAAGTTTCAATGCCACCAAGTAGAACAGCTCGCTGTGGGGTTGGCTGTCAACATGAGTGTCAGCTGAGCAGACGGTTTGGAGACAAACTGCAACAACACTTAACAATGATTTCAACAACATGATTACCAAAACATAATGGCTTTGGAGTAAACTTTATAGGGTTTTTAGCATAGTATTTTTCAGCATTTGCAGCTGCCGAAAGATGCAAAAAAATTAAAAACACTAAAAACGTGTTCCACCTTCCCATCTGTGGACTCCCAGTCATCAATCGTCATTTGTTGTCTCCCAGTCACCCCTCTTCATTTGATTCCGGCTGGTGTTTCCTTGTGTAACCAGTTAGAGGTTTTGCGTGCCCCCACCACCGCAGCACATCGCTTGCTCAACAAACTTACCCTACCTTTGTTTGTGAAAATAGCGGGTAACACTTTAGATTGCAAAAACAAAACCCCAATCAAACCATGAATAACCAACAGGAAATTGGAGGTGCTCAAGCATTACTACAGCTCGGGTCTAAGGCCAAAGGGGCTTCCAAGAGAAGACCCAGCACCAATCCGAATAAAACTGACCCTGAATCCAAACATCAACATGAAGAACCTCTGTCGGAAGGGCATTTCGACCACTCCCAAACGTCCGAATTGGAGCCTTCTGGGCCCCAAGACGACGATATTGACTCGAAGGCTACCAATCAGCAGATCAACGACGCCGTTGAAGCTGCCGTCATGAGATACGTTGGAGGTAATTTGGATGATGATAAAAAGTCTAAAAAGAGACTCAACCCCGATGAGATTATCTCCAGTATCGGAGACTTCCAGACGTGGTCCGGGTTCTTGGAAGAAGGTATGAACGATAACCCTGACTTTTATGATAACCACAACAATCATAACCAACCTACCAAGAGTCCCAAAAAGAAGAAGCGCAGAACCCTATCTCACCCCAGTAACGAAATTGATCCCGAGTTAAGCGGGCTTGACTCGAACTCGGAGCACGATCAGTTGGTTCGGGCTGCTATCTTGGAGACTCGGGAATTGGCCAAGCAGTTGGGCTCCACCTACAATACGCTAACCAACCTTCCTGCTCATCAGGCGCACCAAGTGATTGCAGCTCTACAGAATAATCACAACGGTGGAGATTCCATCTCCAATATTAACCATTTGGTACAGCTTGCCAAGGACCAGAATGCCGAGGTTCCCAACAGCACCATCAGGCAGTTTCGCAACTTTGACTTCAAGAACCTTGAATCCCATCAGAATTATGCCACCACAGGAAGTTACACTCACATCCAGTCAGTAGAGAACTTGTCGGACGAGTCACAGAAAATCGCCATGAACTGGTTCAAGGATCAGCCCCAGACAAAGGGCCCTCGGCCGTTTGCACCGGAAGAACAGAAAGCTGTGGAACATTTCATCGAAGGATATGGCTATTTGTTCAAGATGGACAGAAAGGATATTTGCAACCGGATTTGGACAACGGCTCGGAAAAAGGACAACTTCTGGGAATGTCTCACACGGGTGCTTCCGTACAGATCGAGGGCTTCGGTGTACAAGCATGTCAGACGGCAGTACCATATTTTCGATGTTAGAGGGAAATGGACTTCTCAAGACGACGAGCAGTTAAGTAAATTGGCTGCAGTAAAGCAGGGAAATTGGAAGGAGATCGGGGCGGCGATGGGGAGAATGCCTGAGGATTGCAGAGACAGGTGGAGAAACTATATCAAGTGTGGGGAAAACCGAGTTCTGAGCAAATGGTCCTCTGAGGAGGAAGCCAAGTTGAAACAGGTGGTTACGGAGATGTTGACGAAACTGAAAATCAACGCCATCAACTGGACCTTGGTATCGGAAGCCATGGAAGGTACGCGGTCACGGATCCAGTGTCGTTACAAATGGAACAAACTTGTCAAGAAAGACTCTATGTCCCGTATAGGTGAAATGGACGTCGATACCAAATTATGGTTGTTTCAAAAAATCAAAATGTTGAACTTTTCCACCTTCAAGGAAGTGGATTGGAGCTTATTAGCTCGTATGTGTAACGAGGAGCTCAAGCAGCCAAACAAATGGCTTCCCAGTGACTTTGAATACGGATTTGAGAAGTTGAAGTCGGTAGTCAAAGACCACAAATCTCTAACCTTCCCTGAATTGTTAACCCAGCTTATCCAAGGGTGCCATTGTATAAGAGAGAGACCTGGTGTCAATAAACAGGGGTCCAATACAGACACCATAGACCAGGTTCATGAACAGACCTCGGAACCAGATAATGATAAAGAGTATTTGTGGAGATAGTTAGTTTACAGTATGCGCGGTCCAACAGTTGGATCCAAAAAAAATAATAAACTTACTCAAACTTATTCATAATGATTAACTATGACGATGGTGAACATAACTTGTTATCGTTCTATGGAATAAAGACGTTGAATCCTACAAAAGTAGAAGATATAAATATAGAGTCAACAGAACCAGTAGACGTGGACAACATCAAATCATTAGATATTGAGGACCAGTTTGATATATTAAACAAGCTTGTCAAATATGACAATGAATCGGACAACCAGCGTCGATACATTGACGAAGACGTCGAGGACCCTTTGAGGGGCCCAAACACAAACGTGATCAAAGATTTGATTGCCAAGCAAGTCATTTCATCCAAGAATGATCCATCAATGAACGAATACTTGATATCTTCCAGACAGTTCAATAGCGAAAAGTTTTTGTCAACCGTACACAAGAACACTTCAATTGATGATTTAACAAGGTACTTGAACTACTTGCAACAAAGCATACTTGGACAACAAGATGAATTGAAACAAACAATCGATGAAAACTACACCAATTTCATCGAGTGCAAGAATGCCATTGACAGAAATTTGATCCAATTCAAGCAGCTGAAAACCAGGGCCCAGCAGGAGATGGAAAAGATCAGAATATATAATCCCAGCAGAGATAGAGACAGACTGAAGAATCAAGGAATGGATAATAATTTCTTGATCAATGAATTGGAAGAGGCAATCAAGAATTTGACATTATTGACATCTACAATGATCAGACCCATTAAGGAGAATAAGGCGAAGGAAGTAAAGATTTCGAAGTTGATTGACTTTGTAGGTAAGAACGAGTTTTTGTTTAACTTGCCCTCAACTTTGATTAAGAATGTGAAGGCTTCCAATCATGATGATATCGTCGAAGACTTACAGAGGTATACGAAACTAAAACAAAAGCTCATTGAAGAAGAAAACAACAAACTTGACTATATTAATAGGAGAACGGCTTCTGCTGCAGCTGATGATGATGTAAAACAAGGTATACTACAGGATCACCAGAGTGTCAACACTTTACTAATAAAGATATTCAGCGAAGTGGACAGGATCATAGAAGAGTACAGAAGATCCACTTACAATGAATTGTTATCGTTTGATCATGAAATAACAAACTCAAGGTTCAACCGATCTAACAACACCAAATTTTTGTCGTTGGTTGATAAAATTGACCAGCTTAACGGAGATTTAAAGCATTTGGAGTCTCCAATCAACACCTTTTTGAAGGCACAATTGAAAAAATCAAATAAGGATTTAAACTATCAAATAGTTAAATTCGAGGACAGATTCTCAAGCATGCAGAAGAAATTATTGGATTACATTCAAAGTCTCTCTGATCATAGAGTGAATGGTTCCTATGTCAAATACATTGCTGGAAAGTATAAGAATTTAGAAGAGTATTATAGAGCCTCCTCGATGATGAAGTCATTGACATTTGAAGAAAAAGAACTGATTATTCTTGAGATATTTGACAGCAGTGATAATTTGGATTTGTCGTTGATCAATGAAACTTGGTTGATATTTTTGAACTTTGTCAATTATTTATCTGATGTTTACTTGAAGAACATCAGCAAATTTGTCAATAACTATAACTATTATGTGAATAATAATAGGGACGTTGACTCGAAACAAGAAATCAGACAGGAGTTTGTCAATTCTATCATTGATATCTCCAATAAGCTCTTCAATATTTTCAACAGCCAAGAAGATACTTCCAATCAATTACAGAGCTCACCAAAGTACTATTCGAACATTTTGCCATATTACACTAACTCACTTTCAAGTGTATTTTACATCAGCAAGATCAGCGATAAAGTCAACTTAATTTTGACTAGTTTTGGAAAGAATATAACATTGGTGGGAAATTTGGGTAAAAGTAATGATACCAACAAGATCATCAAGAACTTGCGGAACATCTCCCACTCCATCAATCAAAGGATATTGGAAGCTGTTTGTGCAGTATGGGTGAACGACTGCTCTCAGTTCTATGATTTAGAGAACTGGGAAGTAGATGAAAAAATCTTCAAGTTTGATAGCTTTATTCAAGAAAACAAGGAAGTAGATGAAGGTAATAGCAGCATCACCAAATTGGTTAACATCATTGAATTCTACAGTATTTTCATGTTGAGAAAGATTAAAAGTCTCATGTTCATCAGTAACTTGAACACCGAAGAGGAGGATTACGTCAAGATAGTAACAACGTATCCAAACAAAAAAATAGCTCGTTAGTGTTGAAATTCAATTCATGAGATGTCTAAGTATTTTGGTTGATTCCGTTATGAAGAAGTACAATCTTGAGCTGCAAAACTTGAACACCAACTCCAAGATAGATGAGGTCTTCAAAGTTTTGACCATGAACAACTTTGATAGAATAACCAGAGTAGTGTACCCCGAATTGATTAAGAACTATGACAAAAAGTTCGACAAGGAATTATCGAAACAGAGCTTAAAGTTATTTAGTGACATCGACAAAGCTGGATTGACTATTCTTGATGATATTCTTTCGAAGGAGAAGCTTCATTTAGATGAAAATCTAAGTAAATTCTTCACCACTTTGAAGAACAATAATGGAAGAAAAGAAAACAAGGTGGAGATCCACGTTGATAACTTCATTTATGAGGTTTTAATTCATTTTGTCAAGCTAGTTCACAACATCAAACCCATAACTAATAAGGAGATCTTCATCAACATCATTAATGAGTTGCAAAACTTCTTCTTGAAAACATTCCTTGATAGTTTCCGAGCTTTGGAAACTACCTTGAAACATTTCGATAAGCTCATGGTGAATTTCCGATTGGACATCAACTTCTTCATTGAAGTGTTTGAACCTTCCAAGACTATAAAGTTAAACGAGTACAGTTTCAATATCGCTGAAATCATCTTGAAAACAGTCCTAGAAAGAGAGACAACCAAGTTAATGAGTGACAAGGAATTCGACCGAATCTTGATTCGGGCCTTAAAAGACAGTGCCAGTCAGTTCGACTGTTTAAGTAGATAGAATAAAAGAGAATCTATTGGTGCCCATTATATTATTAAACAAAAAACAATATCCCAGCTCGACTCTATACCTCCCTATAATCCCTTATAAATATAGAATTTGTGTGTGTGTGTGTGTGTGTTGTATGTTGTGGTGTGTTTGTACATGTGTGAACGTTCATACCTTAATTAGAAGCAGTGGTCACAGCAGTTGCTTCAGTCTTTTCAACCTTTTCTTGAACGGAATCAGAATCGGCACCTACTGTCAACTTTTCGTTCCTGACTCTCTCGAATAATTCATCTTGTTCTTCCTTGGTTAATTCAAGTTTCTTCTTACCCTTAATGTGGTACATTGGGTTCAATTGTCTCAAAGTCAAATTCTTGGTGAATGGCAAGTGGCCGGTCTTTTCTTGGAACAACATCAATGAGATGACGACAATAAGCAGTAACCAATAGATGTTGTAAGAAATGACAGAACCATAGGTAGCAGAGTTTTGCCATCCCAACAAGGCATTGAAGACATCCCAACCGTGATCTTTTTCAGGGTTGCAACAGTTGACGTGCCAGACCGACTTGGTGATGTCGTAAGTACCAGGACCCGCACCATTTTCGGAAGCATCACCACCAGTCTTCTTGTTGAAGACGTAGGTCTCAAAATACCAAATACCTCTGGAAAACAATCCAGCGGAAATCAAGTACAAGATACAGGTGGAGAAAATCAAAAAGATTTGCAACGAAAAGGTGGAACCAAAGTAGTACAAAGCAAAACCCACGGCGATACCGGCAATCAAACCGGCAATGACTGGAATTGGGAAAGCGGTGGCAGGACTGTTTAAACTAACCCCACCCACGAAAACGACAGCTTCCAAACCTTCTCTCAAACAGGTGACAAAAGGTAAGATGAACATAACGTATTTCCTGGAGTAGTAACCAAGTCTAAACCAAGAACCCTTCTTAGGCTTTGCCAAGAGAGCTTGGGCAATCTTTACTCTCCACTTTTCCTTCATCTTGTTGATTCTCAACATGGCAATTCCCATCAACGAGATGATCACGGTGGCAATGATACAGAAAACACCTTCCCATAAATCTTCCGAGCTCGTCCAGATATCCTTATGTAACGAGTAGAAAGCACCAATAAATCCAGCACCGATAATTAAACAGATTACTACCCCTATAATCGACCCTAGCCATACTTGAAGCCTTAGCTTCTTGTAGACGACAGGGTCATCGTGGACTCCACCCAAACCTTGTTTCAAGAACGCCAACAAGACGGATACCACCACAATTGCTTCCAAGGCTTCACGGAAAACAATGAAGAAAATCTGAACGTTAAATACGTTTACCATTATTTAATTTGAATATACAAACAACTAGGACTAGCCTATTAGTGTGATTATACTATAAGGGATTATTAGGAAAATAAAGGGTAAAGAGAAAAAAAATAATTTGCAGTGGGAATCCTCTGACTTTATAGGATTTGACACACAAAACCATCCAATCCTAGGGGGCATGAAAATTTTTTATCAGATACCATCAGTGCAGGGCACACCAACCACAGGTAGTTCGTAATTGGGTTTTGCGGCACGGGGCACCATACTGGCAACGATGATTGGCTGTTTTCGGGGTACTTTTTGAGGGCGGAACACCGACGTGCATACTGCCCGTTTTAAGCCCTCTGACTGGTGTTCGGTCAACGAGCCCTTGTCGGCTATAAAGAATGTCAAGGACAAGGGCTTTGTCGGGTACTGGCCTTTAAGCAGTAGCTCATCTAGACTTCCTTATTAGGTGTAGAGGCATTTTCGCGCAATTCTGGGAGGCCTGGGGTAGGCCTGGTAAGAGTTGATGGTAGTCGCTTGGCAGTGGTTGCTTTGGCAGACTTGACAGGTGTCGCAATTGTGTCAGTTTTGACAGGCTTGGCTGTCGATTTCAGGTTGAGAGTCGGTAAAATGAAAAAATGAGAGGAGTTAGACGGAAATTTAGGGCCGGCACCGTGGTGGTACAGAAGCTCTGAGGCAGGAAAGGTGCACCTACCCCTTTTGCGCATTATGACCCAATGACCTTTGAGTGTGGTAATGATAAAGTGGTGGCTATTTTATGAATAAAGTATTGACTTTTGTATTAACTTTTGACTGAGATACATATAAGGCTTTTGCCGAAATTGGAAAGTCTCTATTGTGCTGTGTGTGGATTGGCCACAAAGTTTCAGGCGGTGCGGCGAGTCGATCTTGGCTGCTTGGCTGCAGGAGAGGAAAATGCCTGGAGTAGGGATTTCAGGGATGAACAGCAACGCTTCTACCAGACTCCCATCTCACTTTATCTGCGATTTCCCAGCATTTTTCTCGAGTGGTTAGAACTGCGAATTCAGTGGCTCAATTTTAGTCAAGTTGTAACTACATAAAAATGAAAAGAAAATGCCGTATAGGAAAACATAATTCAAAGTTAATAGAGTTAGTGTCGATCAAAGTCTACGCTGTTACCAGGACATTCTCAAGTCATGAACACGTGTCGCTATATATTTTGTAGTATGTCTTAGGAGATTTTTGCAACATATGCATAATGAGTTGAAGAGGTTAGTACCACATATTAGTGCTGGGTATGATGTTTTCCAACATCCATATTATTCCACTGGACTCACAAGGATCTTCTCTTAAAATTTTTTTGGCCTCCATGACTTAATGGCACATTAGTCTAATACTCAAAGTGCTCGCATCGAAAAATACTGGCACGTTAATGAACCAACTATGTTCTCTACGAGGACATTTGAACTCCATCACCACAATTGAAACCCGCCACAACCTCATCGTCTCCACAGATGATCATGGTTGGATCATCGTCTGGGACTTTCACACCCATAAAGCGCTCTACTGCTGGAAGGGCCATGATAAAACCGTTCTCACCACTCGAATTCTCGATGACCATCACATTTTAACTCATTCCAAAGACAGTGAAATCCGCATCTGGGACCTATCGCCTAGCCAAATAGGCAAATTGACCTCAAACCTACCTGATTTGACCTTCAATGAATTGACTTACTTGAATGACGAAACAAGTTCGCTTGTAGCCAAGTTCCCATTGCCAAAATTCGATTCAATTCCTGTTAACTCACTCAATTTCTGTAATATTGACTACCACGAAGGTCTTTTAATAACCCCATCCACCATCGACTCCGACAATTTCGACATCTACCAAGTTGACCCCATAGACTTCAATATCTCCAGACTCATCCACAATTGCAGTGGTTTTAAACACTACAAACACCATACCGGGTATATCGAAGAGATCAATGGAACCAAAAGAGATGGATTTGGAATCATCATGATAGCTAAGTTCGTGAATCATGAGAGGTTTTTTATCGGGTACGAGTCGGGTCATTTGCTAGGGTTCAGACTTGAGTTCCCGTCTTCTCAGAGCAATTTCACCAGCACCAACACCACTCAACTGAGATCTATTATCAACAAAGAACCCAAGATTTCGTTGGTATACTACAACGAATTCCATGTTCCCAATCCCATATTGTCCATAGAGGTGCTTGATTCCACACAGCTTCTTGTGGGTTCTACTGGTAAGAAAATCACTGTTCACAATATCGAAAGCACCGATATATTAAATGACGAGGTCAGAGAAATAAACGTCAAGTATAAGGGAATCCAGTCAATTCAAGTCATAAACAACCTTATAGTCACGGGGACTTGGAACGGGGTAATCAAGATTTTTGACACTAAAAATGACTTCATGCTTGTAGATAAGCATGAAATTAAACTACCAAGACTCAATACTCTTACAAGTAATCACCACCAGAATGACCAGCTAATAGAGTCGAGTCAGAAGTTCTCTGCTCTAAGAATCCAGCATTATAATAGTTCGATAAACTCGAATTCAAAATATAAGAACATTGTTTTAAGGAAGAAACTGAATAAACTATTGGTGTTGGTGGGATACAACAACGGGAGACTCATGGTGTTTGAAATCGACAAAAGAGAATAGCTACAGAGTCTTTTGTGAGCACTTATGTTCAATAAACGATAGTCTTATAATGAAATAAAGATTGTAGACGTGAATATGGCTTAATTAGGAAGTCACTTGTATATCCTTTTTATATCCCAGGTTGCTATTAGTGCTATTATTGGCATTATTGGCGTTATTACTATTTCCCCCGTACACGGATTTTCTCTTGCTCTTGTGCTTGCTCTTATCTGTGTGATGATTATGGGAAGGAGGGGTTGGAGTTCTGGTTCTTTCGAGTTTGTTATCTTCAATTCGGGAGTATCTCTTTTTCTTGTTATTTACATTATTTTTCTTGGTATTTTGCCTCCAGAGTTTGGGCTCTTCAATGAGAGTGGCTTCTTCATCAAATGACGAATTAACTGCTTCGGTGGAGTCCAATATTAGTTGGTCAAAATTTATTTCTTTCAAAACTCCTGCCTCAGAGGGCTGCTGCTGCTGGTTCATTTCATTGATTTTCAACTCCAAATCCGGATAGTTTTCCCTCAACGAGATCAAGTTATCCAAGTTATCCTGTAAGATCGCCTTTGTGTCCTGACCGTGGATTCTAGATACTGAAGCAAGTTTAGCCAATAAATCCAAGATTAGCTTGTTCCTATTGAAATATAGGTTATCAAGAGTCTTCCTCTTATTGGTCAAGCCGTCCAACAAAGCGTCTATATCCTTGTCGTTATCCCCGAAACTTGACAACAAATTCTCGTACTTGGTGACGTATTCCTGTTTAAAGGCCTTGTGCTCCTGGTTCAACTTCATCACCTCCGATTCATAATGTTTTTTGTACTCCAACTGACTGGCAGCCAAAGCGTCATACGCGATCTTCAATCGTTCACACTCGGCGGTCGACGACGCACTCAGTTCTTGTAAACTCTCGTATCTGATTTTCATGTTTTTAGTTGTCATCTTGAAGTTCTCGTTGGAGGACATGACGTTATTATACTCAGCTTCCAAATCGACGATCCGTCTCTCCTTACGCGTCAACAAGGCGTTTATCATGTCATTTTCATGTTTGGCGTTGGCTAGTTGATCCACAAACAGCTCATTCCGGCGAGTTACAATCTCACACTTCTTTTTGTACGTGGAGTTGGATACCTTGAGATTTTCTAATTCCTCTTTCAAAGCATCGATCTCTTTGTGTAACGTGTCGATGACCTTGGAAGAGGTAGGCTTCCTGCTCGGACTGTCTTCCATCTTGACAAACCAGGGTCTTTTTTGTGTAGTTAGAAAAAAAGTGTGTCTTGATTTCGGTTGACGATTCAAAAAAGACGTTTTGAGACGTAAACAAAACTCATCAGAAATGTGCGCGTACCAGATATTCCCCGATTTGTTCTATTTTCAAATCGTCTTCAAAACTGCCACCAGCCTATTTGTCCTCTAAAGAATACACAAAGCTTCTATGACTAAATGGGTACAAAAAAAAATGTCGGATCCGGATCGAACTGGGGTTAATTGATCAAAACCAACTGATAGGCAACACCTTTTTGGTGCATTGCCAGAATATAGGTTAGCACAGTTGCCGCACCTCAATTTTCGGGTGCGGTATAGTGTATAATTTTACTATATAATTGGGCATGAGATAGCGTCTTCAATAGTTAAAACTCCTGACATTGTATGTTATTAGAAGGGGAATGGCCTGGCACTGTAAATTGGACCATTATTTATTAGGGCCAAGATAGTGATATCCAGATATATATCTGAAAATTTCTCAATCACCCAAGCTACAGATTACAACCATTATCTACTTTAATCAGGATTCAAGCATTCCATTGACCAAACATCATGTTCTCAGAGAAATTTGAACTTGAGTTATGAACTTTAGGCCTCTTGACGACATGTAGCTCCCAAAATCTTGATCTTTCTAACACATATATTTAGTCCATTTAACAAAATGACTATCGAAAACACCCTATTTAAGTAGGCTTAAGCAGCCTTCTATATTCTTGGTTCTGAGCAAGTGAAGACAATATAACTTCGACTGTATTCAACTATGGAATAACTAAGTTTCTCAAGCGAGCTCTAATCTCATTGAAATAGGTATCCATAATCTTAAAATCATTTTTTCTTTGTTGTGCAGAAATAATCTGATATACCGTCAACCAACCCTCCTTAGTTTCCCATGCACCCAATACTATTTGAAAGGTGCTTCAATTTTTGATAGAAGGTAAATCTTGCAAAGCGATGCGAAAAAAAAGGTCGTACCCGGATTCGAACTGGGGTTAATTGGATCAAAACCAACTGTGATAACCACTACACTATACAACCATTTGATGTACGCCTTTCTAGCCGGTTTCCTGAAACTTATTGTGTGGAAATATCGCTACAGTCTGGCGCAACTTAGACAGTATTCAAATTGGTATTTGGCCTAGGGTAACAATATAGTTCGGTTACCTTAAGGAGATTATCAGCGTTTACACAACAATTCGTTGGCTGGGCTGGCCCTCAGGCCGCATCTTAATCATGTGAGTGACTTTAGGCCCATCGAGATGTATCACATTTGTTTCAGGTTTGACTCTCAGAATATTCAAGCATTTGATTTTGCGCACGTCCTTATCATTCTCAATATGAATACTACTCCCATAACTGACTTGGACTCGCTAAACTTCAAGGAACTCACAAAACAGGCTTTGGATGTCGCTAGATCCGTTCCCAATTGGAAACTTACCAAAACATATAGCCAAAGCAACGTTATCACCGATGTGTTCTCCAGTACAATCGAACAAGACTTTTGGGTAGCACGACAGACCCAGTTAAATGCACATCAAACTAGTTCTTATGAGGACAAATTCCATAAACTCTTGATCGGAAACATTCCAATTGACCTCCAAGATAACCATACCTTCCACGAAAAGAATTACATCCACGATCTTTATGACTTTAACATTAAGGGTTTCAACGACTCCACATACTTGATCAAAACCTTTTATAACCTCCCATTTCCCTTGAAAAAAAGGACCTTCCACAACCTCGTCCACATTGTGGATACCGGCACCTATTCAATGGTGCTATCGCTTTCTTTAGAGCCGGGTATCCTTGGTATTGATCCCGGGTTTGTAGTGGGTCACTATAGTTCAATTGAGTTGATTGAGAGAAATGAAAAGGGTTTACTATGGACAATGTGTACGTCGTCTAATCCCAACGGGTCGATTCCGTACTGGATCACCAAAAAGAGTCTTCCGGGAGCTATAGTGAATGATGTTCCTAGTTTCTTGGCGTACTGTGATAAACATTAGTCATTAGTATATTGCTAAAAGTGAACTATAAGAACCGCTATGACTTCTATGTGCTGCCGTTGATCATGTAGTTCTCGAACCAGAGCTTGACATCATCGCCCAAATTATCTAGGAAGTCCACCTTTATGACGTTTTCTGATACAACCAGTACACCCGATTTGACTTGAGCCAAGTGCCTTCTTCTTTTAAAGGCATTATTATGATTAATGTTTCTGATTATGATAATATACTTTTCTTCGTATTTGATGTAGTAGAACATCCAGTCATTGATTTTATTGGTGCTGAATTTGTGGAAGTATTCATTAAGGTGGTTGTTTTTCAAGAACTCAGTTTTCTGGAGAAAAAACAAGTCAAGAAGCTGATCATGGAGGTAGAACATAGCACTTCGTATGTTTAGAGCTGACTTGTCTGCCTGGTTCACCTCCTCCAAGTTTATGGGTAGTGGTAAATATGGGAGTGATGATTTGATGTGCTTCTCCTGTTCATCATAGATGACAAAGAAGAAATCACTATCCACTTGGTCAGCTGCCGACTCATTTATACTTTTCGTTAGAGACCCAACACTCGACTCCATCATGTCAGTTCCTTGTAAAAAATCTGCCAGCTCATCTAAAGTTGGAATGATAGTGTTCTTGCTTAATTTCAGGTAAAACTGGGGATCATCCAACTCTGCCATGGATGAATTATAGATCAATGTCATATAAATTCCATCTTTTTCGTATATAACCAACAGATACTCTCGTTCTTCTTGGACAACTTCTCCTTGCCCGTTTTTCATTTTGGTGTCCAAGTAGACGAGCTTTCTCTGGATGATTTCGGTGCCAGTTTTGTCTCTCACCAACCCGATCACATATGAACCGGGAATTGACGGCAGTTCTTCTACCCTAATTTCAGAAACTGGTTCAGCATCACTACCAAACTGGAAATAAGTTGGAATTTTCAACCAGTTGCTTGGTTCGGAATTCAATCTCATGTTCATCATGCTGTTCATGGTATAGTTTAGGGGCAGAATCACCAAATTATTGGTCAAGTTGATTGGATTCAACATATCTCGTGCAAAATAAACTCCATCTCTCAAGTAGTTAGTCTCTGTTTCCTCGCTTGTTTGTCTTTCTTCTGCAAACTCAATGTTAATGTTCTCTTTCATTTGTGAAGGCGACGAAAAGAGGTCCTTGTTGCTGAGTTTGATCAAATCAGCTGTATTCAACTTATCATGATAGTCATAATACTCGAGGTAGTTGTAAATATCTATAAGGCTGTCATTCAGTATCGAAGACTCCTGTAGTTCATCATCAAAGCAAGAATTACTGAATATAAGTCCGTATTTCTTGGGCACACTCTTATTAAAACAGCTAAGTATAACACCCAAAGGACCATCTGATCCCAGAGAGCTTAGAACCTGATCTATCTCGTATTTCATGTTGTAATTGAGTTCAATTGATGACTTTTTATAGAGCTTGGGTTCAGGCTCAAGGCTATCAAAAAACCCTAAGAATCCTTTATAATTCAAGCTATTAGGCCATTTAACGGTGGGGGGAAACTTGAAGTTTTCCGAGTTGTAGCTTTGAAAGAAGCCTGACCAGTTCTCTTTGATCAAATTTCTCAAAATGTCAGAGTTATAGTTGTCCATGATATTGGCAAAGCTTGTATTGAGAAGCTTGAAAAAGTCATACGACATATCGATTAAATTGATCATCTGCTGGCTTATAGCCGCTTGCTTGATTGCATCTTCAGGCATTGAGATTGAGCACGCTAAAGTGAATGATCCTTCAAGCGATTTAACAATTATAGTGGATTTGCTGGCGTTGATTATATGAGCTTCCGAGCCTTTGGTGTTATTGAAATCATTAGACAACCCTTCCATTGCTTGAACAAGTCCTATAATACGAACCTGTTCAACTTTGTTAGATTCTAGATCATCTCCTTCATTATTATCGGATATAAAACAAAAGATTTGATGTAACAAGTCTTCGTTCTCCTCGCCCTTACCAGTGATGAACTCCGGGTTGAAAATGGTGATATATTTTAGCTTCGGGGTTTTACCTTGAATGGTTTTCAAGTAGTCATTCCCAGTTTCATTACCTCCAATCAATGGTATTCTGGGTACCAATTGACTCAAGTAACTACTCATTTAGCACATCCAACTTTTTGTATTTCGAGTACTTCGCTTATCAGTGTGAGCGTTGCGTGTACCAACCACATATAATGCTATATACTTAAGCTATCCACAAATCGTTCCAACCAATATTCTTTCGCACAGCATTGGAAAACCCTTCGTTGTACTTGACCCAGATCCGAGTAGCTTCAGAATCCACTTTATCTTTGGCCTGTTGAATATGAGTTGAAAGCCCATCGTATTGTCCTTTAAAGAATTCAAGACTAGTAGTTTTTTGTTTCTTATTAGATTTGGTAGAATCAACAGCACCTAGCTGAACTGCTTTCCGTTTTTCAATTAGTCTTACCACGTCTTCTCTTTCCAATTCTGTTTGCAATAGGGGGAACATCCATTTTCTCCTGGCTTGGATTTGCTTTATAGTGCTTTCAATTGGAGTCTTTAGGTAATCAGAATTGTAAAGCACCAACGAATCAAGATTTGGATAGAACTCCAAACTGGTTAAGTTGGTGGTAGTGTCTCTTAGTGATTCCAACTGAATACCAAAGTCTTTGATCACTTTGGCAGCTTTTACAAGGCCATCCTGATCAAAGTCACTTAACGACAGTTTCAGTTTCATCGATAGTGAGATGGAACCACCGCTTGATGTCATCTCAGGTGAAATGATCTTGTGTATCAATGGGAGCACAAATAGCCCGAATGACTCATTATTCTCAAATCCACCACCTAAGCTCAATCCAGCTTCAACGGGAAGATTGGAAATGAAGCTCTTGATAATAGATTTATTCACCTTTTTCATCTCATTAGATTCGTACTCTAGGTTCTTTATATCTGGGATCAAGCTCTTGGAAACCCTGTTTGGGTTGGATTCACTGAACAAGACCCAAAATTTCATACTAACCAAGCTGGCATAGTCCAAGGCATCATTAGAGTTTCCGACCTTATCGTAAAAGTCCAACCAATCGCTTAACTCACATGGTTTAACCAAGGAATCATCTTGATAGTGAACAGAGTCCAAGTACCTGTTAAAACAGGCCCTTATAACTTTGTCCAAAGTGCTATTTGAAGCCGAAACCGATTTACCAGCACCATTCATAATGGTTTCCATCAACATGCCAAAATCAGCTTCTTTGCTTAACAGAGGATCTCTTTTAAATATCATTTCAGCGATTTTAAACCATGAAAGCTGTAGGTCTTTGGTCAGTTTGTTGTGGGCACCCTCAATCATAGGCACTTGGACTTTTCTTCCGTTGAACTGTAAATGATTTATACAAGCCCTAATATCTCCTTCACAAATCTCAACAATCTCACCAATTTCTTGAAATCCTAGTTTTAAATTCTCCTTATCACTGATCCATTTGATATACTCTTTGACAGACTTGAGAGCTTTTCCACCAATCTTCATACCAGAGTTAGTCTTTTGAATGGTGGGTTTTTGGAAAGTTACCAACTCAGACATGTTTCTAAGTTTATCCATATTGAACCCTCCATAAGTCCTCGAACTAGTTGTGAAAGCATCGTTAGCAATACAAATGATGGGTCTGTTCAAGAGCTGGTCTTTCCTCTTACTCTTTGAGTTACTATTGCCAAATACATTTTTGTTATTCAATTGGTTGAAGGCCCTTTGGTCGGACTGGTGAATTTCATTCAATACTCGGATTATGTCACTCGAGTTCCCAGCCGTATCGATTTCATCTATGATCAAACAGGTGGGCTTGCTATTAGTCAGAATTTTATTACCTTTGGATTGAATGGAATTGGATGTCAACGCATTTTGAATTTTCAACTTCAATGAGTTCACCACATTAGTGTAATTGTTACCACTGGAATTACTGTTAGGAAGCGAGTTCATGCTGTTGGCAGCATTCAACTCTTCCACATTATATCCCAACTGTTTAGCAATGATATGGGCAGCTGCAGTCTTTCCAATTCCTGAAGGACCACTGATCAAGAGGAATTTTCTCATAGGTCTTCCTAACGAATCTATGTTTCCTTCATCGTCATCGAATGCTTCATTGTAGACAACCCCAGACCACTTTTTCAACCAGTGGGAGATCATTCTGTATTGTCTATCATTTCCAGCGGAACATAACTGAACAAACCGTTGGGGTCGGTATTGCTCTGTCCAAACATGTGTTGGTTTGTGGACAGGTTTAGAATTTGAGGTGGCGGCCGCCTGCTTCTGATTATCTTTATATGTTTGTCTTTGTTTGGCCTTTTGGAACAAAAGATCCATGTCAATAATCGACATACCTTCGTTAGAAAGCTCCAGTTCTTGAAGAGCCGGTACCGCTACTTTCTTCTTCAATTTAATGGTTGATCCGTTAAAGAGCTTGACTTCTTTCTCAGAGGAATCAGGTGCCCCGAAAAGAAGCGATGTGCTCATTTCAAAGGTATTGGATGTCTTTTCAACAACAGAATCCACCTGGGAGAACAATGGAGAGTCCAGGAAATCAAGCAGAAGGGGTTGTTCCAACATGTTGATAGTTCTGATTATTTGGTATGTTGTGTTCTATACATGAGAAAAGACGCGATATAACTGAACTCAAAACAACGCGCACAAATTTGGCTGTTAATAGCATCCATGCATCAAGCTGTTTTTGGGGCTTTTGTAGCCTGCTTGTTTCCAGCTTGTAAGGTTGAAGTTTCTATAAGCATTTAAATGCTGATATATATACTCACTGGTCGGGAAACCATATGGGTCGCACGTGATCGAGGTGTCGTTTTTCTGTTGGTAGATTCTCACATAGTCGATTTCAAATACGGCAGGGAACTTCAATGAACCAAAATCCACCGTCGACCACGTCTCCGAAAGCCCGAGATTGAAAACTAGAGACATGGGCTCTTTGGTGATCTGCCTCCACCCAATATTATTGGTAGGATGAAGAGCATCTCCTCTAATGGACATAGTAGGTGAGTTGGCTGCGAAAAACTGAATATAACTATCAGTCTCGGCAGTCTTTGCACTCAGATACTCAAACCCAAATTTCTGGAAATATGTGTGCCTATCAGGATCGGTGGTATTTTGATGGTTAACATACCAGTTTTCGTTCATGATGGTTCCAGCTGCAATAGCTTCTTGCGTTGGGGTTCCTGTGTCTGGTTTCAAAGATGTGATATTTGGATTCTCAATCATCATATAGTCGTAATCTGGCCTCCACCAGGAATCGAACGGAGCAACCTGTAAGGTTTGGACACCAACTCCTTTCTTATCAAAAGCGTTGTGGAATCCTTCGATTATATCAATTTCGGGGGCTCCTCGGCCAACTCCAACATTCGGATGGTCTTCTCCCAAACAAGTACACTTGCTTAATCTCTGACCAGGTAAGAACGATATCCCGTCAGGAGAAGACTGATTGGGAGTGATTCCATGGTCACACTCATCATAGGAATAGGGCCATACTCCATCAGTAGTGGCCTGGAAACTGGGTCTTGCCAAATTACCTAGACTCCACACAGCTGGCCATAAACCGCTTTCCTGAGAGTACCCAGGCATTCGAAGACTCACCTCAACAATAGCATTACTGCTAAAACACAACTGGTTCCAACTCTGAAGCATTGCCGACCGGTAGTCCAACCCGTTGATGGGAAATGCATCTAATGTAATTCGTAGACTTCCGTTGCTGGTCTCCACCATGTCGGGAATATAGTATTCCAAGTCATTGGTGGCCGCATAATGAATGTCCACGGCATTGAAGAACTGATCATCACCCTCAAAAAAAGTACGACCATCGGCATTGAATTCATCAGAGAATACCAAGTCCCACATTTCGCCGGTTTGGAAGCTTTTGCGTTGGTGTGCGTCTTTAGGAGTATCAGGATCAACTAGTGAGGTTCTGATGGCTGATAGTGGAGGATAAATGTATGGAGAAAGAACTTCATATACTTCAGGTGGAAGTGGAGACCACCACTCTTTTGCAACATGGATCCCGTATCCAATGGACCCGAAAATGATAATTACCATCAATGCAATGGCTGCAAAAATTTGTCCATAGTAAAAATGCGTCACATAGATAATAGGGTTTAGGTAGTTCCACTTGTTCTTGAAAGGGTCGAGATCTTTGGGAAACTGGTCATCAATATTTTTGAACTCTTCAGGTGTCATTATGGTGTCATCAAGGTTCAAAATACAAAACCGTTCGGGTGTGTTGCATATGCTACTTGAAACCTCGCTCGAACTAGAAGAGAGTGCCGCATATGCGTAGTAGTAATATGGATCTTCCACATCGTCAAACTTTTCGACAACTTTAGCAGAAGAACCCATTCGAACAAAGTACCTGGAGTTGTTTTGCACCTTGGATACCAACGATAGGTCTGAAGATACCCGATTCACCCGTTCGTCGTTTTTGTGGAAATTGGGGTGTCTGATTTTTGACTCAAGAGAGTTTGGCAACCGCCAAAGGGTATTGCTGTGGCTTTCAGCACTGGAATCCTGATGGTGTTGTATGATATGAGTTTGGGTTGCCTGTTCTCTCTGCTCCGTGATATCTACAGACAGATAATCATGGTTCTTAGGAGCCCTCATTTCTGTCTCCGGATGAGTATGCTCATGGCTAGTATTATTTAACCCCTGTCTGACTATAGAATCAGGAAGAGAGAGGCTCATAGAAGTTTTGTCATCGGTCATAGCTTTAGAGCCTTGAATTACTCGAACCAATTTTTTTCAGGGTTTACTCTTTTCCTTATATGCTGCGATCTACACTAATTGCTCTACTGAACAGCTCGGACACAGAAACAAGGGCTCTTCCCGCAGGACAATTTCAATGTCCAGTATCTTAAAATTGGAGGATTCTTCCAAATAGGGAAAGAAAGAATTTCGTATACAAAATATAAGAGCGCTGCCTCGAGGTTCTCACCTAATTTTGCATCCATTTGCATCGGCCCTCTCCGGCCGAAAGAGATAGGCAGGTGGAGTGGGAACCGCATCGGCCATAAAATTAAGGACAATAAATAAAACAGTGTTTACTATATTAACTTTACTATACTAACTCATATCAATTGATTTGGGAGCTTCCCCTTCAGGACCGATGTATTCGGCTTCTCTCCAGGGACCTATGTCACTCAAGTACAATTCTTGCTCAGACACATCCGACTGGCCTCCATATTTTTTGGGCAAATTTTCAGGAGGAATCTGCTTTAACAAGTCCTTTTGATAGGAGCTTCCCAAGATGAAAATCTTGGACACCGTGACAGGATCCAAAAATGCCTTGAATAACTTGAAAGCAGTGGAAAAACCAAATGGGGCGTTGATACAATAAAACTTACCCATTCTTTCAGGGTAGTAGTCTTGGCCGATTTTAGACGCTTCTTTGACATAGCCCACCACCTGATAAGCAGACGAAATAGATATACCCTTCAAGTCTAAGATGGTACAAGAAGTCTCCACCAAACAACCAAACTTTCTAGAGCAAGCAGGCAATCTATTGTTGGTGAAGGACTCGTATTCCCAAACCAAGTTCTTGAGCATTCTGTCCTGAGAGGTAATCTTCAACATATCTGGCAAGTACACCTTTCCCAACTCTTCGTAGTACACGGGTCTTCCATCCTTGTCAGTTTTGTGATAGTATTGGGGGTACATCTTGGCTACCAAAGGCTTTTCGGTGTACTTAAAGTCGGTCAAAATGGTGTCGGTGCCAAACTCTTTTCTCCAGGCTTCACAGCTGACGAACATTTGCTTGGTTTTTTCCAAGTCAAACTTTCTGGCTCTCAAAAACCGCAACAACGATGCCTTGTCCAATCTCTTTGTGTATCCCAACTCTTTTAAAGCGGCTTCTAATTGTTTAAGCACCTGTTCTTGTTCTTCGGTTAAATTGGAAGTGTATCCACTCTGGTCTGTAGGAGCAGAAACCTGAGGGTAAGAGGCCAATATTTCTTCTTCAGTGGCCATTTTTGGAATCAAGTGCTCTGTACAAATCTATGAGTCTATTAGTGAATGTCAAACAATCTATCAATTGTGTCCAAAAAGTTGACAGGATTTGTGCACCTGAGTTTGCTGTGTCGTGTTTTGCTTTTAGTTTGGAAAAAACCAACAGCGGAATGAGAAGTCGTGTACGAGCGTTTTTTATCCCCGATGTATTTGTATTGAGCTACTGATTAAGGCTTATTAAACCACTTTTTAAATGGGTTTTTGGAGCTAGGGCTCTTCAAAACATTCTCGTCACCCAAGTGGTTATGGAGCGTGTATGAAGTAGTTAAGCCGGGCTCCCCGTTGAAGGCTTCATCGAAGAATTTCAACTTTAAGTAGTTGAGACCGTTATCGACTATTCTCTTATAGCGAAGAGGAACTTCTCCATTATAATCTTCCCATTGCACAACACAGCTACGGTTGAGGTCCAAATACGAGGTGGACAAGAGTCGGTTAGCAAAGGCGTCCCACATGGTTTGGTCACTTTGGTAGTTGGCTGGATATTCGTAGTTACTTAAGAAGCTTTCCAATTCCAAGATTCTCTTTCTTAAGCGATTGCTGGTTTTTTGAAGATCTTTAAGGGTTATGTTGGAGGTTATGAACGAGAAGATGTTTTCGTCGCTTTTGCACAAACTCTTGATGAAACTTTCGGTCTCGTCTTCGCCCGCTAGGTCCAAGAACTCGGACTTTTCGAATTCCAATGATCCGATCTTGTAGACGTTGTTGCGGATTCTGATATCACTCTCATTGATTCCATTCAATTTGGTCCTCCTGTTGTTGAACTTGCTGGTGCTAACTGAGTTGAAATCAAACTGGTCCCGTGATTCGTCCGTTGAAGCCTTATCGCTAATTATGGCCTCTTCAGGGATTGGCGACACTTCAGCCACATCGGTACCTTCGCTATGGTTGTCTTCCTTATCGCCATCATGATCATGATCATCATGATCATCATGATCATGATCATCTTCTTCTTCTTCTTCATCGTCGTCACCAAAATCATCTTCGGACGTTCCTCCCGAAGTTTTGTTCTCTAGCAAATAGATAAGTTCAGTTAATCTTAAGTATTTATCAATGAGATAAGGAGTAGTTGGAAGTTCGTTTGATGTTGTATCACCTGACAATCCCAAATCAAACCTTTTCACCTCATGACTCAATTCCAAAATCTTCTCATGGAAATCGTTCTTCCTTCCCGTGATCTTGTCGAAATAGTCTAACACTTCTTCCTTATGTTTATCCAAAAACTTATTCATTTGCACAAGATGTGGTTCCTTATGGGGCGAAAACTCTTGACGGTTGGCCAAGTTCAATAAGATCTTGGCAATCAATGTCAAGGTTCTCTGTGACCTCCCCGTTTGGTGATTTTTAGTCAAATAGAACAACTTTGGATTTAAAATGGCAGGACAAAAGAATCTCAAAAATATAAAAGCACTTAAACAATTCAAGGCAGTAATTTTGTCATTTGGGTCACAGGCCAACTCAACCTTGTTTCTGAACTGCTTCAATTGACTCTTGATTTGCTCGGGTAAATCATTTGAGGTGATGTAAATCTTTTGCCAGAGCATTTCTGCGTACTCATACAAGTTATTGGAATTGTGTTCAACCATGGCCTTGACACGCTTATCTATACGTGCTTCTTCGTCCGAATCATACCCATCATCCTCTTCATCAGAATCTTCTGAATCTGTATCATCCACGTTTTTGCCCTTACGCTCAGCCTTTTCTTGGAGCCGTACGTATCTGGGGTCAACTTCACAATTCTTCTTTTCCTTATCTATGATTGCAAAAAAGTCTCCAAACACCTTCTCCAAGTATTCTTGCCCTATTCTTAAATTATACTTTTCAAGTGATTTGGAGAAGATAGACGAACCTCTAAATAAGGTGTTGAACACATTGTTGGAGGACGAGGAAGGTGTAGATGCTTTACTGACATAGTTTTGTCTAGTGACCTTATCGACATTAATCAATTCAGCGTCCATCAACGCCTTAAACCACTTGTCTTCTATACCGAGACTCTGGAAAATATCCAACATAATTATACTGACATTTTCAAACTCAGCAGTAGAGACATTGCTATTGCAGAACTCAATTAAGTCAGTCATGGGAGCATTATGGAGCATATTTTCCAACGGCTTAAAGTTCTTAGGTGATAAGATGTGGTACTCCTTGAAGTTAACATTCACCAACAACTTACCAATCGGTAAATTCGAAGCATCGTAAATTGATAGTTTGACAATATCGTTTGCATAGTTTGGATTTTCACCATTGTTCATTCCGCTCACGTTGATAGCATTTCCATTCAGAATGCCTTCAATCAGCATTGTAGAGTGGTTGTTAAAATGCCTGGTTAAAATATCTGGTGTGATATACACTGTTCCTACTATTTTGTCTCCTTCCAGGTAACTCGACTCGTTGAAACTGCATTCTTTAATCAATATATGAATAATTTGAGTGGAAATTGGCAAGTCGGTTGAGAACTCTTCTTTCCAAAATGGATTATTGGTGTAGTTCACAATAGCAGTTCTTGACCACGGGAGTCCCCACATTACCACTTCAGCATATATTTTTGATTTGGAAGATACCTCATTGTCGAACTTAGCTTCAATGATGTCCACGGAGAGCTTTTTCGAAATCCTGAAAGAATCTTTCTCGTAAATCAGCAAATTGGCGTCAAGGTTCATTGACGTGGATCTGGGAATATGTGGTGGAACGGTTGTGGTTGAGTTCATTGACACATCACCGATATTGAAGGATATATCGGGATTAGGGATATCAGAAGAGACTAGAGTTTGATTGTCATTCAACGCCAAATCTTCCAGTTTCTTTATTATGTCGTTAACCGAATTAGATTTGTTGATGGCGGTCTTGGGATTGTAAGAGCCAATGTACTCTCTTTTGGAAAAATAATTCAACCCGACAAACCAATCCTCCAAGTCGATATGCAACGGAAACTCAATGAGAATCCTGTTGTATGAGTTAATGGTTTTGCCATCTTTGGCAATGAACGGAGGATATACCTGGTCGTTAATGGATGAAGATTTGTTCTTGATGAGATTGTTCCATCTCAATTCCTTTATACGACCCACAAACAACACGTTGGAATTGTCAAATATCAGGTGATGCATTTCTCGGACCTCGCTGGACATGATGGTTTTGATGTCTATTGAGTAGATCAATGTTCCATCCAACTCTGTGATGAAGTTCAAGACCCCATTGGACTTTAACACCCCCATCGTATAGAACCATCCTTCATTGATAACCGGCAGCTGAGTGGTTCCAGTTTCTGACTCAACAAAGAGATTTTTCAGGTGATTGGGCACCTTGGGGCCCTTTACAAGGTTCATATTCTTCCCTCTATTAACAACTGGACCGTACACCTTGAACCTACACACCAAAACCTCATGAATAAAGTCCGGCAGCTGGGGCACAAATTTGTTTTCACAGTACCATTTCTTCACGAGCGACTTGGGGTTCAAGTTCTGCCATACAAGTAAGGAGCTCAATAAGTTTCCAAAGTTATTCTTGGAAGGAACCTTGATATAGAGCTTTTCATTGTCAAACGTTTTAATAAACACCACTGGCGGCGGGACCTCGTGGAGTGTGCTCAGATCCTTGCTGGGCTTTGCCAAGCGGCTGCGGCTTTTTTTCAATTGCAGGCTGGTGGATGTGTTGATGTTGGGGATGACTTGGATGTAACAACTCTGCAAAAACTGCAACAACAAGTAGTTGTTGTCGTTTTCGTCAGCAGAATACAATTGGCCCTGCTCGGTGATGAAGATGGCGTACGCAGGAACCCAGGTTATGGAATCACTGGAAATCAAGAAGTCTCTGCCGTTGAAAATGCCTTTATCCCTGGCGATTAGTCTGTGGAATGCCGTTTGTTTTGCCATACTGATATATTACAAGAAAAAAACTGGAGTTGGATATTACTCAATGGTACACTAAAATTACAGGTAGGAGGAGAATAGTAAAGTGGCGAGGCAAAGGAACTCAAAAAACAATTGAATATAACAGGTGTTGATTAGAAAAAAAAAATAGTGAATTCTGGTAAGGAACAAGTTGACGATTCTCACACAATTTGGTCTAAAAGAAGTTAAATGATTTGGCTGCACCAACGCGTAACCATTGCACTATTTGCGACAATGGAGTGTTTTCATATTGTTGAACACTTCGTTAATTGCCATTAGCGACCGTAATAAATAGCCACAAGACTGGCTACTTGAATATCCCCGTTGTAGTTCGTTTATTTTACAATTAGTAGGAAACTTCCGGGGCGGGTGGCTGCATTTAGCCGGCAATTCTGTCGTGAAAATTTACGGTGAACGAGTTGTACGACGATTATGCACTTGAATGTATTATGAGCGGGAGGTTAAATATGTTTGTAATATTAGCCAGCGGTTCTAGGTGTTTTTGGTAGAAATAGATGGGTATTTGTCCATGTCCACATGAGCACCTTGGAGTTATACATGGGTGTCTGGGGCAGAATTCCGCCTCCAGAACCATTATTTTTTATTCCTCCTTTCACACAAAAAAAGTCTATCTACATGGTAGACAATATTGTATGCCCCAATTCTAGATTGTGGCATTCAATATCACCGGCTGAACCCTAGACCGGGGTCAACTAAGCCCGGTGAATGCGAGACGCGCGGTTGCAAAACTATCAATTTGAGAACTAAACACTAACATCTAACTAGGTATCCCACTTTTCCCACTTCCACAAAGACTGGCCTGGGTTCACCACTTCCCTGTCACGGGTCTCAAAGATCGCGCCACCAGCAACACCGGCAGCCCAGGATTGAAACAAGAAGGCAATGAAGTCTGGATCCTTGCCCTCGAGTTGAGTAAGCCACTGGTCGTGTAAGTCTTTGACTTTGATTTCGTTGACTTTAAATTCAGTTCCCAGCTCCTTTTCCTTCTCAGCCACAACCTCGGCGATTGGCTTTTCGTCTGAAAACACCCTGTAGGCGTCTTGGACCTTGGATGGATCGGTAGTAGCAATAGCAGCCACGGTTCTTCCAATATCAGAAGCGGTAGAAAATTGGATTTTATCGTTACCATCAACCACTTTGGTATAGGTATTTCCAGCCACATCAAGACCAACATGTCCGAAGAACACGGTCAAGAAAACTGGGGGGATTTTGAAATAATTAGTGGCAACTTGAACCACCTTAATGCCAGCATCTCTAAGTCTCTGGGCATGTTCCCTCTTGCCCCGAACAATGGGATGGAGGGTTTTCGCGTCGGGCTTGTTGAAGTCCACCCCAAAGTCGGATGGGAAGTAAAGCTTTGGTTTGATGGTGGTGATGAGTTTTTCAACACCCCCCAACACTGCTGGATCTGGGTGGGCCAAATTGATGAACACATCGGTATTCTTCAACTGTTCAGCCAACAGAGAGGTATCCTTTGTGACATCTCCCTGGATATACTGGACCTTGTCCGACGACTCCGAAGACTTGTCTTTGGTGGTAATGGCTTTAATGGGGAAATCGATTTTGTCTGCAAAAAGAGGCTCTTGTAAAGCCTTGAGCACTGGGGCACCCAAAGCACCGGAAGTTCCGACGATAGCAATAGAAACCATTGTGAATTATATGAATTGATATGTGAAGTAATTTGTGATATCTGTTGTAATTTGTGATATCTGTTGCAGTTCAAGGGGCCTTCTCGTGCTTAAATATTCCACAGGTGGACTCCACACATTTGTGTGGTGTTGTGATCGCGCCGGAAAAACCAGTTTGAAATCCTTGCCGCCCTTTACTAATTTGCAAAATGTTAGTAATAGTGGCTTACTAACAGTAAAACTACTAACTTAAAAATACGGTGATCTGGTGAGAAGCCCGAGTTGTGGCGGAAGCATTTTTAACAGAGTGGCGCTTACCCCTGTTTGGTTATACGTAGAACTCTTTGCCCAGTACTAGTGATAGATGGGTACCAGTAGACACCAGCTCTGCTAATATGACAGCAGCGCGCACGACTCCATGAAAAAGCCTTTCACAATTTTCAAACACCATGAGTGATCTATTATTTGGACAACCTCCACCACCAAGCGACGTGAGCTCTGTGCTGGGACTCGACCAGTATGGTGATACATCTACCTTTGATACCAGTAACTATGAGTTTGAGCCATTGCTGCGGACCGCCACCCATAATGACTTTGATGTTGCGATGTCGCATGAGCTACCTGAACATGCATGTGCCTACTGTGGACTTGATTCAGTCGACTCGGTCGTTAAATGTAACATCTGCAATCGGTGGTTTTGCAATTCCAAAGCAGGGGGTTCCAGCAGCCACATTGTCACCCATATAACCCTTTCCAAACACAAAACCGTTTCGTTACATGAGGACTCAGTCTTGGGAGACACCACCTTGGAATGTTATCACTGCAACAAACTCAACGTGTTCAACCTCGGGTATGTAACCGCCAAGAAGGATCAAGTATTGGTGATTCTTTGTCGGTTGCCGTGTGCCCAGGTGAAAGATCCCAACTGGGACTCAGACAACTGGAAGCCGCTCATTGAAGAACGGGAGTTTTTGCCATGGATAGCCGCCATTCCGTCCGAGGCCGAACTGGTCAACACCAACAATGTCACATACGAGCAGATTTTAAAGCTCGAAAAAGAATGGAGACTTAATAGAGATACCACCTTTCATGACTTGCCTGAAGGTGAGGTTGAGACCGAGAAAGAAGAGATCTTGCCGATTTTGATGAGGTATCCCGATGGAATCCAGTACCAGCGGTCGTTTGCCCCCTTGGTCAACTTGGTGTCAGAGTACGAAAAGTCCAGCAGGGAGGCCAACACTCTGGAGCACATCACCGTGTCGTGGGAGTTGACTCTCAGCAACCGCCATTTGGCATCGTTTGTACCACCCGGGGTAGACAGCTCCGACGTAAATGTCAAGGTGGGGGACGAGGCCGTCTTGCGGTACCACGGCTTGCAGTACGCGGGCTGGGAAGGCTATGGGTATATTGTGGGGGTGCCGGGAGCTCGTCAGGAAAAGTACACTTTGGAATTGGTGCCCAGCAAGGGCGAAACTCCGACCGATATGACCAGTGGATTCACCATCGAGTTTGTGTGGCGGGGAGTGGCTTTCGACCGAATGCAGGCAGCATTGGCGAAGTTTGCAACCGATGAGAAGTCGGTCAGTTCGTATATTTATCATAAGATCTTGGGACATGAGGTGAAGCCCATCGAGTTCAACGTGGTGCTCCCCAATAAGTTGAGCGTTCCAACGCTCGGAGAGTTGAACAGCTCGCAGCTCAATGCCGTGCGCACGGCGTTGAAGAGACCGTTGTCGTTGATCCAAGGTCCTCCCGGCACCGGGAAAACCGTCACTTCGGCCACCATCATATACCACTTGAAGCATTTAAACAAGGGACAAAAGGTTTTGGTGTGTGCTCCTTCCAACGTGGCAGTCGACCATTTGACAGAGAAGTTGGCTCTGGTGGGGTTGAAGGTTCTTCGGCTTCGTGCCAGGGCAAGAGAAGATATCGCCACTGCGGTGGAAGGGTATTGCTTGGACTATTTGCTCAGAGAAAAGTCCAAAGGAGAGCTCAAGAAACTCATCAAGCTTAGAGAAGAAGCAGGAGAACTTGACCACAAGGACAGGGTTCGGTACGAGAAGTTGATGACACAGGAGAGTCTTCGTTTGTTGGATAAGGCCGATATTATTTGTTGTACGTGTGTTGGGGCCAGCGATACCAGGCTTCGGAATTTCATTTTCCGGTCAGTTTTGGTAGATGAGAGTACACAGGCATGCGAACCCGAGGTTTTAATTCCGATCGTAAAGGGGGCAAGGCAGGTGATCTTGGTGGGCGATCATCAGCAATTGGGACCGGTGATCCCAGAAAAAGATGCAGCAGATGCCGGATTAAGACAATCCTTATTTGAGAGGTTCATCATGTTGGGACATGTTCCACTCCGGTTGGAAGTGCAATATAGAATGAACCCAGCTCTTAGCGAGTTCCCATCCAACATGTTTTACGAAGGATCATTACAAGACGGAGTAACGGTGGAAGACAGACTCATCAAAAACTCGACGTTCCCATGGCCGGTGCAGGATATTCCATCAATGTTTTGGGCTAATTACGGGAAGGAAGAGATTAGCGGTAGTGGCTCGTCCTTCTTAAACCGGGTCGAGGCCATGAGAGTGGAAAAAGTCGTCAACCGGTTGTTTGAAGATGGGGTTAAGGGTGACCAGATTGGAATCATCACTCCGTATGAGGGCCAACAAAGTTTTGTGACGCGGTATTTGGCCACTAATGCCACGCAGACCCAGTACAAGGATGAATACTTGTCGATAGAAGTGGCCAGTGTCGATGCGTTCCAGGGCCGGGAAAAAGACTTTATTATTCTCAGCTGCGTCAGGGCCAATGAGGCTCAGGTGATTGGCTTTTTGAGAGATCCTCGCAGATTGAATGTGGCCTTGACGAGAGCCAAGTACGGAATGATAGTTCTCGGTAACCCTCGTACCTTGAGCCGTAACCCCCTTTGGAATCACCTTTTGGTGCATTATCGAGAACGTGGATGCCTCGTTGAGGGTCTTCTCGAAAATCTCCAAATGTGCACCGTGAAACTCGACTTCAAAGCCGGAGCAAACACCCACACCAGCTATAAGCAGGATTCACCTACCCCCAGCAATTTCAGTGCCAATGAATTTAATCTGGAAGCTACCAGTATGATCAGCCTGAACTTTTACTCACGACTTAGCCAACTTGACCAGGACTACCTCAAGCAAAAACAACACCAACTGCACGATATGAACGATGACGACATCAAAAGTATCACCAGTTCGTTTGCAGCAGGGTTCAATTTGTAGTGCAACCCACTGGAGATGAGATCATCCGTTTGTCATTTACGAAATGCTAGAGCGGCAAGAACAGGCGAGACACACCTGCCGAGACTCGGGGGCCATGCAGCTCGATCAGCGGATGCACCGGCAGAGAAGATGGCAGCAGATATCCTGAGTTGCAATCTGAACTCTGTCGAACCGGACTCCGAACCATGTCTGATTTTATCATCTATAACAAGCTTATCGCAGCAATTTGTCGCCCACACGAGACGTAGACTGGATGACATCAGTTGACATCATCGCACCAATTGCGGCTGACTGCCAAATGTGTGGGGGGCGTGGACATAACCCGAAGATGAGTGGAAAATGGCCTGAGGATGAGGTCATGTTTTCAGTCAAATATATACATTTAATATCGGATATCGGTATGTATGATAAACCTAAATGCATGGATTGTCACCTGCAAGCAAGGAATTCCTCTATTTAATTATAAGAAAGGTTCTATACCGCTATCCAGCAGGTGTCCATATAAGTCCGCGCATCCGTTTGTGTAAGTTTTTATATTTGCTATTTGCCTGCTTTCAGAACGTCCAAGAATGCTCTGCAGTACAGAAAATATTTGTTATTTGTAGTAGGGTATAAATATTTAGACACGCCATCAAAAGTGGTTCTTAATTGCGTTTTCCATGTACATATACAATGGCCGATGTGAATGCCCCCACTGGTGAGGATCATGACCAGACCTCGCCCTCTTCAATATCCTCACATCCTCCCCTACCGACGGTTGAAGATTCCCCCGATACCGATAAAAATAATCCTCGGGCCAAACTAAGTAATCTGGACATAAAGCTCATCTTGTACCTTATCGTCACCATTAAACCTTTCAAATATACCGGTGACCGAACGTTGAGCCAAACCAAAAAATGGGATATCATCCAGCGCAAGTTCTCCCGCCGGAGAATGCTGCAAAGCCCTCCCCCATTCATTCCCACCGTGCGCACCCTCCAGCGCCAGTTGTCGTCGGCCATTAAAAAGGCCCGCGAGCGTCGGAAAACTACTCCCATAAACTTGAATGCTGACCCGGTGTTCAAACTGGTCTCCCATGCCAGCTCGCTTGCAGACTTGGAGATGGCGACACTCGAGTTATTCGAGCTTAGTGAGACCTTAAAAAATGGCCGGATCGCAAACAGTGTGTTATTGGAATACTCGTCCGTGTCCAAAGTGGATGAGTCCGACGACGACCAGTTGGGGCTGCCGCCGCTGGGGGCGCCCGCGCCTGCACCACTCGTACTTCCACCCATCAACGCCTCATCCCCCCGGTACCAACCCGCGCCCCTTGTCACCACCCTCCCGGTACCGTTGTCGTTGGTACAAGAGAGCGACGACATTCTTGCAAACTTAAACTCCACCCGTGAATCTATCAAGAACTTGTTGGCGGAAACAGGTACTTCGACCCTGGTGAAAACCATTCTCGAGTTGGTGACCAGCTTGGTCAAACAAAATACCCTTCTTCAGCAAGTGTCGACCTCGAAGATGGAGCTGCTCATTGAGACCAATAATCGGTTGATTGAGCTCAACCGTAAGTTCCAGTTGGAACAATCAGCCCTCAACCGTACGCTTATGAACGAGGTGCTTGCCAGCTTGAAGTCGAATCCTTCGGTTGCACAAGAAACCATTGACTTATTTAATAGCCTTAAATAATTTGCATGTCTCGGGGCGTTAGCGCCGGGTAACTCTTTTTTTATTCCATACACAAGTTTGCAGCAATTGGTTTGTGAGCGCCAAAAACCACTTTCTCAACTCATGCCACAATTACACGTATTGGTTATATCCCTTTGGTTTTGGCTGGTGGTGACCTCGTTTGGGGGAGACTACTACACCCTGGGGCTCCTGGCCAGTGCAGGCATGTTTGCGTCCGACTCCCAGTTGAGCGATCTTGAATTAATCGATATCGCTATCAAACAGCTTCACAGTATCTATGGTGCTACCGATTTAAAAGAGTGTGTTTCGTGTAAGATGAGACTACAGGTGGGAAAGTTCTTGGCCTTGACACGCCTGGATTTGGTCCCCCTGGTATACACCCGATGGTGTAAAGAAGAAGGGTTTGACGAGTCTTTGTGTCAAACCAAGTTTGGATACCCTTCTGTGGAATATGGAGCCTTAGGGCTTGAGTTTACAAAAATGGTTCAGTTGGTCAACCCTGAGGGGTTGGATGGCGATTTGTACTGTTACTACCACGACCAGGATTGCCACGTGATGCCCGAGTTGCCCAGTATCCGTATGGCCAAGCTTTGGCCTCCACGACCCAAATTGTATGAGGCTCCCAAGCCCCAAGGAGAAACTTTTAACGTGTTGCACTTGAGCGACATCTCCTTACAATTAGATTATACTTTACTTGCCGAATCCAACTGCTCTCAGGCTTTATGCTGTGCTCCACGAAGTTCCAATAAAGTGCATCCCCCACCGGATTACGACTATTCTTCCATCTACGATCCTCAATTCGGGTTATCTTTTTACGACAGCTCCTATGCAAGTGGCCATTTTCAAAAAGGGCCCTACGTGGACCAATTCAAGACTTTCACACCTACTTGGCTCCCAAGTCATGAATTTGGGGCTTATGGCTGTGATACTTCTGAGTTGATGCTCAATAATACCCTTCAAATCATCCGTGATTTCCATGAAAATCACTTGAACTTCGAGTTTGGCATCTTTACTGGGGGCATGGTAGACCATGCTGACTCCATTCATGTTAGCAGAAAAGATGTCTTGGATTCGCAGTTTAGGGGATACAGGGATATGTTGCATTATTTGGAAAACTTTCCCATATACTCGGCTATGGGTACAAGAGACAGTTTTCCTCCTAATCAACTTCCCACCAAGTCCTTGACCACCCAGTTTAACTATCAATGGCAATTTGACTTCATTTCGGATTTGTGGCACGAGTCCAAATGGATTGACCTTGATGCCGCTAAGCAGGTGAGGTACAATCAAGTTGGTTACTCCATCATTACCAAGCGTGGATTGAAAATTATTTCCTTGAACTCAAACGTATGGAACACAGAAAACTTATACCTGTTCATTGACACATTGAACTTTGATCCTTTTGGAATTTGGCAATTCTTGATAGACGAGTTGATTGAATCGGAGATCAATGAACAAAGAGTCTGGATCATCGCCCATCTCCCACCTTCAAAACACTCTCTACCAGTGCCAACCAAAATCTTCACCAAGATCATTGAGCGGTTCTCCCCCAAAGTAATCGCTGCAATTTTCTTTGGATACAATGGGAAAGATCAATTCAACCTTATCTATGGTGGGGATGGTCAAGTCAAAGACTTGAGCAACTTGATTAACTATGCTTTAATTGGACCATCGGTAAGCCCTTTGAATGGAAATAACCCAGCCTGGAGGTACTATTCAGTTGACACCGAAACCTTTGATGTTGTCAATTCTTTCACCTACATCACCAAGTTGAATAACACCTTCGTCAATGAAGGAGCAGAGCCTGTATGGGAATATCAATATCTGGCCAGAGAAGCCTATGATCCTGAACTGCTTTGGCCTATGGAGAGGCCCTTGGACATGGAATTCTGGCACCATGCTGGGGAGAAGATAAGGGATATCCCCCATATTAATAAGATGTTCAACTCATTCGAATACCGGCAATCTCCTTATGATCCATATTACTATTTGAACTTTCAAGTAACCGAACCAACAACAGATGAGCTCATTTTACAGAATGATAACTACTGCAAGGTGACTAGTTTTAGTGTGCTCAACAGGAAAGAGTGTATGCTAACTGATGACCAGGATGCGTACAAGGAGCCTAGGTATCTTCGAACATTCATTCCGTTGATTAGGCCCAATCAATCCCCTGAATATCTTTTGTTACTGGGTCCCCCTTCAACTAAGGAGACTGAATCTATTGTTTACCAACAGAGGCAAAATCCAAACTTTGACCAGGAAGAGGCCAAACAGAGTGACGTAAAAGCTAAACATAATAGAAGGAAGTCACTTCGTGATAAGCTTCACAAGGCTCACCAACGGGTTAAATCAGAAATGAGAAAAAGAAGCTTTGGTATGGAACTTGATGACGTTTGACTATGAAGAAAACCAAGTATTACTCGTATAATCAGTTATGAGTCCGTGCTCCTCCAAAAATTACCTGAATAGTCGTTATTACTCTTTTAATCATGTGCTTTTGAAAAGAATAAAAAACTATTTGCATCAATAGCTCTTTACCTATTTAGGCAATGCAGATTGTTTCCCCAAAGAGGAAACTTATATTTTTAAGTATATTGCTATGGAATCTTCTACTTCCATGCATTGACCCCTTTAATCCCTTTAGCGAAAGCGCATTCTCGGTTATATGACTCCTGATTTCATAAAACCGGTGAAACAAATGCAGATTACATCATCGGTATAAGCTTGTAGTGTGCGTACCGAGGCGTAAAAAAAATCCGGGGTAATGTTACACAAAGATGCCCGAGAACTCCGCATCTTTTAAAGCGATGCCGTGTGACTAATTAAATGACCTTTATATCATATTAACTATTTACCCATACCCAATAAATATTTCAGACCAACTTAATGGACGAAGAGAGTTACCAAACGAATGGTATTATGAATGTCCAACCTAATGAACGAAATATGCAAAACCAAATTAATGGACGAAATGTGTGAACCAAATTAATGGACGAAGTGTGAGAACCAACTTAATGGACGAAATGGTGGAACCATTTGATGTGGACGAAAAGTGTAACCAACTTAATGGACGAAATCATAATCATAAACTTTGTAAAGTACCCGTTTATATAGAAACGAAGGCACTGAAGTCAAACTCCTCTTGTTTTTGAGATAAGAACTGGTCAATACCATAAAGGAATTCTGACTTCAATGGTTGTTGTAAAAACTCCTCATCAGACTCGATAGTGGAGGTTCTGGATAATTCATCGTTACCCAAGCTCACTCTGATCTGATTGTTTAAGCTCATAAAGTCATCCAAGCCGTGTTTAGTAATAGGCTCTGAGATCGTGTGTCTGTGTTTCAATTGAGGTTTCTTGACTTTTTCAGACTTTGAACCCTTTGACTTTGGAGAATAGGTTTTAAATTGCAAAGGCTTTTTCTTGATGTTATCCACAGATTTGGATCTGTGATGTAAGATTTCAGGTGTTTTTAATATTTGATTGACTGGAGTCTCGAACTTTGATTGTGATACTTGTCTAGGAGTTTGAATGGCAGCTTGTACTGGCAAAGAAATGGAGTGTGAATGCTTGTGAATAGGTGTTTGGTAAGCACCTTGACTGAACAATAATCTTTCATCGAAATCCATTAATCCCAAGCCATAATCAAACGAAGTTTCAGCATCTGGCATGAACATTTGCGAGTGATCAAGATTGTCAATTTTGAAACTCTCATCTAACAATTCCATAGACAAGTCAGAGATTGAGGTATCATTGGTCAATAAAGACTCATTAGAGTCGGAATTGTCACTTAGCGTAGGACTTGATGGTAAACTTGAAGCATTGTCAGATTCTTCAGATTCACTGTCTTTAACAGGACTTAAGTCAACAAATACGAAGTCCTTTGGCATACCTGGTTTATTCTTTGGCCTCTTCAATTGAGGCTTCTTGACATTGTATTGGTTACCGGCAGCAGTAATCTTCAAACTATTTTGTAAGCATTGTACAGTGTTAGATTCGTGTTGCGAAGAGCTCGTACCGATTTTCTTTACTCTCCATAATTTCTTACCATTGGCAGGAGGTTTAACTCTGTATTCGTTAGTATCAATTAGCTGTGTAAGGAATGGTTCAATTGAGACATACATTGTAGAATTGGTCATTTTGTGTGGGGTATATGTGTGTGGGTATCAAGTAGATCAAACGATAGACTTTTTGGGTATGTATATGAATGAGACTATCACTAATTTTTTATTCAACAACTGGGGAACTAGAAACTTATATACTTGATTTGTAAACAGGGGGGGACACATGAAACCCGAGTGCCGAAGGGCAATAGTAAAGGAAGGAGTCGTTAAAAAATTATGCCTTACTGCATACGAAGGGTTAAGTTGCAAATGAAAGTTTATGCAATCAATTTAATGGATTAGGCAACCAAATTGTGGTGCATTGTCATAGTCACACACTCCATGCATGGTTAACACTGATTTATTTTATTTTTTTCTGTGAAAATTCCAGGCTCTAGTGCAAATTAACAGAGAAGTAGTAGTATGGCCATCGCCAGTTTCTGCAGCCCAATTTCTCGGGGATTTGGGGACTATAGTCTACACACTCCCACCAAGAGGTGACAGTTACCTACGTATTCAAGGCCCATCTATACCTCAAGTTAGAATGATAACTTAACTGAATTGGCAGCAATGGCTTCTCTGAAAATCAAGGATATAGTCGAAACTTGGGGTAATGGCATACCAAAAATCATCGAAAAAATGCCCGACATGCGCACGAAACCTACATGCAACATGCCTTAAAAGGTCCACCTGTATATTATCATATTGCCTAAAGAAGATATATTGGTTGCATAATACCTTCCTGATCAAGTAGGTAACGACTCTCCTCACTTGCCTGATTAGGCCAGGGAACAATGCTCGATTGGCCCTTCCCATGCAAGTAGCTATGATGCCATACATGAACTAGATCTCCCAGCAACAACGCCTTACCCAATTGTCGGGCGTAATTAAGTGGAATTTGAATAGAACCGACCATTGTAACGAAGAGGTGTCAAAAGCACGTTCTACCAAAGTCAACTCTAACTCCAAACGCAATCAGGTAGTGAAAAATAAAGCTTTTGCCAACTCCACTTCGTCGTCTTTTCATGAGACAACTAAACTGGGAATTTCCGCCCAACTAATTAGGCTTCCTAAGAGATTGCTACGGTATCCGGTGTAAAAAATCCATGACAATCCCGTTGCCAATCGCCTATACTGACATGTGATGACTCGTTCGGCCGGAAGTCAGATCTTACTTGCGGAGAATGGTTAGATGCGGTGGAAAAATTCGCATTTTTCAACGCATTTGATTTACCACCAAACGGTTGGATGCGACGAGCCGATGGCGGTTTTATTTGACGACACACGAGATATTCAAAGCCTAATCGATTATATGTAATTGACGATACTCATTATACAGAGGTAAAATTCTTGAGTATGGTAAAACATGAATTCCCACCAACCCCACAAAACTTTTTAAGGTTTTGCCATCTGAAATTGATTGTAGCAAATGTCACAAAACCAAAAGGGCCGGGACGCATAAAAAGGCGGTGGTGCATGAAGGTATTCATTATTTGTCCTAATTAGGTATGTGAGGCAGGATTACGAGTTTGTACATTGATGCATGCGGCCTAATTAGGAAAGGTGGGATTTTCAGTTGAGGGGTCTTCCGTAGTGTGAGATTGGCGATCACTACTGAACGGTGATGAACGTGAAAGTGTAGACTTGAGAGGAGTAGCTCCACTTCATGTAGCAAGCGGATATAGGCTCAACTAGTCATTGCCTCCCCACCAAATAGGAAGGCTAATGGCAGGCTAAGGGTGATCCTATTCCCGTTTAAGATTTATGCTTGTGTAAGCTTATGCCTCGTAGATATCGATGCCTCACGCCGGTCGAACCGAAGACAATGGCATTTTTTTATCAAGTAACAGTGCTATAATTATAGCGCAATGTGATTCGACGGGAGAAAACGTCCGAGCCTCAGCAAAAATGTTGAGTAGTTTTGGCCAACAAAACTTACCAGACGATATCCGCTATGTAACATGGCCATTGACTCAACTAAAGCTTCAATGCCGCTAAGCTAGTTTCAAGATGAAGGCATTTTCCGCACCAGACCGTAAATTCTTTGATGAAAAAATAATTGGGGCGTCCCCCTTGGGGACGTCCATCCTTCTCCGCAAGGTCGTTTAGACTGTGAAAATCATAAGCGATGCTGAAAAGATGGGGTATTTTTTACCACTGATTAATATGCAGTCAATGACCATGCCTAGAACGGAAGGGTTATTGGTACGTTCTGTCTCCTAAGGCATTTACCTAAATGCATACCTTGGGCATGTGCAGCCGGTAGCCAATTAAAAGGATTGTGTAATAAAGTCCCAAAAAAGTAGCGCAATCGAGGCGATAGGTCCAATGCGCAACCCTAATATTTTTCACATATTGCATTGCAACCCAGTGACACTGACTCTGTAGTCCTTTGACCCCTATGTGGGAATATGGGTTACTATCAGATGAGACGACAGGGGGAGTGCGGGCGTGCGCGGTCCGACAAACCCATGGCGTGTCGAGGCCAGAGCTCCCCCGAAGAGCCCCGTCGTGGCACGACCACCCGCACTCTCCCTTTGCTCACCTCCAACTTCTCCCCTACATGCTACAAATAAATGGCTGCTTTACCCAGAAGAATCATAAAGGAAACCGAGCGGTTGATCTCAGACCCGGTTCCTGGCATCACCGCCTATCCTGATGAAAGCAACTTGCGTGCGTTCACCGTCGCCATGGATGGACCCGACTCGTCTCCCTATGAACATGGAGTGTTTGACTTGGAGTTATATTTACCAGATGACTACCCAATGTGTCCTCCCAAAGTGCGGTTTTTAACGAGGATATATCACCCCAACATCGACAAGTTGGGCCGCATTTGCTTGGACGTGTTGAAAGATAATTGGTCTCCAGCCCTCCAGATTCGGACCATATTACTTTCAATCCAGGCGTTGCTAGCGTCCCCCAATCCGGACGATCCATTGGCCAATGACGTGGCGGAGGACTGGAAAAAGGATGAGGCTAAGGCGATTGGCGTGGCGAAGGAATGGACGAGTAAATATGCCAAATCTCACACAGCGTCCGGTTCGGCTGAATGAATAGAGCCGTTATGCCGTCACGACCGAGAACATCCTGATACATGATGTATATCATCCTGATACTTTTGTATAGCGATGATACATACCCTAATGTGATATATCAGAATATATTACTCAAATATAGTAGATGTGATTTATACGATGTGTATATAACGCCGTCAAATCGGTTGCTAGTTGGGGCCCGGAAATATACGTGGCGAGTGCAGCTACCAAATCGGGTGGTGCGCCCAAAATTCCACTCATCCCCAGTGGTGAATCCTAGCCGGATGTGAATGGTTTCCCGCCCAGCGAGGCAATGGACCTCAAATAAACGACCCAGTAACTCCTCCAGACCTGGTCTTCTGTACCACCACCTCCCGTACGTCTCTCCTCGCGTCTCACATTTATTATCGCCTTATATATGAAAGCTATGCCAGGCGCGTATATTTTTTAAGTAGTCTCCTTTGAAAACTATTCTCACCATTTTCAATTTTTTACCGTGTTCTTTTCTTTAGTATCAATTACACAAGTAACACTTGGCCCCAAACGTCTTATATTCCTTCGTTACATACCCATAATCGTTAGTGGTTCCGTCATAAATATTTCCAACCATGGGCCAAGAAGATGACGATGACTCTCGCAACAGTCCGTTTGTCGATCAGACCTATGACTCCATCGCTTCCCGATACGTTGATCCCGACGACTCGACCAAGCTCTCATTCAACGACTCCAGTGGCGCCCTAAACCCTCGGCGATCCGATAAACGGGTTTTTTCAGACGACAGCTTCAAGACTGTCAAACTGCCCACAGAAGAGTTTTCCTTTGAATCCACTGCCTACCCCCCGGCTGGCGATGACACCGACGGTGAGTTCAGTGGTATGCCTACTCCCAGTATCCGCGCCGAGGACCTGTTTTCCGGTAATCCTAGCTCTGTTCCTGTGAACCGAAAACCCTCATTACGATTCAAATTGCCCACATCGGCCATAAACCAAAAAAACCCCAAATCTCCATTTGCCGACCAGAATACTTTTGTGGTCCATGAAGGCAACACCTATGACTTGCCACAACCCAATTCACCTTTCACTGACCGGTTTCAATTCCATGCCATGGAAGAGGTCGATGAGGGCGATGAGGATCCTGCTTACAAATACGACGAAAGTGAAGGTATGAAGAGGCACAGATGGGGTACCACCAGAAACAAAAAGGGAAAGCCTCAGAGGGAAAATGTCAGCAGGTCCAAGACCTTGAAACGAATCCTAAAGCCTCAAGATGTAATCAGATCATTCTCCACTAGAGGATCCCAACCCAACTCGAATTCCAACTCAAAGAACAATTCTCGTTCAAACTCCATAATCAGAGGCCCCAATACGAACAGCACTGTGATAAATGCCTACAACTACTCAGATGATGATTCTGATATTGGGGAGGATGATGAGGAGCCGGTGGATCCTAGAGATAGAAGGTCTGAAAAAAGATCGGTGGCCTTGAACCAACCGCTTCCTGACCAATTCATCGACCCTCAAACCCAGGAGCCCATCACACTGTATCCTAGAAACAAGATCAGAACTACGAAATACACTCCCTTGTCATTTTTACCCAAGAATATTTCCAATCAGTTTCTACGAAATGTTGCAAACATTTATTTCCTTGTATTGATTGTCTTGGGCTACTTTGAGATTTTTGGCGTTCCAAACCCAGAGTTGTCTATGGTGCCATTGATTGTAATTGTTATTTTGACTGCAATCAAGGATGCCATTGAAGACTCTAGGAGAACTGCTTCGGACTTGGAGGTCAATAACCAAACTACTCACATTTTGGAAGATTTGGGCACCAATCCTGATTTTGTTTATGAAAACAAAAATGTGGGTGACGAGAAGATCTCCCTTTGGAGAAGGTTCAAGAAATTCAACTCGAGATTGATGTTGAGAATGATCGGTGCAACCAAAAGAAATATGACGAAGGAAGGAAGAGCCAAAAAAATAAGAGATAAGGCTAACAGAGAGTTGGGAGAAAACCACACTACCAACCGTAAGAGTTTTGATAGCGATGTTTTATCACCTCGTAATTCTATGGCAGCCAACGAAAACCCCTTTCGCAAGTCTTTTCAAAGCAGAGCGTCTATGTCCAGGAGGACGAAGAATCTTAAGTTCGCTAAGAGTTACTGGAAAACTGTCAAAGTTGGTGATGTGCTAAGAATTTACAACAATGAGGAAATCCCTGCTGACTTGATCATCTTATCTACCAGTGAAGCAGATAATGGTTGTTATGTCGAAACGAAAAATCTCGATGGTGAAACAAATTTAAAGGTTAAACAATCCTTGAAATATGGTAATGATCATAAAATCACCAAAGCCGATGATATCATGAATAGAAGATTCCAAATCAGCAGTGAAGGTCCTCATCCAAACTTGTATTCTTACCAAGGAAGTATCAAATACTACGATGAAAGTATTAATGAGGAGAATGAAGACTCTATCAACATCAACAATCTCTTGTTGAGAGGTTGTACTTTAAGAAACACGAAGTGGGTGATTGGGATAGTTGTTTTCACAGGGGATGACACAAAAATCATGATCAATGCTGGTGTAACACCTACCAAACAATCGAAGATATCTAGAGAATTAAACTACTATGTTTTCATCAATTTTATTTTATTATTTTTAATATGTTTGGCTTCAGGTTTGGTCAATGGTATTTATTACCGAAAGAGTGAGACCTCAAGGGACTTTTTTGAGTTCGGTACCATCGGTGGTACTCCGTGGAAAAATGGTATTATCAGTTTTGTTGTTGCTGTGATCTTGTATCAATCATTGATTCCAATTTCCTTGTACATTACTATTGAAATCATCAAATCAGCGCAGGCTTTTTTCATCTACTCTGATGCCAACATGTATTATGAGAGATTGGATTTCCCATGTACCCCTAAGTCCTGGTCTATTTCCGATGATTTAGGTCAAGTGGAGTATGTTTTCAGTGATAAGACTGGTACTTTAACACAGAACTTAATGGAATTCAAGAAGTGTACCATTAACGGTATTTCTTATGGTAGAGCTTATACAGAAGCATTGGCTGGTATGAGAAAACGTCAAGGATTCAACGTCGAAGAAGAAGCTCTTGTTGAGAGAGAAAGAATAGAGAAAGACCGTATTGAAATGCTAGATGGTTTAATGTCAATCTATAAAGACAACGAATATGTGGATGAATTAAGCTTTGTATCTTCAGAATTTGTTAAAGACTTGGAAGGGGCCAATGGTGCTTTCCAAAAGAAGTCAAATGAACATTTTATGTTAGCATTAGCTTTGTGTCATTCTGTTTTGATTGAAAAAGACGAAGACACAGGTAAATTAGTATTGAAGGCTCAATCTCCAGATGAAGCTGCTCTTGTTGGAACGGCTAGAAGTTTGGGTTTTGCATTTGTGGGAAATACAAAGCAAGGTGTCCTTATCGATACTCAAGGTGTAACCAAGGAATATCAAATTTTGAACGTTTTGGAATTCAATTCTACAAGAAAGAGAATGAGTGCTTTGGTTAAAGTACCTGGAAACACTGAAGACGACGAGCCGAAGGTTTTGTTAATTTGCAAAGGTGCCGATTCCATTATCTATGGAAGATTATCTAAGACTCATAACGTTAAGACTCTTTTGGACAAAACTTCAGCGGATCTCGAACAATTTGCAACTGAAGGTTTGCGTACTTTATGTATTGCACAACGAGAATTCAGCTGGACCCAATACCTTGAATGGAATAAGCGCCACAAAGAAGCGTCTGCTTCTCTTGATAATAGAGAAGAGAAGATGGAAATGGTTGCCGATTCTATCGAAAGAGAGTTGATCTTATTAGGTGGTACAGCTATTGAAGATAGATTACAGGATGGTGTTCCAGACTCTATTGCTCTTTTGGCCCAAGCAGGTATAAAGTTGTGGGTCTTAACTGGTGATAAGGTTGAAACGGCTATCAACATCGGGTTTTCATGTAACTTGTTGGGTAATGACATGGAGTTATTGATTTTTAAGAACGATTTGAGTGATGAAGATAAAGCTAAGTATGGTATAAGAGGTGGCTCTAATACCCAAGTGATAGATCAATTGGTCAGCAGCTACTTGGAAATATTTTTCCGAATGTCTGGTTCTTTAGAAGAATTAGAGGCTGCCACTGGTGATCACTCTCCTCCTAGCGAAGGTTTCGGAGTAGTCATTGATGGTGATGCTTTGAAAATCGTTTTGAATGATGACGAAATCAAGAGGAAATTCTTATTATTGTGTAAGCAGTGTAAAGCTGTTTTATGTTGTAGAGTTTCCCCTAGTCAAAAAGCAGGAGTTGTTAAGCTTGTTAAGAACACCTTGGATGTTATGACTTTAGCAATTGGTGATGGTTCTAATGATGTTGCCATGATTCAAGCTGCTGATATCGGTGTCGGTATCGCTGGTGAAGAGGGCAGACAAGCCGTTATGTCGTCAGATTATGCCATTGGTCAGTTCCGGTTCTTGGCTCGGTTGTTATTAACCCACGGAAGATGGTCTTATAAGAGACTTGGTGAAATGATTCCTAATTTCTTCTATAAGAATGTCATTTTCTCGTTTGCCTTATTCTGGTTCGGGGTTTTCTCTGATTTTGATGGAACTTATTTGTTTGAATTCACTTATTTGATGTTCTATAACTTGGCGTTTACATCTTTACCAGTTATTTTTATGGGAGTTTTTGATCAGGACGTAAGTGCCAAAGTATCGATGCTTGTGCCTGAATTGTACAGAAGTGGTATTTTGAGATTAGATTTCAACCAAAGCAAGGTCTGGAGTTACATGATTGATGGGTTGTACCAATCAGTGATTTCATTCATGTTCCCATACTTGGTTTATTACAAGGGTTTCGTCGATATGGCTGGTTTAGCTCTGAACCACAGATTCTGGATGGGAATAATCGTTACCTGTATCGCATGTGTTTCATGTAACTTCTACATTCTTTTACACCAGTATAGATGGGATTGGTTATCTTTATTAATCGTTTTCCTTTCTATTGCACTGGTCTATTTCTGGACTGGTGTGTGGACGTCAGCTTTATCCAGTGGAGAGTTTTATTTAGCTGCAGCACAAATGTTCGGAAGTTTGACATTTTGGGCGTGCTCAGTAGTCGGTATCATGGTATCGATTCTCCCAAGATTCACCTACGATTTCACGCAAAGAATCTTCTGGCCCAAAGATGTTGATATTGTTAGAGAATGTTGGCTCAGGGGAGATTTCGACGCGTACCCTGAAGATTACGATCCAACTGATCCCAATAAAGTCAAGGTTAGTGAATACAGTAGTGAAAAGATCAAGAACTTGGGTAACTCTGGTAGTACCTCAACTACGCCAAACGGTAGTTCTTTGGACTCTAAGAACCAAAGTGATTTGGAAAGACAGTATCACATGAACTCATCTAGCACCATTCAAGTTGACCAAGTGCCAATTCAAAGTGGTCAATCCATGCCATTGCCACAAAGACAGGAAAGAAAGCTGATCATCGACATGTTCAAGCGCAAGTCGAACGTAAGGTCTACTTACTACGATAATAGCTCGTTCATTGACAGCTATAAAGAACCTCAGGATTCGTTGAAGACAGAAGAAATAGCCTTGGACGAATTCGACAAAAACATCAGAAGAGCTTCCAGAATCTCCTCTGATAACAAAAGATACTCAATTGATAGAAGGTATCCCTCGGAAGGCCGAAGCAACGTCAGAACCTCTTTGGAGTTCCCGGAGCTCACCACATCCGAATCCTTAACTCAGGAGAGATGAACAATCAAAAACAATTAATGACAAAAGAACATACTTTTGTCAATTGCATTTTTCTAGCACAATTACACAATTTATATGACATAATTGCCAATATATGGACATTATATTTAGGATATTCTCGGGTGGTAGTATTTTTCTAGATCTCATCATCGAGGCTGCAATGGACGGAAAGTCTCGGACTAATGACAATCCCGGACTTTCAACACGAAATTTGATTTCAGCGTTAGTTAGCCAACGATTCAAGAATACCTGTTTATATAGGAAGGCCCCTACTCCTACTTTGTACAAACACATATATATATGTAGAGGACTACCCTTGAGTGTGTGGTAAAAAAACCAATCGGAAAATAGCCCAGCCGTGTTTGTGTAAGGTTTCGCTTTTCTTTTGTACTCCAGATCAAAATAGAAATCCGAATTTTGCTGCTAAGGCACAAGACTGCCTGAAAGACTAATTCGACACAGACCTGCCCAATGGGTGGCTGCAATTAACAGCTTTTTACAGTAGAAGAGGAGTTGGTTCTCCAATTAATTTGAAATCCAAATTCCCCAGTAACAACTACCAAATCTAGTTAATGTGATCCACTGGTAACTTAGAGCCGTGTCAGTACCATTGAATTTTTTTTCTTTTTCTTTGGCGAGCGTATCCCAAATTCACGGAAATTTGAACGCTCATTGGTGGATACGTCTGTCCAATAGAAATCCCTTAGAGGAAAATTTAATATAAATACAAAGTGTATCCCGTTGGAAAATTTTTCTTGCTTCTTTTTTTTTTTGACCTCGTCAACGTTTTCTTTTACAGAACTACTACATATTCAAAATGGATAATCACTTTTTAATTGATTTTATGATGGGTGGTGTTTCCGCCGCCGTCTCTAAGACCGCCGCCGCTCCAATTGAAAGAGTTAAGCTTTTGATCCAAAATCAAGATGAAATGATCAAGCAAGGTAGATTAGCTAAGAAATACGACGGTATCGCCGAATGTTTCAGAAGAACTGCTGCCGAAGAAGGTTTCACTTCTTTCTGGAGAGGTAACACTGCTAACGTTATCAGATACTTCCCAACCCAAGCTTTGAACTTCGCTTTCAAGGACAAGTTTAAGAAGATGTTCGGTTTCAAGAAGGAAGAATCTTACTGGAAATGGTTCTCCGGTAACTTGGCTTCTGGTGGTTTGGCTGGTGCCACTTCTTTGGCTTTTGTCTACTCTTTGGATTACGCTAGAACTAGATTGGCTAACGACGCCAAGTCTTCTAAGGGTGACGGTCAAAGAGAATTCAACGGTTTGTTCGATGTCTACAAGAAGACCTTAGCTTCCGATGGTATTGCTGGTTTGTACAGAGGTTTCGGTCCATCTGTTATCGGTATTGTTGTCTACAGAGGTTTGTACTTCGGTTTGTACGATTCCTTGAAACCAGTTGTTTTGGTTGGACCATTGGAAGGTTCTTTCTTAGCTTCTTTCTTGTTGGGTTGGACTGTCACTACTGGTGCTTCTACTGCTTCTTACCCATTGGACACTGTCAGAAGAAGAATGATGATGACCTCTGGTCAAGCCGTTAAGTACAAGGGTGCCTTTGACTGTGCTAAACAAGTTATTGCTGCTGAAGGTGTTGCTTCCTTGTTCAAGGGTTGCGGTGCTAACATCTTGAGAGGTGTTGCCGGTGCTGGTGTTATCTCCATGTATGATCAATTGCAAGTTATCATTTTCGGTAAGAAGTTTTAAGTTGATTAATTAATATAATAATTAAATTAATTAACCTCAATCTTCTTATTGTATATATTCAATCTTTTATTTATTCAATTGTTTATACAATAATAGAATAATTATCCTCAATATGTCAGATAGTCTGTTACTTGATTTTAAACCTTTTTCATGGGCGTTTTGATTTGTCGTGAAATTCGCTGTCCACATCAAAACGAGATTTCGGAGAATTTCGGACTGCGATAAGGCGATTTTGCCCGTCCACGAAATTGTTGCAAACTGAAAACACCGTAAGGATGACTTTGAAATTAGCAAGTTTTGAGACAGATGATTTACTGAGCACAATCGAGGAATATGAGGCATGATTTTATATCGGTTGTAGTTTACGATAGTGATTTAATTCCAGCTTTCGATTCGGCTATCTCTTCTTGAGTGAATTTCACATTTTTCATTCTAATTTAACAAAGGAAACCTCCATTTAATGCTTATTAATGCTTACTTTACGCAAGCCCTAGATCTATCTTAACCTAATTCAATACCTTTTATGAGTACAAGAGTTTCTCCTCCAAAAGCACGAAATTTTGGCTTGTTCGTTGTCTTTGACCAATTGCAACATTCTGTGCGCTCAAAACTTCATTCCTTAAACTCGCATACGAGTCTCACATCGCGCACCACAGAAACTTTCATTACTGAAACTAGCCTCAACTTTGTGGCTAGAGTCAAGCAATTGCTGCAAAAATGCTCGCATAAAAAGCCTACCTAGAATGAACTAGTCAAGAAAACATATATTTACTCTGAATAATTGTATTAGCAAGCCATAGAATATTAAGACCACCTCTAGCATAATATTATGAGCATGAGTTACTAACATCCCCCAATTATCCAAAAATTAACAAAATAGCAAAATCAAACAACAAACTAAATTTTAGAACTTTTCAAAGTTCAAGTACAACAATTTATAATTGGATTCTAAATCGTACAATACTCTTTCATTCTTCTTGTAATTGAGATCACATAATCTCCTATCACAATTGAATAATTCACTAAGTTCAGTTTCGTCCCCTTTGGTGTCAATTTCATTGATCAAAGTAACTGAGAATCTACCAGGTCTAAAGACCTTCAAAATCTTGATGAGAACATCAACGATGTTGATTGAAGAATTTGAAATGGAACTAAATGGGAAATTGGTTTCGAATGATGCATATGACCAACCTGATTCAGGTGTGATATGTAAAGTATAATAGTAGCTTCCATTATTGCTGCTTATGGAATTGGATGAGAATCCACATGGAGTGAATGAAAACGCATCATGAACAAAGTTGAAAGGTAAGAATTGACCGGCAGATTCAAATCCACCATCTTCTTTTGGAGAAGGTAAATGTTGAGCTGACCCACCACCAACCTGTTTATTCAATTGATCATAGTCATTAAAAATTGAGTTTAATTTGGTTGACTTGATTGTTTTGAAACCAAATTCATGACCCAAGTCATCTTCTTCAAATCCGTTCTTGACGAAGGATTCAAAACCGGGCTTTCTGGATGTGACAAACTGCTCTGCTTTACCCGGGTCCAAATCCGTCATCAAAACTTCAAAGGTTTGGTCTCTGATGGAGCCTGGAGCTTTACATTCATCATCTTTTTGACCACCAGTATATAGATACCAGTGATCATCACTGGCAAAGTCACCAACCACGTACGATTTGCCATTGATGAAGTACTCGTTCAATAATTTGACTTCCTTTTTCCAATCCTTATGCACACTTTGTTGTCTTTCTGGAAACATAAAGGATCTTCTGGAATAAAACACCTTGAAGATTTCCTTAGTGTTAACTTTCTTGGCGACGTAGTGACGGATATCTTCAAATAACTTTTCGATACAAAACAAAGTGGTGGTAGTACCACAAGTCTTCAAAATAATTTTATGACTGAACACAAACAACGAAGACTCAGACAACAAGTAAGCATCCATGTACTTGGAAGATTTCATAGACAAGATTTTACAGTTAACCAAGTCTAAGATATCAACCCAGTTCTTCAAAGGGATGCTTCTCAAGCCATCTTCACAATTGCTGTGAGATTTGACTTCAGCTTCATTGGGCCATACCCAAACTTCTAAAAGCTTTTCTGGGCCCTCGAAGGCGGAAGTAGAATCCAAGTTGGCACTAAGTTCATGGTCGACATAGGAGTCATCGGTGTAAGCAGGTGCAACCATAATAATAATAATTTTTCTTCTTTTTCAGTTCTTTAAGGTGGATTGGAACTTGCTCTTATTAAATCAGTAAAAACTGGAAGAGGTATAACAAATGACAGTTGAAACGAAGAGAGAAGTAGCAAGAAACGTTTCAACAAGTTAAATGTTAGTTTTTTTTAACCAAAAATTATAATTCACTAGTGGATGGGGAGGATCAACAACCTAGTGAAGAATATAAAAACGTCAAAATCGGGGGATATTTGATAAATGTGGAGATAGACTGAACTTTTTCAAGTGAGTTACTTAACGATTCGTTCGAAGTAGGATTTAAAGGGTGTTATCCAGGTTCAATTAATTTATTCAATTCAAAGGTCAACTTTCGTAGGGGCTTCTTAGGCATAAATTAATTTGCTGAAGAGTCTCTTGGAGAAAAAATCTGGTACTATCCTCCAACTAACAAACACTAGAAGTCTTGGAGATGGAAAGAAGTTAACAACACAACTGGTGTTTATAATATAAAAGTTTGCTACTACAAAAAAATTTTCAAGTCCCGCACACGCGAGATCATTCCAAGAAATCAAATCGTAGCAGTAGTCAATTTGAAACAGTCACACTATGAATTTGTACTGAACTCTTTTAGGGACTTTTGGATAACATTCTTGGAACAAATTTGTAGTCTAAACCTAATAGAACTGCCTATTTTAACTCAATGGTTCTGGCGAATTCGTTTTAGAAGGTGAGACATTTATGTATATCATTTGGCAAAAGGTCCACCCGCATTTTGTTCGCAACCATGTGTCTACTAACTAAAACTAGCAAAGATAGGAGTACACAATCAAAAGTTTTTTGAGATTTATGACTTTGTGACCTTGTGACCTTGTGACCTTGTGACTCCTGTGTGAGAGGCACGATACTAGTGCTCCTTGTTGAACTTTATAATTGTGTTTGTCTTTTGTGCTCATCTTTATACGGTTTCAACCTCCCTCCAACACCAAAGGTTCAATTTAGGAGCTTTGCAAAATTTTTTTCTAACCCACCAAGAAGACACTGCCGTTGAAGGTACTGAGGAGTAAAGCTCATAGTTTTGTGATCCCATCCCCTTTTGCAGCATAAATAATGAATATATTTTAATCCTATTGTTTGATACTGCGATGGCTGGTTAATGAGCTTATGATTTTTAATAAGGCTGATGTTTGTATTGTAACGAATGCCTATTATAATTGGACCCATTGTTATCAGGAGTCATATTATTATAGCGGATAATTGCCACTGTTCATATATTTCTTCGATTAAACTTATCAAGCCTCCACGAGAAAGTGCTGTAGATTCCTTCTCCTGTCTTACTAACGATCTCAAATGTGAGATAGAGGGCACCTGATCAGGTTTAGCTAGTACTCCACATACTGATCTGTTGAATGGAAGTCAATCTAAATTTATGGCTGCAAAATGAGACAAAGAATATATTAATACAAAACATAAAACCGAACCAAAATGAAACGTTTACAAGGCAACTGGCAAACTAGTAGCAACAGAAGTCAATCCAGTAGCAACAGGCAAACCACTTGGGAGAGAAAGACTAGATGACAAAGATGAAAGAGCATCCAACAAGTCACTTACAATAGGTAAGTCGCTGATAATAGGCAACAGCGACAAAAGACTAAGAATAGGAGCCAAGGCTTCCAACAAAGTACTTAAACCAGGAATACTATCCAAGCTAATAGAAGTTGGGATGGCAGTCAAGATATCAGTGGGAATAGCAGTCAAGATATCTGTTGGAAGAACAGTTGGAACATCACTCAAGACATCAGCCCTCTTTTCTGCTGGGGCAGCATGAGCAATGGCAGATAAAGCAGCAATAAAAGCAACGGTAGAGAATCTCATTTTTAGGGTAGTGAGATGTTGAGGATATTAAATGGTTGATGATAAAACCAATAGGGGGACCGGACGAGTATTTGTACAGTTTCTTTAACTGTATACCCCAGTATCTTCCAGTGAACGAATCCATTGTCTACATGGTATTTTCAGGGTTCATCCAACGAATGATCATGGTGGTTTGAAAAAGCCATCTCTCGCGCAGAGAACAATGGCTGCAAAGAAAAATCAACATTGTGTCTTTATTCACCCACAGTAATAATTGTGTTAGCAAAGGGTGGCTGGCAGTCTAAGCCAGAAGTGCGAAAATGACTGATCTGTTGTACTGTGCTGAAAGGGTTTGCATCTTCTTGATTATTGTCTCGTTACGCATTCAAAGAGATATTGTTCCTCGAAGGTCTTCTGATTATCCCCATCCCAGTTGTTAATCCTTAATATTGAAACACAAGGGATACTTATTGCAACCATAACCAAATTGAGCAGTACAGCCAGGTCTTCGATAGCCAAACAAACAACAGCAATGGTAAGTCATTGACAACTCCTAGTTCATTGGCTGCCTGTCAGGCATGCCATTGATGTCCGCCAGGTGATCGAAATCCCAATACTTCTAGCAGGTCATTTCCTATTAACCGCATCAAAAGCAATACTGTTTTCATATGGCACAGAATAATGTTTTACTAAGGTTTGAACCAGACGTAGGTCTGTTGTAGCGCGCAGGCGTTCAAGTGATGAGGAATTGTTCTGTACTTAGCTGCAATCAAGGTCGTGGAAGTATACAATTTCTTATAGCTTAATCCCATAAAAGGTGTTGTCCGACCGCTCTCATTTGTTTAGGAAGCCTCCTGTGTGTCCGTTGAGCCAGAGCGCATAATGTTACCTAAATTTCAACATCTCGAACCATGCAGGTTATGGCTCAAACGATATCAGCACTTGCAGCTTGAAGTGAATGTTCCGTACACAGGAAAGGGGACACACATTGCCCCTTTAATGGGGTCCAGCTTAAAGTTCCCATCTTCCACCGCAACTGGCATTATAGAAACGTATAGCAAACACTCACAGTATAAGTGGTTTATTCATACGCTACAAATCTGGGCGATCCCTTGTCACACCCTTTTTTGTTCCAGGTCGTCTATGGTTGATACGACTCCCTATTTTGCAGCTTGCGCTCACAGACGATTGTAAGGGGCAATACCCGCGCGGTGACAGTTGAAATTGGGATGGCTGATTAATTGATAACAAAGAGCCTAAGGAACAGAGCACTGGGAGGCGCAATGCTTCAAACGCAGATCTGGTGATCTGCTTGCTGTGGGTGTGGTGTCGGGGGCTTTGTGTCGGGGGCTTTGTATTGAGGCTTTGTGGTTCATCTAAATAGAAAAGAAATATCGGCTAGAGTTTCACACCCAAGTGAAGGGCCCTCGGGGCCACCAGTGGCACCGGTTTTTCCGCATCATTATTAACGCCTAATTTCTAACCACACGTAGTGCCAACCTCCTAGAATCGCAAAGATATTTACATCACCACGGGACCATTCTATAACAATTTACCGTTACAAGAGTACAATCAGAGACACAACACAGTACTAGAAAACATTTATAGATCTATAATCAATATAAAACCAGAAACCTAGGGTATCAAGTTACCATTACCACCAATACAGTTTGGCTGCGAAATGATAAGCAGACCAGAGCACAAAGGTTTATAACCTAAGGCCAAAGAACTAAACCTTCACCAACTAGATACCAGTTGGAGTAGGAAATCCACTTGGAACGTTGACGCCACTTGGTAATGACTCAATTGCCTTCAACAATTGCTCAAGCGCAGCTTTTTCAGAATCGGACAATTCAGTTAAGATACTGATAATTGGTTCCAAGGCTTCCAACAAGTGTTCCAAGCCAACAACTGCAGAAGACGAAGGAATAGATGTTGGAATCGCAAGCGAGGTGGTGTGGTATGGCCAGCCCGACAACGATGCGGTAGGAAAGGTAGCAGAAGGTCCCCAAGCTGAGTAGGTGATAGAAAGGTTACCAGGAACCGTGTAAGAGGCACTAGGCTTAGGGTGGGAGCCTTCACCCCAGCTTGGGTGACCAGGGCCCCAGTTTTGCTGACCAGAGCTCCCGTGAGGGTTGCCAGAATTCTTTGACGATTTACCATCAGAGCCCTTGTTGCCATTGCCCTTGTGGCCTTCATGCTCAGCTGGAGCAGCTTGGGCAATGGCACATAAAGTGGCGATAGTCGTAAGAATAGAAAATTTCATAGTGTTAGGTAAGATGAGTTCAAAAGTAGGGATCGAACCACACAAGTCGAGATTTTAAGCCATATTTATATTGTGACGCCCATGGGATTTAAAAGTGCCGAGACATAAATCTGTACCTTGATTTATTGCAGCTATCGGACATGCAGCAAAAAAATGCCAATTGTGGCTTTGCATTCCGGCTTCAAGCAAGGATAATCAAACAATTGGCGGTAAGAATTGGAATATTTAGATCGTAACAATAAACGTACTTTAATCAACGGCAAATAATCCGAACTGATTAAACAAATAAAGGTCTAGAAACCTGACATTTAGACGGACCGCGTTTGATGCATTGTCCTCTTAAGGGGCAATAATAACCTCATATTGAGGTGATGCATTTGACGGCATACAATACTGCATATCCATACATTGTTGCTCAAAATTGTTATTGTTGACAACCCAATTTGGCTTTTCATCGCGGCTATATATCTAATCGTCACAATGGAACAGCTAAGTACATATAAACAGAAATTTTCATGAAGCGCATATGACGTGCCAGATACAGATTTAAAGTCGAAGGGCGTTTGAAGTTGTGGCTATTGATGACCATCCGCCGTGCAAAGGTTTTCGTCCTGATCCAATCGAATCTGCAGCGACAAAAAAGTGACAAATGTCATTCTCTTTGTAAACATTTTTAGTGTATAGGATGAAAATCTAGTGGAATTTCAGGGGCTTTCTTTGATGAGATGAATGCGCTACATACGCCGATCTTCTGAAGCCACCAGGGGGAGGAAAATCTACACTGGAATCTCATAACATGAGGTTTTATATTTTAAAATTGAACAAATTCTTATTACTATAAATTATTTAAACACTGCTCACAATTTCACTGGCGTTCTTCAACACTTCCACCATCTTCAAGCATTCCTTTCTCTTTTGAATGGTCATTTCGTTTTCTTTCACCAACTCGCCCAAGTCCTTCGAGTTGTATAATCTTTCTATCAACACCTTTTGAATATCGTCTTTTGAAAACACAATCAATTTGAACATAATTGCCTTAGGAACCAAGTCAGTGACGGTTCTCTTGACGATGTTGTAGTAGGAGGAGATTAACAACTTGATCACTTCGGTTTCCATGGTCTCTCTTTCGGTCATGGCACCAGTGGCTCTCAATGTGGGAGGAGGGGCTTCCATGCTTTGTAATCTCTTTTTGTTTTTGGAGCTAAAAAATCCACCAAAGAACCCATTGGCGTTTTCATCTTCTTTGGGTGTTGCTGACTGTTGTGGCTGCTGAGATGGTGGCAATGGCTTACCGGTCTTCGGGTCAACCGCAACTTGGGGCTTGGGGTGGAACTTGTCTTCAACAATGGCCATGGCTTGAGACCCCTTTAACAAGTCAGGGTGAGCCGTGTTGACATAAGTTTCTTCCGACTTAATGATATCGGTGACGAACTTGTTGGTGGGAACCAAAGCATCTCTTAAGAATTGTATGAAATGTTGAGACAACTGTTCCTTTAAGGCTGGATAACGAGAGTATTGAGGCAGGCTGAGAATTTGATTCAAGATTCTCGTCAATTCATCAAAGATCAAGTTAATACATCTTATGGATGGATCCTCCATTCTACGAATCTGTTGTTTAACCAATACTTCAAAGGCCTGGGTTCCAACAAATAAAGATGGAGCACTACCAGAAGTGTTATGCATGATAGTTCTGATATCGGTATCTTTGATTTGATCGAATGGGTCTAATGAAGTGATACCGTTTTTGAAGATCTCATGGAAAACAAACGAGATTCTGGCACCACCACTCAATTCGTGGGAGCTCAATTCCTTAGCTTCACCATCCAAAATACCATTGTAGTCTTTGGTGAAGTTTGTGATCATACTAAGGGCAATGGAAGTTGGACTTTCGGACATTTCAGGTCCTAATAAGCTTAACTCGTTCTCATACTTTTTCAATGAGTTTTCAATTCTCATCTTGATATCAGGCAAAGTTCCCTTGATATGGTGCAACAAAATACCATTCAATTTCTTGGCCAAGTATGGAGTACCACAGTAATGGGCCTTGGCTTTATAGCTTGGGTGATTTTCAAAGAAGCTACTTTCATCCTTCAAAGCTTCTCTGATGGTCTTCTTGCTCTCTATATCCTTCTGACCTCGATTTATGACGGGAACATAACCAAACCTTAATGGGATCACTCTACCCGCCAAGATATCGATAACATCAGTACCTTCGTCCATCAAATCAACCTTGGTTAAGACCCCAATAGTTCTAGCACCTTCAGGGTCAACTTCTCTAGCCAACTTCAACCCATCAGAGTTGGCCAAATCAGTGTTTGCAGCATTAACCGACAAAACAATTGCATTAGGTTTAGAAATAAATTTCATAATCATTTCCCTAATTTGCCTTTCAATATCCTTGGGCTGATCACCAACAGGGACTTTGGTCAAACCTGGTAAATCAACCAAAGTCAAAGTCAAGACATGAGGGGAATAGATTCTTAAGTTGATAGGAATTGGCGAAATTCCCAAATTCTTACCAGTCTTAGCATCAGTTTCTCTAACAATTTCGTTTCTGATTTCTTCAAAGTTGAAAAACTTCTTGCCAGGCAAATGCAAAAACTCACCCCATTCATCGGCATTGTTTTCTGATTGACCACCGGATTCAGTAGTTTTGTTGATGGAGATCAAATCTTCCTGAGCTGGCTTGTTTGCCCTTCTATTAATCAACTGTAAAACCAATGGTCTTCTGGTAACAATACCAGTACCTCTTGGCAAGAAGTCTCTACCGACAATATTCTCCAAAACCGAGGATTTACCACTTGATTGAGAACCAACAACCGTAATTTGTGGCAAGTCAACTGGTGAGCTAGACCCGCCTCCTAATGGGGACAATGCATCTTGCAATTTGTTGATGGTAGCGATTAAAGTTTCATCCATTGCTATATCGAGTCGAAGTTAAACCAGGGGAACACGTTCAAAGATCTATTGACTAGTCTATGGTCTATTTTAGAAGTCTGTCAAAGTGCTTCTTCACAGATAAGTGTTTAGGAGGTTGAGTTTTCGGTAAGCGCGAGATTTGTGTGATAGATCCACAAAAGGCGCACGCGGCCAGGACACGACGCGGTTTTCTTCATTCTCAGCTATACTTGTCTATAAAGCTATTAGGAGCAGTATAACTAAACCCTTCGAAAAAATCGTAGGGAGACGCCAGGCGGTCGACGGGAATGTTTAATGCTTGGTCAGTATTGTAGTCACTGACCTTTTGGTTGGTGAATTCAGGAGAAAAGTTCTCTGCTAATATCGGGTCTGTTATGACAGGAATAATTGGTGGAACTACTGAATCATCTTGGAGTTCTAAACTGTTCCAGTTTAGCTTTCTAAAAAACCGGTGCTGGGTGAACTTTGGCCACTGATCATCGACCTTGAATCTTTTTTCGGGGCTTTTATTCAAGAGTTTGTTTAAAAGGTCTTTCGCATCCAAGGAGAAATAGAACGGTAAGATCAACTTCTTGGTCAAGATTTTATCTTGGATGATCTTATGGGAGTTTCCTGTGAACGGTGCCTTACCACTCATCATGTCGTAGATTACACACCCAAGAGACCACCAATCGACACTATAAGCGTATTCTTCACCTTTTTAAGACCTCTGGTGCCATGTACTCGGGAGTACCTATAACAGACTTACAATTCTCATCCCCGTCCCCAATATCTTTTGACAATCCAAAGTCGGTTAATACTAAGTTCCCCCTGCTGTCCAATAAACAGTTCTCAGGCTTTAAGTCTCTGTAGACTATTCCCAACTTGTGCAAGTGTCTCAACGCCAATGCCATTTGTGCGCTGTAGAAAGCAACATGGTCCTCTTTGAATGCACTGCCCAACGAGTTGTTGCTGGTCAAATGGTGGAATAGCTCTCCTCCAGGAATGTACTCTAAGATGAGATAAAACTTATCTTTATCTTGCAATGCATGAAACAATTTGACGATATTTGGGTGGTGGTTGATGTTGCTGAGGATCTGTCTTTCGTAGATTGTCCGTTTCACGTGGTTGGAATGGATACCATTGAACTCCTCTACAATAGGAATGACAGGCTTCCTTAATTGTTTCTGAGCATATAACTTTTTCGTCAGCTTATCTTGAACCAAGTGAACCTTGCCGTAAGCACCTTGGCCAAGAACTCTTATGGGCACAAAGTCCTGAAGTGCTTTTTTGTAAGAAGCTTTACCCGATTCTTCTTCACGTACATCGCTGAAGTTCGAGGGAATCACCAATTCCAGGTTATGTGATGCCACGGAAGAAGGCCGTATAGAAATACGTCTGTACACAGATGAGCGTCTTCTGGTCCTTATTGGAACTCCATTTTCCGGTATTTTAAGCAAGGGATCAGCTTTTAAGGGTGTAACCTCAAAATCTGCCAGCAGACCAGGGTGTTCCCACGAGTCTCTGATATTGAGATCAGATGCCTGTTTGGCGAACGACTCATCATCAAAAGTAAATATGTCTCCCATAGCGTATAATAGCAAATATTTATTTACATGGGACTTCAAGCAGCAAGTTTAAGTATTCATGCACACTGTGGGCATATCAGTTATGGGAAGAGATGCACTTAATTACTTGGGAGTGCGCGCGTGATTGCAAAACCAAAATCAAAACCGTAGATTGAACCCATTAACATATATATGAACTAAGTGCGAATTAGTTTAGAACTAATGAGGAGACCAAAAGGTATTACACAAGTAACACCAAGTACAAAGAATGGCAACCCAATTATGGAATGGAGCAATCCAAACTTATATATCTGCATGAAAACTGATGGAGCAACCGTGTTGAACAACGCAGACACAATGTGCATTGTCAGGAGCACCTGGTTTGTCTTATTTGGAGGGAAAAACTTGGTGATCGTCGAAAACACAGTAGGAACCAATGCAGACGTATAACAACAAATGGCGTAAGATGCAATCAACTCAGTTGTATTTGTTGACAATCCTGACAACGTACACACGGCAAACTCAGAAAAGAGGCCTAGATAAATGTTGAACTTATCAATGGAATCAAGCTGGCCATCTTTAAATGAAAGACGAAGACCTCTCTTAAGGACATACTCATTGACAAACGGAATTATCACCCCCAAAACTGAAAGACCTATGAATGCCAGTGTCATCATAAAAAATGAGATCGTTTGCGAGTCCCAGCCATACCGATAAATTCCATATTGGAAGAGCAAACTGGCTAAGGAATTTTTTAACATGAACAAGCAGTTTATCAAAACCAACACACATACCTGTAACCTAAGTTCCTTGGATCTGTGTTTCAAGGTCACGGGAATCAAGTCGCTTGGCAACCTCAACAACTTCACCTGTTCAACAACCTCATAGGTATGGCCAGTGATATCTCTCCAACCAAACCGGTAGTTGTATGTAGACCTATCTTCGGTTTTATGTAGGGATTCAGGGAGAAATGCCCCGTACAACACCATCAATATCATGGAGAAAATTTCAAAGTACATAGCATTATAGTTGTTTTGAGTTGGACTCAACCCAATCGACTTGCCGTACCCTAAAAGCGCGGTTCCACAGAACTGGCCGATCAACATTGAGGCCGATAAGGTTGCCAACAGAAAAGATACTTTCAGCAGTCGGGTTGCAGGAGATGTGATATCAGCAATATAGGCACTACAAGTCCCAAGCATCGTCCCTTCACTAAAAAATCCCAAAATTACCTGCAACATCACCAACGTCTTAAATTTGAATCCCTCCACATATCTTATGAGGGCAAGGAAAAGCAACAGATTGAAAAGAAAATTGATACACGTCAAGAAAAGTACAGGTTTTCTTCCAAACCGATCACTGACAACGCCGGTCACCGATAAGCCAATAATCAGGGACGTTTGTTTCAAAATAGATCCCACCAGCTGGTAATCGGCTATAAGAAGCTGATTAGCAACATTGGAGCAAACTCCATCCTTCATGTTTTGCTCACAGGCCTTATCGAACAACAACAATTCTCTGGCAGAGACTGACATTCCACCGAGACCCATGAATATATACACCACAGAAATCCCCAACACGGTGGGTTTCTTGGTCCATAATAACCAGGTTGGAACCTTATCATATTGGTTTTCCAGCACGGTTGCGGAATTCGCATCCTCTTCTATTGATTCATATTGGCCACTAGTTTCATGTACTTCGACACGGTAGCCAGGGACAAATTTCTTGACAAGTGAGGTGGTTTCCTCGCTAGACATGGTCTGTGGACGGGATAGAAGCAAGAATGGTTTATGTTTGATAAATTAGAGATCTCCTTGAGTTTAAATATATGTGGTGAAGATTTGTACGGCTCTGAAGTATGGAGATAAACGATTTTATCCTATTTCCGCACCGGTTATTTCCGCCCTGGGGTCCTCAATAAATATAACAAATTCAAGAAGGGAAGTTGTTGGGGGGAAACGACTATGCACTGATGGTGCTGATACTTATGTAGTTGAGTATTGAACAGGGGCGACCCGGGATGTCTGCATGGTCAGTAACCGGAACTGTTTAGTGGAGGCGGAGTTATCTCCGCTTCGCGGTCGCCCACCTTTAATAGCCGACAGAACAACAGCAATGGAGGATATGGCTGTTTGTGGCTGTTTGTGGCTACGTATACTTGTTGTAGATAACGTTCCAAATGGCCGTGCGGAAGACTGGCCAAAACCGACCCATTCAACGTGCATAGTTTTCTGCATCATATTGGCTGCGAAACGACCGCACCACCACAAACACCACTGCAACCACCACATCAATAGACCCACTAACCAAGTACACCAATGCCGGAGCCCTATGAATGAGGCCAAGTTTGTAGATGTTGACAAAGAAGAGTGGTGCCATTATGTTGCAAACACCGTTAACTAGGGAAAGAGCCATGATCACGTCTGATGTCTGTGATTTGGTAAAGTATTTGAGTATAATTGACTGGATTGTGGGCCCGACAATCGAGCTCACACTTCCAACAACAATACTTGCCAAATATTCACCCGAAGTCCTAGAGGAACCAAGGCCTCCGTGTAACAATACATTGAATACCAACCCCGTAAGCACCAATATAAAGTCTCTTCTATCAAAGTGGCGTTCAGAGCCTTTGTTGAGTAGCCTCGAAAGAAATGGGTATATGATGTATAACACCACCACTCGGGTGAACCCAAACACCATCAATAACACCCCCACCATCTTTGCGTCCCATCCGAACATATAAACTGCATAATCAATAGATACCACTCCAATACCCACTTCATACATGAGCATCAAACTGTGCACACAGATTAACGACACCAAGAGAACCCTGATCTGGTAACCGGTGTTTCCCGAAAATATGGGCCGTAAAAGCGTCTTCACTGGACTGATTAAATCGAGTCCAGGCTCTTCCAGTTCTTCGTTGTGCTCGAGGCGAGACTCAGGTACTATGACAGCTACAAAAACCACAATCACCAGAAAAAGCCCAATCTCGACCATCTGTATATATACTTCTCGTTGAGACAAATGTTGGAACGTATTGGGAGTATGAGATATGGGGTCCGGGGCTAACCACATTGAAAGTAAGTTGGATAACATTGGCCCCAAAGTGCCTCCCGCGTAAAGTGCTCCGTTGATGAAGGCTAAAGAGTTAGACCTTTGCGACGGGTGAACAATATCAGTCACATATGACTTTGCGATACCAAGCATGCCCAACTGTGATCCACAAATGCTGGCTATCACGTCACACACCAAAAATGTTGACATTTCAAACGTCTCGTTGTTGACTATGGAGACTAGCAATAGACATCGTGAAACAAATATGGATGCCGGGATCAAGCATAGAAACGGCTTTCTACCATACCTATTCGATAAACTTCCCAAAGTTGCGAGGGCAAGAACCAGTGAAAACTGTGATACTACTAAGCTGTATTGGTCAAAATTAGATACCAAGAGCTGGACTTTGGTTCGGTCACATTGACCATTGTCCTCAATCAACGAGTTACATGCTAACTTGAACCGGATCGTCTTGCGAGTCGGTTCTCCAATTGATGTGAGGGTGTACAAAAACACCACGATATTTATAAAGACCCAATTAGGTCGTTTGTACCATTGTAAATGCTGAAGATACAAGTGGATCTTGTACCATTCTAAATGGGTGTCGTCATCGCAAGACTGCCGCTCTGATAGAGATCCGCCTAATAAAGGAGTGTACTCCTCATTGCTTGACATAGGAAACCTGACCACGACTGTAGTTGAGTGTAATTTGGAGCATTTCCGAGTAGGCAATGGTTGCAATCTTAAATTTGAAACCCGGGTTGGGCCAGGGTTGCGCGACGAGGGCGCCAGACCTGAAAACACGGGGTCCTCCAGCTCGTGACTGCGGATCAAACGGTACGCGCACGCCCCACCCTCAAACTCGAATATCGCTGCTAGTCGCCCCCCTCTGTGCAGGCCCATAGTCAATGTACCAAAAATTTTCTTCTCATTAAAAATTTTCAACTACAAATAAATTGTTCAAAAGAAGTTTTACTAACAGTTGAAATATCAAAACAATATGTCTTTGCCAGCTTCATTTGACTTAACTGCTGAGGATGCTAAATTATTATTAGCTGCCAACGTCCACTTGGGTTCCAAGAACGTTCAAGTATGTAATCCATCATCCATGATTTAATGATTTAAATGAGAGAATGATAGTACCAGATGTTTGTGAAAAGTCTCAGAAAATTTGTACCGTATCCCTGATTTCGTCCCAAGTGATGTCTCCAAACGTCCCCCAAATACCGCTCATCACTTATACCATCTTCATGCTTAAACTTTTCAAACCACCCATCCACAAAACTGCCAATGAAAAAAAAAAGATCTTTGGACATTGCCTACTTCACTATCATCTCTCCAATCGATCCTTCAACCCGTATACTAACATTTCTAGGTCCACAACAAACCATACGTCTACAAGACTAGACCAGATGGTGTTAACGTTATCAACATTGGTAAGACTTGGGAAAAGATTGTTTTGGCTGCCAGAGTCATTGCTGCTGTTCCAAACGCTTCTGACGTTGCTGTCTGTTCCACCAGAACCTTCGGTCAAAGAGCTGTGTTGAAGTTTGCCGCCCACACCGGTGCCACCCCAATTGCTGGTAGATTCACCCCCGGTAACTTCACTAACTATATCACCCGTTCTTTCAAGGAACCAAGATTAGTTATTGTCACCGACCCAAGAACTGATTCTCAAGCCATCAAAGAATCTTCTTACGTTAACATTCCAGTTATTGCTTTGACCGACATGGACTCTCCATCTGAATACGTTGACGTTGCCATTCCATGTAATAACAAAGGTAAGCACTCCATTGGTTTGATCTGGTGGTTGATTGCCAGAGAAGTCTTGAGATTAAGAGGTGTTATCCCAGACAGACAAACCGAATGGTCTGTTATGCCCGATTTATATTTCTACAGAGACCCAGAAGAGATTGAACAAACTACTGCCGAAGAAGCCAAGACTGAAGAATCTGAAGAACCTGCTACCGCTGAAGGTGAAACCGAGTGGACTGGTGAAACTGAAGAAGTCGACTGGGCTGAATCCGGTGCCAACCAGGCTGCCGAAGAAGCTGCCGCTCAAAACTGGTAATTTAATTAAGTACCTATTATTATAGCTGAAAATAATTAATTCATTTTGCAAAATTACTCCGGTTAAAGGATTTTTGGAAAAGAAAAATCCCGAGGCAACCTTGAATATGCTTGAATAGAGCTTCTGTTTTTGTATATTTGTATCTTATATACTCAATGACATAAATATAAATTATTGTTTGTACAAGTAGATAACGGGTGGACACGACTTCTCGATGCATTATTTCTCAGTGAAAAGTTTTTTGATTGAATTCTCCAGTTTGATTACCACAGGAATCCCGCCAAAACCAAAAAATTAACTCCAGTGTCACTTCTCGTAACGCTCTGGGCGTTGTGCTGGGTATGAGATACTCGTTCTGAGTATTTCAACTGTCTGGCATAGAGATTTGCCATGCTTCTTATTACTAGAAATACATTCTGTTACTATTTGTAATGGCCTGTAGTGTATTTTGCAGTGCTAGTTTTTGTTTTTATGGTCTAAGAGTTGCCGTTTTTTGTTTCCGTATGTTCGAGTCCGCTGCTTGTTTTAAGCGATGGAATTGGATCCGGGGTTCCCAGAATAAATATCACCTCCGGTTTTTCGTATTGTTACTTTGTGATAGAAATGATACTTCATGCCCGGCGGATAGCTGTAGAAGAGTGAGTGAGACGATGGACTATACATCTCGAAACTTGGTGTATTTAGTTGAGTATTGGCTCTTCATTAACGCGTTGGATGATCTAACGTGTTGGATGATCATTGTAATCGGCTATGTGGCCACGACATTAGCAACATGTAGCCACCACATTAAAGGCATGTAGCTACAAGTGCCAGTATCTAACTCTTTGTGCTAGTCGTCTTTGCCCGGCTTTAGTAATAGTGCATCGGTTGTCCATTTCGGATCAGCGCCATTGTTCCAAAGCAAATAAAACCGCGTATCGTATCCACCATTTCAAAACTCAACATGAAGTTCGGTAAGAAGTTCCAGGAGTTTGTCTACTCATTGAGTACAAACGACAAATACTCGGAGTACGACTCGACCAAATCTTTCAACAGAATCAACAAACCCAGAACTGAGACCGAAACAAATCTCTTATCCCACAACAACGGGTCTACCACATTTGGTACCGACCATGAAGAAGATTCCAATTTTGAAAAATACAAGGTGGACGGAGTTCACGAAGTTAGACTTGCTTGGAGGCACATCAAAAATTGGGTCTCCAAATACTCACCGGATTTGAACAGCTCGTTGCAAAAAGCTTGTACTGATGACGATTTAAGTGATTTCCAAAAAGACTTGAACATCAAATTACCCAACTGTGTATTGGAGTTCTACAAGCTTACAGATGGCCAATACTCAGACGACTATGACAAGGTTGGAGGGTTATTTTTTGGATTGAAATTGATGCCTTTAGACGATATAATGGTGATGACTGAACATTGGAGGAAAGTCGCTAAGAAAGTTACCTCAGAAATGTCCCAGTTGGACACCTCTGGTACTCTCAAACAGCTTCCAAAATTGGGTAATTACAGGTTTTCCAACTCGTCAATTGACTTGATCAACGTGAATGACAATCCAGATGCTAGTAGGATATCTTTACAGTCGGTAGAACTGGATCACAAACATAAACAAACGGTGTCAAAGTACCCTTCACAGAAAGCCATACCCCCAGGATGTATCCATCCGATATTTGCCCACCCAATGTGGATTCCCATGATTACAGATGATGTGGGCAATTGTATAGGATTGGATTTAGCACCACCAGCGACAGGAAACGGTAAATGGGGACAGATTATTCTTTTCGGAAGAGAGTTTGATACCAAGTTTCTAGTTGCTGACAATTGGGGAGATTTCCTCTTGCTCTTTGCTAACGATTTGGAAATGGGAAATTGGGATATCAGTGCACCCGAGAAGAACAATTATGGGGATCTTATGATTGGGAATGAGGGTGACTTGATTTATGTCGACAAGGAAACAAAGAAAGAGATGAGTTACCTTACGGTGTTGAAAAAAAGATGTATTGCTAAGTGGGTTGAATCTTTAGATAAAGATGAAATGGATTCGGGTGTGAAGAAATTGGTTCAAGACTTGAAGCTGAATCCCGACTCGATTTTGAATATCAAGAACTTGAACGATAACTCTATTGATGAGTTCATTAACAACAACTTGAACTTGGTTGGTGGAGTGATTGAACCTGAGATGGGGGAAGAGCCAACGGAGCCAAAAGAGCCAAAAGCACTTCCTGAGCAGCCAAAAACACTTCCTGAAGAGCCAAAAGCACTTCCTGAGATCATACAGAAGCTTCCCAAGAACCTCCCCGCTGTGCCCAAAGCTTCAAAGCTGGACAACAGACAACCATCGTACTCCAACTCAGATGTCTTTGCTTACTCAGAAGGCAAGACTTTAGAGGACGTTGAACTTTAGAGTATAGTTCTACCAAATGATGCGTTGGATTTCTCCTGGTTCACTCGCCCAAGTGAACTCGTACCCAAAGAACACATAGAAGAACAATGAATTCACGGCACTCACGTACACAAACTCGACGGCATTTCTTAGCTGGTGATGACGCTCTGGTCCCGTGAACAACCTGAATACTACCAACGGAGTGATATAGTATCTTGGCTCAAATAATGGTGATGGGACAATGGTAAGAACAGTTGCTACCAAAAATGTCACAATGGTGATGGGACTCATTGATAAGCCTTTTGTGTTCTGTACCAAGCTGTTTACTATGTTCCAGGTGGCAAAGTGGTAGATGGGAACCGCTAATAGATCTGTATACTGTTTGCTCAAGATCTTTTTCCAAATATAGAAGGTGTAATGTCTGTTATCAGCCAAAAGGAACGGATGGACCACTGTAAAGTTAGCAATTATGTACTTTATTATGATACAACACACGATCGACACCGGAATATGAATCATACACCTCTTCAAGTTTCTGCCCAACACGAAGTTGACATATCTTTTGAGATTCTCTACTGAGAGCCACAGCGGCCAGGTGAAAATGCTGATGAATACAAAACAGTAGAACACCTGAACCAAGTGAAGTTGGATTTGATGATTCTCTTTATCTCCAAATGTAATGCCGCCGTTTACTTTCAAAAATATCCCAAAGAGCACAAAGTTGAGTACAAACGGAGCCAACAGACCCACATGTTGGAAACACGCAAGGACGTAATCTTTGGCGTATATCAATACATTCTTGTTGGGATTGACCTTTTTGTCGATGTATACCGATGCAACAAACGCAATCCAGATGATGTTGGTCTGTCTGAACCATAAACTAGCAAACCCCAAGAGTCCTCCGACGATAGTACTAGACCTCAAAGAAGCTGAAAGGCACGCAATGGTCAATACCAAGGACCATGGATCCGTATAGAACAAGAAATAATATGGGAAGAGCAAAGGCATGGAGATTAAGCTTGTAACCCAAAATTGACCTTTGTAGCTGGGTAATGATAAAAGAACAATAGGCAACACCAATTCACCTCCGATCAAATTAACAAGTCTTAAGATATTATGGTTCTCACAGACCGTTTCAATGGGGTCTGAAAACACCAGTAGGAGCTTTGCAAACCCGAACCCTAGTAAATATAGCCCCGGAGGTGTAGTGATCTTACTATCCCATACACCGAATTCATATCGACAGTATGTTTCACATTGTCTCAAGTGGAATATTTCGTCGATAAAAGGGCCTTTGACATGTGTAGCAACCTTCTCGAGGATAACTGACGATATTAGGTTGACCACAATATACGACACTGGCTGGATAATAGATTCAATCGGTCCCCACATCGTCATTATAGAACTGAAAAAACACCGCGTTGATTTGAACAGTGTGGGCTGGTAGTGCCCCGGTTGGCTGCAAATTGTAAATGGCAATATTGATTGGTGACGAGCCAGTATCCGAAGATAGACAAAACTGGTATGTAGATATGATGATGGAATGGGAGTGAAACACAGTGAGTTGTAGAATTTGTGTTTTGAACTTTCGACTTGTACATCTATTTTTGTGGTCTTGCGGCCGTTCACAATCGTGAAATCTACTACACCACTTCTTTAGCTATCTTTTTCCATACCAGTTTACTCTGGCATCTTTGCTGGTTTAGCTTACTCAAAGATGTTGCAAAGCACTCGCTCACATATACGTGGAAATGACCGGCTTTTACCATCATTAGAAAGCTGGTCTTATGGTATTCGAAGTCCTACTTCGTCTTGTGCAACACCAGAAGGATCTGAGATCAGGTCTTTAACCAGTGGATTTATGGCCATGAGATTATCACTGAGCCCCCGTATTCAGTCCCAACTCAGCATGGGCATGGTTCCTTCCAAATTACCTTCCAGAGAACAGGGAATAATTTCACAGGCCCTAGGACTCCATTTGACCAAAAAGATACTTTTCTTTCACAGGCCAACCAAAAAAGGTCACTTTCCTAAGAAGATAAATCCCACACCCCGTGACCTTGTTGAGGCTATATCCGGTCCTGAAAATGACACGAAGCCTATGTCACACTCACCACCGCAAAATTGTTCGAGAATTTTATACACTGTGGAAGTTGCTCAGGCCAGTGGGGTCACAAATGACTTCTACCTGAATATAGTCAGCTGGTCCAAAACTGCCAAACAAGTGGCTGTTGGTGTTAACAAAACTTGTTCTATTTGGAAGTTGAACAAGAACTGTAAAACCCCTATTAGTTTTGAGTGTCCCGATGTCATCACCTGTGTTTCTTGCTCCTACGAAGACCTTGTGGTAATAGGAACAGAGGCAGGTAAAATATATGTGATTTCCCAGCTGGATGGCCGACTTCGTGCTACTTATATATTGGATAATATTCCGATTCACACTTGCACCTGGTTCAAAAACAACAAACGGTTTCTCGTGGGTGATCTGTCAGGAAATGTGTATATGATAAAGACCATCCACAAACAGGGCATCTTAATCTTGAAGAAAGATTTTACCTTCAAGTTCCATCAGCAGCTCGTTTGCGGTAAGTATACCGTACCACAATTTATTATGTTAGTACTAACTATCTAAAGGAATAGTACTCAACTCCGACGAGACACAAGTGGCATTTGGGTGTGGTGACTGCACCGTGACAGTGTGGAAACTCGAAAAGTACCGGTTTCCAGTGATAAAGTTCATTCTTCCACACACATCTGCTGTGAAAGCAATGGGATTTTGTCCTTGGGCCCCTTCGTTACTAGCTACAGGTGGAGGCTACTCAGACAGAACTATTCGTTTCTGGCACACCAATACGGGGACGTTGCTAAACTCATATTTCACCAATTCTCAGATCACCTCCCTCAATTGGTGTCACTCGCGCAGAGAGCTAGTGGCTACATTTGGCCCTGGACATGGTGGGTCTATTTTAGAGGTATACAAGTTTCCAAGTATGAAACCAGTGAAGCGGAATCTTTTAGAACCGCTTTTCATCCGGGTGCTGGGAGCTAGTGCATCTCCAGACGGTCGGTATCTTTGTGTGATGTGTTCAGACCTGACAATCAGGACATATAAAATATGGGGCAATGGCAGCAACCAAATGGTCCATAATGGTTTCGACGTGTTTGAAAGCAGCTTGATACTGCTTGCGGAGGGGTTGAACCATCCTTCACCCGTCATTAGATAAGAGTTACGGTAGCTGCAAAATTCCTCTTTAATTGGCTAATAATAAAGTTGCAGCCGATCATCAAATTATCCGCGCATGGTAGGCACTGCTGTTTCCTTGAAATCATCTCCTTTATCTTATTCTATACCAATGTCAGCACCTTTAATTAACCGGTCGTTGACCACCATCAGAACTGAGTTGGAGTTCCTCCATGACTCTGAAATCATCGACGAACAGTTATACAACAAGTTGATCAACGCTCTCCCCCATAAATACCAAAATGGCATGCAGCCATGGGGAGTAGAAAAACTTGAATCCACAACTGGTTCCACCGACAAGTTGGCGGCGGAGCTAGAATCAACTAAGATATCTGCACCTCCCAGTGAGCCTCCTTCACGGTCCTCGGCCTTTCAAAGACCCCAAGCTCCAAAGCCTCTTGGATTCTGTACCGTATTATTCGATTACCAAGCTCAAGAAGCTGACGACTTGAACTTGAAAAAAGACGAGAAGGTCGCCATAGTGGATCACTTGTCCGAAGATTGGTGGAAAGGATACACTAAGGACCAACCCCAACGTATCGGTGTTTTCCCCAGCAACTATGTCAAGTCCATTAGTGAATCGGAATTCAACATTTCTGCATCACCTGCCATTATTGCTCCTCCGAGCTCCAAGAACGAAAAATCTGAGTACAAAGCCGAAGACTATCTGTACCCTGCCCCACAGCAACAGTACCATCCACCATACCAAGCACAAGGCTATTCAGCACCTCCCCAATACCCTCCTCCCACCACCAACTTCTACCAGCAAGCACCGGAGCAACAGCAGCAGATGGTTCCACAACAAGGAGGTAACGACCATCCACATTTGCGTAAGTTTGGAAGCAAGTTGGGAAACGCTGCTATTTTTGGTGCTGGTGCCACTATTGGAAGTGATATTGTGAACTCTATCTTTTAATTAATCCTAGTCTATGAATATAAATCTGCTGATATGTTTTATTACTATTTACAAAGAAGAACAAGACAATTACTTACGCCCGTCGGTGACCGTGTTCAACAACAACGTGTCGTTATCCAACATAATTCTGTTGGGAGAGTTGGCCAAGATCCCGGCGATTTCTCTTGCGGTATCCAATCTCTTCAACTCAACGTAGTCCTTGGACTTTTTGATGGCTTCACCAATCAACTGGGCAGACTGAGCTTCACCCTGTGCCTTGACCACCAATTGTTGTTTTTCTTGAATGGCCTTGTCCACAACGAAAGCTGCTCTTTGAGCATCTTGTTGGGCAATTTGTTTGGCTTCAACTGCAGCACTGAATTCAGGGGAAAATGTCATGAACGTCAACGACACATCATCCAATAATATGTTGAACTTCTTGGCACGACGAACCAAGTTTTCCTTGACCAATCTTGAAACCTTTTCTCTCTGGGTGATCAATTGAGAGGCATTAAATTGAGCCACCACCGACTTCAACACCTCGTTGACAATCGATGGCAACACCTTCTCATCATAGTCAACTCCCAAAGTTCTGTAGATATCTGGTAATTGGAACACGTCAGGCTTGAACAACACTCTACAAGTGATATTCACCATTTGCAAGTCCTTGGTACCAGTTAACGAGGCCACATTTCTTGGTTTGGCTCTCACATCATACACAATTGGTCTTTGCAACCAGGGCATTATGAAGTGTGTTCCTTCGGCATAGATCCGAGGCTGGACACCGTTGACCCGCGAATAGACGATGGCTCTTTGACCACCATCCACATTGAACAAAGCGTTCTGGGCCAACATAACCGTACCCAAAAGTAATAAGCCTCCGATTCCAGCAGCGGCAGCGAAGGGGGGACGGGGTGGCCCACGTCCAGGCAGGGCGGCTGTCGCTGCCCTACGTCTCAACTCTTCTTGTAATTTCTTCCAATTCTGATCACTCATATTTCGATGGTGTTAACTGTAGTTTTTTTTTCTGAGGAGTTTGCCTCCATCAAAAACCTGATGCGAAAGTGTCCATTGGGTGCGAAACCGTATGTTTGCGAAGCACTACATTGCAAATGAGTACATTAAAACTATTTGGTCATTAAGTCAACAAGTCAACTATGATGGTACCCCCTCATACTCGGTTTTATTGTGTTCGTTAATTTTCTTCTTCCAGAACCGTTTTCTATTTGTCTGAATCGGATTGACTCTGAAGATCTTCTCGAGCAGAAGAAGAAGGAGCACCACCACCGCAACAACAAAACTCGGTGCAATTAACCCAGCAAGGCCCTTCGTACTCACGGTCCGTTGGTACGGACAGTCTGCGTAGGGGCCTCCGGTGACAAAGCAGTTTATGACGGTGATATCGTTCACATCTATCCAAACTGGGAAGTCGACATCACTGGCAGCAATGGCCTCCATCAAGGAAAGCATCTCCATGCTCAGCCGAGAAATTCCAAACGTATAGTCTTTAGGACAGCCCTTCTCGGCGTCGAAGTACAGCTTTTTGACGTTTCGAATGATCCATTCGGTTGGATTATCTGAGTGCTGACAAGCGAACGGGTAAGTATCGTAGCAATTTCCCACATACCAGCCATGTTCATAAACCAATACACATCTCACAGCCTCGTTGTCCTTTGACTCGTCATCCATCGAGTAGTTTCCCTCCAGCTTCACATTTGCCAGTTTAGGACTCCATGCCCACAGGGATAAGGGAACGTAATGGTTTATAATTTCTCCAATATTATTCTGGTTGAAGTCATCGATGGAGTAGGTAGAAGAGTTCAATATTGGAGAATATCCGCATCGAATCATGGCCCTGAACTTGGTATCATCAAATGCCAGCGTATCATCATCGTAGGCATATCGAAAATGAGTGTCCAACGACAATCGTTGGAAATCCGTGCCACTATCAATATTGCTGGAATTCAAGTAGTCATCCACACATGTCTGTACAAACTCCAGATCTGCCATGGAAGTAAGGGTGAGATTCACACTTCCATTATTGATGAAGATGGTCTGATTGTCACTAGAAGTATAGTTGTACCACGCCGGGTTCAGGGTGACTTCGTCATAAATCACCGCCACCGTTGCTCTCTTGAGGTCTGTGAATATGAACTGTTCGAGGGAAGGAAACGTTTCGTCCGACTGGTTATAAAAGTACCTATCTTCTTCAGAAGTAGATGCTCTGAACGTCTTTAAGTCTGTAGGAGTAAATAAGTATGGCCCCAAAAGCGACATTGTATCACTCAAGGTGGCGTTACCAAGAACGTTATACGGAGAGCTGGTCGATTTGTAGATCTTGTTTAAGTCCACGGTGGAGTTAAGGGTTCTCTTGGGGTATGTAAAATGGTTCAAGCGGTACAATATTTGCAAGTAATTAGCATCCATATTGGTGTTTGTCCCAGTTATGAAATCTCGTATTTCTGCCATCAACGTGCTGGGCGTGAAATCGGGTTCACACTTATAGGTTTTGCCATTCCATTCCAAGTTGTGGATGGTGGATATAGATGTTGAAGTCTGGTTCAATGGGAAGGGAGCAGGACATAGCTGCCACTTGGAAGTGAAGTTGTTGTAGTAGAGATCGATGGTCAAAACCTCGATGCCCATGTTCAAGAGACCGTTGAAAGAGGGCAACGCCAGCGTTGAATACCCGTACTCTTCAAATACCAAGGCCTTTACTGATACTCCAAACTGGGTGCTTTGGTCGATGGGGATTGAATACGATACATCTCTCTGGGCTCTTTGTTGTACCTGGAGGTCGAACGAACGAGTGGGCCAGTTTTCAAGGTCTGCTATCACCAAACACACCTGTACTGCTGATAGCAATAGTATTCGTATCAAATATAGGTTCATCTTGAGTGATATCAAATTCAGGTAGTCGCGGTACTCACTTTAAATTCACATAAACAACAGAGATGGATTCCACCAAAACACATGCTACGGAAGCTATACTACATGGTTTGAACTTGAAACAACGCGAAGCAGTGACTTCAACTCCTCACGGAAGGCTCCAGATTATCGCTGGCCCTGGGACCGGCAAGACAAAGGTGTTAGTATCGAGAGTGGCCCACTTGATATTAGCTGCAAATATTCCACCAGAGAATATCATAGTCACTACCTTCACTAAAAAGGCGGCTAATGAGATGATAGAAAGACTCAATCCTATATTTCAGGACTCGGACATTGACCATACCAAGATTTTGATAGGAACTTTTCATAGTATTTGCTATAGAATTATCAGACGTTATGGTGCCAAGCTAGGTTTAAATAACTTCACTATTGCTGATGACCGTGATAGTCTGCTGATATTACAAGATGTGATTCGAGACCTTGATCCCAGTGATATTAAATACTTGGAATCATGCCTGGAAGAAGACTTGGCACCATTCAAGGGTAATAGTGCTGATTCTGGTAAGTACCATGGATTCGAGCCAAAACTGTTCAGGAGACAGATATCTAAACTCAAATCGTCAGGTATATCTGTGGTCTCTTATAAGAAACAGCTGGCAACTAACTTTGTGCTACTGTTTGTATATCAGAAGTACCAGTCGAAATTGGAGAAGGAGTTTCTACTTGATTTCGATGATTGTTTATTACTGTGTCACTTGTTAATCAGCAGGTATCCGGTATTGAACTTTGTTCAGCATGTGTTGGTAGACGAGTTTCAGGACACTAACGAGATACAGCTCCAATTGATGTATGAATTTGCTCGAGGCCACTCTTCTAATCCTCTTTTTCAGCACAACTTGACTATCGTGGGAGATCCGGACCAAAGTATTTATGCCTTCAGAGATGCCCAGTCGATTAATTTCAAAAAAATGAAGCATTACTATGATACCAAGTTGCAATTACCATGCAATTCAATTCTCTTGAATGAAAACTACCGTTCAACTAGCGATATTTTGATCATCTCAGAGTCAATTATGAGACAACAATCAGATAGGGCTTTGAAAAACCTAAAATCCCAACATATAACATCTTTCAAACCCGTTCATAATACTCTTGGATCTGCAGGAACGGAGGCTAGGTGGATTTCATATCAAATAAATTACTTGAAATCGCTACCCAATGAGATATTTAAGTTTCTGGATATGGCCATATTGGTACGTTCAGCTTTTCAAACCAGAGCTATTGAAAATGAGTTTGTCAAGGCAAAGATTCCATATCACATGGTTCGAGGAAAAGCCTTCTGGGACAGAAAAGAAGTGGTTGCCATCTTAGACTATCTTCGAGTTGTTGCAAACCCAAACGATCGAATTGCTTACATCAGAACTCTTGCGTTTCCAAAAAAAGGTGTAGGAGAAAAGACATTGGAGCAGATCAACGATCACTTGAATAAGTGTGATTTCAAGAGTAACACAGTTCACTTTTACTTACAAGATATGGTAATGTCCAAGAAGTCCAACAAGATTTCGTCTGTTATTCAAGAGCACCTCAGCTTAATACACCGCTTCCGCTTGCGAATGGCAGATATGGAATGCAATAAGGAAAGGGAAAATCTTTTAGAGAGTTTCTTTCAGGATCTATACGTGGAATCGAATTTGAAGAAAGAATTTAGCACAGATGAAGATCGAGAAGGTAACATCATGGAAGTCCAGAGACAATTGATGGAGTACATTCCCAGAGACGAGGAAATCAACTTGTATATTGGCGGTAACGAAGATGAACTTATTGAGGACGACCGAAATCACTTGAGTAAGTTTATCACTTCTATTGGATTGTATGAGACAAGTGATGATGAAGACCAATCGGAAGACAAGCATGGAAAAGTCTCTATTTCGACTATCCATGGCTCAAAAGGGTTGGAATGGCCCATCGTGTTTGTCCCCGGGCTTTCAGAAGGATTATTGCCTAGTCGTTTTGTACTTGAAGGTGGATCTGAAGAAGCTGTGAACGAAGAAAGGAGATGCTTTTATGTGGCCACCACCAGAGCCAAAGTGCTTTTGTTTCTCACTTCGATAATCGACTCTGCTGATTCCAGCCAGACATGGATGAAGCCCTTGACGAAGAAATCACGATTCATCGATAAGGTCTGCAATTCATGTTCTGACAGTCTTGAATGCTTCAGGGAGCACAACAGATTGAAAGAGCTATATGCTATCAGAGGAATAGATACCCCTATGAAAGAGAATTTCGACTTCGATCTCTATTCCAAGAGCTACAAGAATATGTTGCAGCCATATCTCAAGGATAGAACAATGACATTAGACCCATTTAATTATACCGAAGAAGCTTCCAAGGCACTTGGATTCACTACAGCCAAACACCAGTTTGACCAAAAGCATATGTATGAGCAGATCGTTGAAGCCCGCAAGAAACTTCAGGCGAAGAGAAAGAAACCCACCAGTATCACGTCTATGCTAATGAAAACCCTGTTCAAACCCCACAATATCACTCCAAAGTTGGCTGCTTCCAGCTCTAGCGCAACCGCTTTCAAATCGACTGCCCCAAAGTACAACTACTCTGGTGCTGGATCAGTGGCTCATTCTGCCCCCAGGGGAAAGAAAGCACCAGCGTATATCGCCACACGAAACAAAACCAAATGATGTGGGCTTGTTCTAAGGCACCAGCCTAAAGTCGATGAGAGTGAAGAATAGATTTATGACTTTGATCAATGAGATGTTAACTAAATCCTTTATTTTATGAACCTACTTAGTGATCTGAAAAGACCAAGGAAAGCTCAAGTGTGTGGTCTTGTCATCATCCACAAACTTTGTGGTGGCTGAGTAACTTCCCCTGGCCAACATTCCTGAAGGAGCTTCCACCTCCGGGAAACTACGCTCATAATAAGGCTTATCGGTGGTGTTTGGCGCGTAAGACCCCAATGGCTCTTCCAACTTGTCGACCCGGATCCCGGCCTTCTTCACCGAGTGCAAGTACTTCAACCCAGTGATTATTTCGTGTTGGACTCGAAATTGGATGTTCAATTGATAGACGGATTTCTCCTTGATACTGAACTTTATCTCCTTGTTCAACGTGTTTCCTTGGGAATCTTCCAAATCTATCACGATGGGCTTCAACTCCGGTTCGTCTGGGAACGTCAAAGACATCTGGACGATCACCACTTTTCTTTTGTCACCAGCCTTTACAGGGTACGCGTTACCATCAGCAGTTAATCCCAAGGAAGCTTTCCATTTAGCCAAACTTTCATCTTCAGCATCAAGGTTTGTGTATTCCTCAATGGTCTTTTTTTCGCCGACAACGTAACCTTCGATGGATTCGGGCACTAAGTCGTCTTCTTGTGGATTGGACATCGTGAGAAGATGAAGACGTAACTAGTTAATTAAGTTCGAGATCGCATTCACACCGCCGCGCGACTTTTGCTAGACGAAATTGCAACCATTTACACCACAAACTATAATCAACAGCCACTTAGACAATCAGCTCTTGCTCCACTAGTTAAATACGATACCCTGCTGCAGAAACATGTTTATTTCTATACTCTGCCTCAACTTCATTTGTCTTTCTGTTTACTCTGTGCGTCATTGGACCCATGGTAATTAGACGAGTGTCTCTTTGGTTTGCGCCGGTTGTGATTGGTATCGGGGATGATGATATACGGATTGTTCAAGAGTTTCCTCTCGGTTTCTTTATCGTATTGCACCCCGTAGTTTCCATACACCGGCATGGGAATGAAGTATGCTGGAGCGTTGGAATAATGGCCGTAGTTTGTCTGATAATTTGTCTGATAGCTCCCTCCCGGTATTATTGGACAATAGCTTGCTGGAGACATCATCTGAGGTGCTGAATACTGGCTCATAGTGATGGGACTTTCCAACGGCGTTTCAGGCGGATACCTTTGATCGTACACACTTCGGTGGAGCTTGTCGAAACTAGTGTTGGAGCTGTAGTCACTTTCCGTACCTTCAAACTCACCATCAGACCCCGAGTCCGAGTCGTCATCCTCTTCGTTGTCCTTCTGGAAGATCTCCTGTCGTATCTTCAAATATAGCGCCTCCCTTGTTTCTCTATCATCGTGGAGTTTTCCACTATCCTCTTGCAAAGAAGTTGGAGTTGCACTTCCGAGAGAAGAGGTGGTTATGCTAGAACTAGATTCCGTTCCTTCTGATTTCATGATCCGCCTGGGCTTTAGTATCCTTGCAACTTGCTTTATATCAGGATTGGAATTGGTATCTGCCACCTTAGGAGGCAGGCTGGGATTTAAATACACCTTTAGCGTCTTCTTCTTTCCCAAGGAGATATCACTAGAAATGACACCATAATCGACATCCTCCGTAGGGCCCACACTGATGCTGCAGTTGGCAAGATTCCAGTGCAGTAAGCTGTAGTAATTGCAAAGCTGATGACCCAAGAGCCGGAAATATGAGTTGATAAGGATATGCGGTCCAATAATGTACTCCCTGTTGGTATTGGTAGATAAGCTGCTGATGAACTTGATGAGGTCAGTCTCTAACTTGAGTAAGAACGTTCGTTCCCGACTCTTCTCTAGTGCACTGGTGATAGTTTCTGGAATTATCTCCATGGCGATGGTACTAAAAGTCTTTCTATATCATTTAAGATGAGTATCGAGTATCCGAAAAAGCTGCAGCATTCGCATTAATTCTCTCACTCTTTATTTCGAGTACCACAAACTTGTTGATTCACTGATAGACTCTCTGATACCATGAGTGCGGATGATGTATGTATAGATCACATGAACTGAAGAGTATACTGGCTAATTCTACCGTGGAATGGCTGTAACAGTGACCACCCTTCACCTAAACGTTGTACTAACTGCCTCAGATTCGAGCCAAGAGACTTGCAAAGTTGGGATCTAGAATACCTAATCCCACCGCAAGCACCTCTGCTTCCAACAACAACCCTACTGTTGTTCCCGAGCTGAACGAGCTACCAGTACTGTCCGAACCTGAAAAGAAGAAAGTATCGTTGGATACCACTCAACGACAGAAGTTGCCATCCGTTCAACCACCTACCCCAGTTCCCAAACCAGTGGCCACCGTGCCACCAGAACAGGATATCGCCAATTGGTTCACTTTCCATTTGAAAGATATCTTCAAGGTGAGCCTTGTGCCTTCGAAAGACTTGGTTTATGTCGAGTCGGTAGCTCATGAATTGCAAGAGTCAGGACGGCTCGTTTCTGGTGATGATTTGGAGTCGATTTTCATGGAGGTTTTATCCGAATTAGGTGTCCCCAGACCTTTCAAGACGACAATTGACTATTTGTTCCATATCTACAACGAGTCGTTGAGGTTGAGAAACCGGTTACTGAAGAAAGAACCAAACTTGGAGAAGAAAACCGCTCTTGTGCATTCAATCACCCAGTTTTCGTGTAACTATGGTTATATTTGTTTCCAGGTTGGTGACATGTTTATCAACAATGATTTGCAGTCGTTAACCAACACTTTCATCAATTCCTCGAGCACGATGTCTGGGTTCTTAACTGATATTGTCTATGAAAGTATCGAACAAGATGGCTTGTTAGATATGTTGAACCTATTGTTTCCGGCCATCAGCAGTCAGTTGGGCCGGATCAACTTGCACGACCCCTCATACAACAAGTATTTGGTCATATTCAAGACCTTGGTTGGTATCAAACAAGTTGCTGCGGTATTTTCACAGGTGGTGGGATTCAAACCGCCTAACCTGGAAGAAGGTTTGGATTTTGAATGTAAAACCTTGTTGGGTCCCTTACTAAGGTTGTCTCCTCTTGCTGACAAGGTAGGTGTAAGTTATTTCGGTGAAGGTTTTGATGATAACAACTTCACCCGGATCAACTCGGCGTACGATTCGATAAACGTTGAATTCAAATTGATTGTGGACCAATTGTTTGAAATTGTCAACAAGTTGATCAGAGGATCTCCCGAGACTAGAAACCTGGTGATGAAATGGTTTGCCGACTTGGTGAATGTCAGCCATTTGAGAACTGGTAGTCATTCAGACCCTGCCAAATTGGCAGGTGATGGTATCATGTTCAACATCTTTGTTATCTTGACCAGATTAAGTGGACCATTCTTGGAATACCCTCTTTATTCCAAAACAGATAAGATTGACTTAAACTATTTGGTTAACAAACAATGTTTGGTTGATTTGAAGGAAGAAACTCGAGTCAACTCCACTCTTGCTGAAAGTGGTGAATATGTTGAAAGTTTCCTGTCCCAGGAAAAGCCTAACTTCATATCTGACTGTTTCTATCTTACTTTAACCTACTTAAATTACGGGGTTGGTGGGATTTCCGTCAAATATGATAAGTTGAAGAACCAGATCAAGCAGTTGAAAGAGAGGATTGCAATGATTGAAAACCGGCAGGTTCCACAAGGTACAAACCCAATGATGATGCAGTTTCTTGGTCAGCAGTTACCAACTTTGAACAAGCAGTTGTCTCTTCTCAACATCAAAAAGCACACTGTGAAAGCCCTTTTCAATTCAAGGGACCTTCAGCTTGAAATCTTTGATTTCATTGTGGGAGCCACTGTTTTCATTACCAAAGTCATTGACCCATCTCACCAGCATCCTCAAACAAAGCTCAAAATTCCAATCTTCAAGATTGATAGAGTAAGCCAGTTGGATGATCAAGACTTCTTACGAACCAAGTGTCCATCTCCCTGGAAGTATTTCCCTGAGTTCTTTTTGGAAGGTATGATTAACTACTGTAAGTTCACCACTCATTTCAGAGGTTGTCCATTGGTGAGAAATGATCAAAAGCTCCAATTGTTCATTGAATTTGCAATCATCTTGATTCGGTGTCCTGAAATTCTAGGCAACCCTCACATGAAGTCCAATATCATAGAAATTTTGTTCATTGGTTCATTGCCTATGCAAGATGGTAGTCCTGGGTTCTTGGCTGATATTTTCATCTCCAACGTCTTGGTTAGGGACAACATCTTGTACTCGTTATTGGATTTATATGTCATGGTTGAGAAAACCGGTGCATCATCTCAGTTTTATGATAAGTTCAATAGCAGATACTATATATCTGTGATTTTGGAAGAATTATGGAAGAATGACGTCTACAAAAATCAGTTAACCAAATACTCCACTAGCAATATCGAGTTCTTTGTGAGATTTATCGCTAGAATGTTAAACGATACAACCTATTTACTTGACGAAACGTTCAATGAGTTGAACTCAATTCACAATTTTCAACAAGAAATCAAGAGACGGCAGGGAGGTCAACCTGGTGATGAGCAGGAATTTGGAAGTACGGATGATCTTTTAAAGAACTTGCAAAGTAGCGAGAAAAAGGCTGAAAGTTACATGGGATTAAGTAATAAAACTATGGAATTGTTTAAACTATTCACCAAACATGTCCCTAGAGGATTTATGCTACCCGAATTGGTAGATCGGTTGGCAGGTATGTTAGACTATAATCTTGAGGCAATGCTTGGTCCTAAAGCTTCTAACTTGAAGGTTGAAGATCCTACCAAGTACCATTTCAATCCCAGAGAAATTTTACAATCTTTGTGTGAAGTTTACTATAACTTGGCCCATGAACCTGAATTCGTTAAAGCGGTTGCAAGAGACGCTAGATCATTTAATGTCAACTGGTTCTACAAAGCCGAACGAATTCTATCCACCAAGACCATGACTGATTCCAAAACCATTAGTCGATTAGTCGAGTTTGCAAAGAATGCCGAAAAGCAGAGGCTTGAAGATGAAAATGACGAGTTGGAATTAGGAGAAATCCCCGATGAGTTCTTAGATCCATTAATGTTTACGTTAATGGAGGATCCGGTGATCTTACCAAGCTCCAGAGTAAGTATCGATAGGTCAACGATTAAGGCGCACTTGTTAAGTGATTCTACAGACCCATTTAATAGAGTTCCATTGAAGTTAGAGGATGTTCTTGATGATTTTGAGTTAAAGGACAAGATTGAAGCATTTAAGCGTCTGAAACACAATCCTCAAACTTCAACTCCGATGGAAATAGATGGTTAGTTAAGAGAATTTGCATTGGTAGGTAGTCAAACACATCTAACCCTCATGTTCATGGATTAAATATTTGTATATTTCAATTCATTATTATCTAAATTATTTTGCAATACCGTATAATTACATGATTTAAGCCTTGATGGCAAAAGATCTCTTTGGGAAAGTGGTCTTTTGTTTTCTGGCCTTGTCAGTGATTCTGGTAGCTTCGAACTTAGTTAATTTTCTTCTGATGGCTCTGGTCTTCTTGGCTCTCAAGTCCTTTGGAAGGTACTTCTTACCTTGGTAGAAAGCTCTGACATTTTCTCTTTGGTTCAAGTTGATGATAGTCAAAACTCTGGCGATGTTCTTTCTAACAGTGTGGATTCTTGGCAAAGATGGTTTTTGTAATTTTTGAACCTTCAAGTTAGCCAATTCTTGTTTCAATTCAACCAATTGGTTTTCTAATTGTTCCTTAGATTTGGTTCTTAATTCATAAGCTTTTAATCCGGCCTAAAGTAACTGTTAGTATAATGAACGGCTGTAGATAGTTGGAGAAGGCAAACTGAATGTTATTAGGATGATATAAAAATTTGAATCGTCATATTGATGTGTGAGTTGAAACATTCAAACACGGGATCCTGGGGACTCAGCGTGGCGGGAAAGCTGGAAAATGAAAGTGTTACGCTTGTATATCACAGTTCTGGTGGTGTTGCTTCTTATTCTCCACTAGTATTACTATTGGAACATACCATTTTCGATAATTTAGTTAGATACAAAAATTCAAAAATTTGAATGTCAGTAGCTAGAGATGCTCACTGAAAAATTTCCTGAGAGGAATTACACAAAGACGGCGAGAGCGCGCAAGCAAAAGTCGTCACAGCTTGAGCTCGTGACATTTGAGGGCTGCGACCCTTGTTGTCTGGGAGATCACGGTTGCGTTGACGAGACGTTCGGTTAGGTCAAATACCTTTAATAAATAGTTAATACTTGTATAAGATTAAGAGATATACATACAAGAATACATCCTCATATATAAAGGATCAAGATTAAAGGATTTAACAAACAAACTGATAAAACTAAACGATTAAAAAGCAGACATTAATAATAGCAATATATTGGTTGAAATCCTAGATAATTTTAGATCCACGAATCTTTCAAGATCAAGACGAGTTCTTCAAGTTAGTAGACAACCATTCCAAACCTTCGTATAAACCATCACCAGTGGTGGCACAGGTGGATTGAATGTACCAAGGTCTTTGTCTGATAGAGTGTAAGCCCAATTTTTCAGTTATTTCAGTGGCATTCATAGCGTTTGGCAAATCTTGCTTGTTAGCAAAAACTAATAATAATGCATCTCTCAATTCATCTTCGTTCAACATTTGTTGCAATTCTTCTCTGGCTTCAGCAATTCTATCTCTATCATTGGAGTCAATAACGAAAATAATCCCTTGAGTGTTTTGGAAATAGTATCTCCATAAAGGTCTGATCTTATCTTGTCCACCAACATCCCATACAGTGAATGAAATGTTCTTATACTCCACAGTTTCAACGTTGAATCCGATGGTTGGAATGGTGGTAACGATTTCTCCTAATTTCAATTTGTACAAGATGGTGGTCTTACCAGCAGCATCTAAACCAACCATTAAGATTCTCATTTCTCTGTTACCAAAAAGGCCGTTAAACAACTTGGAAATAGATAAACCCATTTTCGTCTGATCTTACTTTGAATGTTAATGCCGTAAAGTTAGATACCAAAATAAAAATTTGGAAAGTTGGTGTGTTGTTTTTTTCGTGTCGACTTGTCTTAAAGAATAAAATCAATCAGAATACCGTGTTAATTAATCAATCAGTCAATTAATTCGAGTGTGTCAATTCTTAATTACACGATGTATATAACACGTTCAGGGTAATTCTTTTAGTTTGATTAGTTTAAAAGAAAACTTTCTGGCTTTAGGGGTGGAAAGTAATTTTTTTTCAAATCGACAAAGGGGCGGGAGCGAAACTTGTGAGTTGGAGCTTTTTGTGATTTGGCCCTGCACCGAATTTCGAATTCCTCGGCTTTGTGTCATGTTTGCCCCGATATACGCGTATTTTATATATAAATGGTTGCAACTGATGATCTCATTACACTACTCACTATAAATCACTTTCCAACATTAACCTTGGCCTTGGCGTAGTTCTGTAACGCCCTGATGAATACTGCATAGGTGATATCCTTATTATCGGGTTCCCAATAGAGTTCGGTGAGACGAATGTGCCATGGTGGATAGTCTTGGAGGTCCAAGTTTGGATTGAAGATAATCATCAAGTCGGGCTCCAGGCCCACCAATTCGACCAACTCGTCATTGATCAAGTCGATGGTGATGTCTTTGACCGACAATTCTCTATTAATTGCCAATTCGCTAATGGTTTTAGTGAGTTCCACAATGGTGGGTTTACCATCAACTTTGCTCAAAAGGTTGACGTACAAATCGATCGGCTTTTCGGGCTTGTTGACGAGAACCTTACTGGAGTGAGGGGATTTTATGCTAATGTTAGGCACGTACTCGGTGCCGAAGTAATTCTTGAGATTCTTGTTGATGTAGCGATTTAACTCCAAGTAGTAGTCGTTGATAACCCCGTTGTACTCGTAAATGCTCAACTCTTGGATCCCGGCACTGACACTCCAAGCGGTCAACTCACTAATGTCGTTGATGAGACCGTCAATCCCTCCGTTCTCCTCCTCTTCGTCCTTGAAATTGACAATGCAGCTTACACGCTTAGGGATTCTCGAAAGCTTGTTCACGTCATCTCGGATGATGTGTGGTGATTTATTGGGGAAATAGGTGAGGTTCAAGAACTTCAAGTGGATTCTCCGGCGGACATACAAGTAGTTTTTGTAGATGGAGATGATGAAGAAAATGATCAATAGGATGGCGTGGTTGAAATAAGTGATAAATAAATTGATGGTGGATGTGCTACCTGTACTTTTGCTGTCATTGGCAGCGGACGAAGAACCACCCCCGATAAACCGCCGGAGCTCGTCCACAAGCCAGAAGAACACTGAAACAATCCCTGTGTTCCTCAAGCTGTTGGGAGGATGTTTCTGGGCGGTGTCTGTGCTGACTTCTAGGGGCTTTACCACTTGCACTCGGGCGGTGGGTTTACGAGACACAAGACCGTCACCATTAGCTGGTAGGGCGGTGGCGGTGATGGAATCGGGGACGATAGCATCAGTGGCCACTGTCTCATCTGTATTCCCAATAGACATTCAGAGATTGGTGGTGCAAAAATGGTGGTTTGTGTGAGTAATGGATAAAGAACAAGTAGGTGATATATTCTTTGGCAAATTTGTGAGAATATATATTATCTGTTTTAGCCTCGCACTATAACGGCTGGAGCTGGAACTGATGGGACATGGAAATTTTACCAACCAACAAGTGATTCAGTCTCCGGAACCACCGCACTGCCTGCTTCTAAAGTTTATCGTTAATTCCTCTGCCAGCTTCTCCCCCTTCTCCCTGCCCTAACTTTAAACAAATCTTGGCCCTCTCCGTTGTAATTCTTGGGGAAAAATTTCTCAAAAAAGTAAAACTCGATACCACTAATACTGATTCAGATTCATGAGATATACAAAAAACGGTCCCGTTTATTAACACCCAAGAGCATCACATAACTCATATACATATAGGAAATGACGTTCAAGCCGTTCAGGAGAGTCCTGTATTTTCTAAATAACTTTTTCAATAATGATGACATAGAAGAGGAGTATATCAAGATGCGACAGAAATCCCTGTCCCTATCGGCGTTTATCGTGGGGTTGGTTGCCGCTGTTGGTGGCTTCTTATACGGGTACGACACAGGTCTCATCAATGATATCATGGAAATGAACTACGTGGAGCTGCATTTCCCCAGTAAACATAATGGATTTAACGTCCATGAACGGGCGTTGATCACGGCCATCTTATCACTCGGAACCTTCTGTGGCGCTATTGGCGCTCCTTTGATCTCCGACAACTTCGGACGACGCTTCTCCATCATACTAAGCAGTGGGGTGTTGTTCACCATCGGTACCGTCTTACAAATCGCTGCTTCCAATATTGCACTTCTATGTGTGGGGAGATTTGTGTCGGGAGTGGCGGTGGGAAACTTGTCGGCCATCGTGCCGTTGTACCAGGCAGAGGCGTCGCCCAAATGGGTCAGAGGCTCGGTGGTGTATTTGTACCAGTGGGCCATCACGTGGGGGTTGTTGATGGCCAGTGCCATTTGTCAAGGAACCAGAAAGATGGATAACAGTGCTTCCTACCGGATTCCCATTGGCCTCCAGTTTGTGTTCACGATAATCCTTTGTAGTGGAATGTTGTTTTTACCTGAAAGTCCTCGATTCTACGTACAAAAGGACAAATTGGAAAAGGCCTTACAATCCTTGTCTAAACTCCGGAAAATAGACGTTTCTGACCCAGACTTGATCGAAGAGTTGGTGGAGATCAAGGCCAGCTACGACTACGAGATGTCTTTTGGTAAAACAAAGTGGATTGACTGCTTCAAGAACGGTGGAGGTAGAAATAAGCAGGTGTTGCGAATGTTGACGGGGATGGGTGTCCATGTATTCCAGCAGTGCAGTGGTATCAACTTCATCTTCTACTACGGGGTCAACTTCTTTTCCAGCACCAAGATGACAAACTACTACTTGATGAGTTTCATCACCTATGCCGTGAACACGGTGTTCACGATTCCTGGGATTGTGTTGATTGAGGTCATTGGCAGAAGAAAGCTTCTTTTGGGAGGCGGTATTGGTATGACCATTTCTAACTTTGTTATTGGCATTACGGGTGTGGCGGTGGAAGATCCCAGCATCAGCTCCAAGATCTCTATTTCATTTTCCTGCTTGTTCATTGCTTTCTTTGCAGCCAGTTGGGGTGGGTGCTGTTGGGCCCTTACGTCTGATTTATACGGTATTTCCATTAGACAGAAGGCAATTTCCATCACCGTTTCCACCAATTGGATCGTGAACTTCACCTGTGCTTACATCACCCCGTACTTAATTGACACGGGAGCTCATACAGCGGCATTGGGCAGCAAGATCTTCTTTATTTGGGGAGGCTTGAATGCGGTAGGAACGGTTTTTGTCTACTTTGTGGTGTACGAAACCAAAGGATTACGATTAGAAGAGGTGGATTATATGTACAAGATTTGTCACAATCCTAGAGATTCAACCAAGTTCAAGTCCACCAAGATCTCGTATGGGTCGACGCCTCAGTCAGAAAAAATCAAGAACGAAATCCACCAGATGATCCCCGACACCAGTGGCCGTCCATCACCGGCTCCTTCCGAGGAAATCCTCAAAAACATGTCCAGCTCGGCCGGCTCACCCTCGAACCCTACGTCCTCTTCAAACCCCAGTGATGGTCCATTAGCAGGCACTAATGATATCACCATGGTTCCATACACCAACCCGTTGAGCTCACCTTCATTGTCGTCACATCTGGACAACGAAGAAGACGGAAGCCAACGACGGTCGGACTACGAGCAATATCTCAACAACTTCAAATCAGACTATTCCAAATACGAATCGTCTCAGACATCTGGCTCGATCATCTTCAACATGAAAAGCCATGACATGAAAAAAACCGTTATTGCGGCGCCATTCTTCGACTCCCCTCCCAGCGACAGTGACGATAGCGATGACAGTGTTGCCGAACAATAGAATCACCAATAACATTAACGACATTAACGAACTCTACAGTTTCAAAAGAAGCTGCGAATTAATATAGCTTGTAGGAGAAAATAAAGAAGCTGCGAATAATCATCTCATTTTTCCCCATGCAAAATCTCCCGCAGTGGCAAGCATGGCAGATAAATACCAGATTCATGAGTACATAAAGACCGGCAAGTTCCAATTGGCCGAGCAGGCCATCAACGAAAATCCGTCTTTGAACCTCATAGCTGATGATGACGGTAGGTACCCCATCCACTGGGCCTGTTCGATGAACCAGTTGCCATTGGTGAAGACGTTGGCATTCAAGAAGAATATCGATGTAGACGAGTTACTCGACCACAGCGGGTGGACGGCGCTACACATCGCCGCCAGCGTCGGTAACAGCGACGTGGTGGACGTTTTGATGGCATGTGAGCCGACTCCTGACGTCAACTTGAAAACTGGCCAAGGCACCACCGCCTTGCACTTGGCCATATCCAAAAAGAACTTAAATGTGGTAAAGAAGTTGGTGATCGAGTATAAATGTAAGGTCAATGAGAAGGACCGGAGCGGGTATACGCCATTGATTCGAGCCAGTAGTATTGGGTTAGGGTCGGTGGTACGATTGTTGAATGATCATAAGGTTAATGTCAACAGTACCGACCGGTACGGATGGACGGCGCTCCACCACGCAGCGGCAGAGGGCCACGGCGACGTGGCCAAGCTCTTGGTGGAATTGGGAGCCAATATTAATGCTAAGAATGATGAGAATCAACTGGCATCGGATGTGTGCGTGGATGAAAAGGTGAGAACCTTTATCTTTGGGTAGGGTCAGAACTGGGCCACAGGCCGGGTCCAACTGGCGGCAAGACCTGGTGCCGGCTTCGCTCGCAGCAAGGGAAATTTGCCGTGGGGCCACTCATTTACGGCTCCGGTGCATCTTTGCTATTCCGTGACCGAGCCGGAGATGCCGGAGATTGCGAAACCTACCTGACGCCGGACTGGGGTCAAGACTTTGTCACGCTTACTGACAGCTAAACAGAATCCGACAAAGTAATGTCTACCACTAGCAATTTCATATACAAAATCAATAAACCTCCGGTGATAGATTGTAGCAAAACCCAATAACTATTCCTATTCTGTCAGTGGTGTTGACAAATACCAGCCCCATTCCTAAAAAGGAGAGTATTGGCACACATATGG